TACCAGTTGTTCTCAGAAAGGACCATATACAAGGGTGCGTTTGTTCTTGTGAATGTTCCCAAAATGTCTGTGCGCAACAAGTATTTGTCATTGAATTAAGAGCCACTTTCTTCGCCAGGTCCAATATCGCGGAGTCGAAGGGCATCGTGGCTAATTATATTCCGACTTTGGAACAACGGGACGACATTTTCAATAAGGGTTTTCCGGCTCCACAGTTTGTTGTCATTCGGAAGCTTCTCATGTGATGGTAATTTACCTCAGTGCTTTGCTGGGGACTCTCCTCTATCGTTTCTTGCTCCAACTTCATTTCAGCTGTAAGAGAGTGCGACGTGCGAAGTCGCGCTAAACATGGTCTTACAATTCAGTGCTCTTTTTACTAGCTTTAGCAATCTTAGGCAGGCTTGCGCCACTCCCTAGTTCTTTCTAGGAAATAATCAATAACTGCCTCACTTATTTGGAAATACAAAACTTTACATCTCTTAGATCGCTAGATTAATCAATCCACAAAGGTATTGTCGCAATTCCCTGTGGGGTCTTTGGTCGCAGCGCTCGGTTAGCTTCCTCATGACCACGTGACCGTTGGGCGTAGCTCCTGGTGGCTGGTGCGTGCACGTGTTACGCGGGTCCACAACAGCTGTCCTGCTACACGTAAAGGGCGCAGGTGCTTCCGCTGGTGCTCTCCGGTAACCTGGGTTTGCTCGTCTTCACAATTTTTAACGCGTGGTTTTTGTCGCGGTGCGACAGTCATTGAATGTAAGGATTCGTGATGACTCGGCGATCGCGTAGATCCTCCTTGTGAGCGCGCTACTCTGCGCGCTCGATGAGAGCAACTTCGGAGAGCCTCGATGCCGATTTCCCCTACCGAAGTCGATCGATTCGCTTTGCTGAAAGTGTTACCATTGCAACCGGCACCCTTCATTTAGTCATTGGGTATATCACCTTGAATTTTAAGAGATTTTGTGGGGAGATTCAATGGTCCCAATAAGCTAGCATCGCAGTGAGGCAAAATCAACAAAACCAAGCAAGTTCCCAGCACCACGGCAAAACAGGAAGCAGGCTCCAGAACCTCTACACTGGCTACCTTATTCAAACACACCCAAATTGAATTTCCAAGGCCCCTAGCAAGGTCCCAAGAAGTCATCTTTGTGGTTTGCAGATTACAGTTGAGTCAAGCTTTATTGCGCTGCAACAAGAGCTGAGATCAAGTGTTGTTTCCCTCCAATTCCCGTCAAATACAATAGCCGTAGCTACGCTTCTTCTTCTTTGGCAGACCGAAGCCAACTCCCATTGGTCACTCTACCATACCAGCAGTGACTCGCCTCCTACCACCCACGGAAGAGCCTCGGAGTGCTAGAGACCCATACGGAATCCAGGGCGTCCCTAATGGAATCATATTGAGCTCACCACTTCCCCTACAGATCCGGGAGGGATAGCGGTTCAGGGCCACTGAGAGGGTTTTGCTGGGTCCGATTAGCTTTGTATCCCCGCGCAGCCATTCACCTCCACTCCATGTGATTCTCCCGACAAGCACCTCCTATCCCAGATGGGCACTACCTTGTCTATTTTTTAGTCTCATTGTTGATCCAGTAAAAAAACCGGGAGGCGATCAGTTAGTAGGTGGATAGTTTGTGTCCACAAAAATATGTCTTGAAGTCAGTGAGCCCTCATTCCCGACCATGTGCTCGACAAGGGTCCGTTAGGTCCTCTGGGAATACTACCTCTGAGAGATCCCAGATCAACGCGAAAACAGCTAGCTCGCATTTCAGGGCAGGAAGCAGCCGCCTCCGAGAGACTATTTTTTATGGACTGGCACAATTGCCCGCGGGAGGGTACCGACGCAGAGCTTCCTCCCATAAGCGACATTTGTGAACTCCTTGTTTTGGGCTTTGATTTGGCGGCTCGTTGACCATACAGTGTGCCTGCCATGGCACCGTCCTTTTGTGTTTCCTACCCATGAGCTGGGGGTGTTTTGCGGGCCAAGGGCACCGTTTAACTTCACCTGCCCACCTCGGCCAAGTGTCTGCCCCGACCTGCCGCGGCTAAAGACTTGGCAGGGTGGCTCTTTCTTATCAGTTCCAGGGACTTCTTTGCTCCCCAACAACCATACTTCAAATTCATGCGGGGCTCATTGTCTCGCTGATCCCCGGCCGCCTTAGCTTGTAGGCGGGCAACAGGAGTACGCTCCCTACCAACTCGCTACCGGTTTTGATGCCGGAACTCTGTGGCCACGATCTAGAAGAGATTCTCCGCATGTTAATCATTTCTCCGCGCGCTCCCAAGCATCGCGATGGTAAACACCTCGCGCGTGGCGTGGGAATATGCCCGAGACAAGCCTCCGCCTTGTCTTTCCACCTTATCGACTCTCCTTTGACCGGCGGTTCTAACGTTTGCGAATCCCACTCCGAGAGCTACTCACCCGTGACGTCCACAGCCAGCTTGTGGAGAGCCGCCAGGTCTACGCCACTCAGTCGGTCCAACCTTTGGTATCGATCTTACCCTGACGAGCGTCCACCGCGGACACAACCAGATGCTCATATGATGTGGTCCGTCTGGAACCAGAGGCTCTAAGCTCCAACTTTCGCTCCCACCTTGGTTGCAATGAATGCTCCAGTGCAACCCTTTGCCCCAGCTGGTGCCTCCCAATGCAATCGTAGACTTCTAATTAGACCGGCGCGTTTGTTGGGTGATGGGTAGATTACAGAGCTGCCTACTGCACTACTTTCAGCTCCAGTAGTTAGTCACCTCCATAGAACTGCCTTTCTACTATTGGAGTGTATGGAGGCAGTACTGTTTAGCCAACAGCACAACGCGGTCTTCTAGGCTCCTGGTCACCTGGATGGGCATCCACCATCCCAGGGAAATCGCCGCATGTAATCAACTACAACGGTGTGTCCCTTTTCCAAGCAGGGACCGGCATCGAGTCATTTTTGGTTAGACCCCGGACAACCAAACCCAATGTTGGATGCCCAGGGGTTTGCCCACAAGGCGACCACACAAGGCGTATGTAAAAACTCCCGAATATTTACGGAGCGCCCTGCGTTTAACAGGAACGGTTCCTGCCCACAAAGAAAATGTCCATCGTGAGGAACATCTCAAGGGTCCTTGACATGATGTAGCATCGCAAAAACACTAGCTCTCTTCGGGTGGCACTTTCATCGCTCATTGTCCCTGCCCTCGCCGTTCAGGGTTTCGTGATCGAGGCTACGCCAGGGTCTTCGTTCTGTGTTTAACGCAACTCCAAAATATCCCCTCTGCCCCATAGTGAAGCTGTGCCTGAGGTCTGCTCGTCCTTTGCATACGGCACAAGTGCACACCAGGAAGTTCCAACCAAGGGATGCTGGCAAATTTTTCGCGAATTATGAATGTGCCTTCATAAAACAAGTCGCTTTCCAGGGCAGGTGCATACATCAACCTTGGCCCATCCTGGGAATCCCTTGAATCCAATAGGGATCCAAAGTGACGAAGGTGTCTGACCATGTCTGAACGTTAACACAGGTAATAGCCAAGTTTCCAGCTTGGCGCTCTCATCCGTCACCACCTTCTTTGGTGTCCCTCTCGCATGCCAACTAGATTGTGCCAAATGATGGAGATCGCGCTTTGGCAGCCTCAATCCACCAGTCGACCTAATCCTAATTGCGACACACACTACCATCGTGTCTGACAGCAGCATCCAATGTCATCTACCACTGGTATGAGTCTCGAGATTCGAAGACCATCTCCCACTTGGTCTCTCAGTCTTCCTCCATGTCTCAGGCAATGGGAGTCCTCAACGTGTTTGCATGTGGTCCATCATGAGATGTTTGCCTCCATGAACCCTAGGCTCACAGGATTGACTCTCTCAAGGCTCCGTGCTGCTTATGCACGTCCCCTTGGATTTCTCTCCGGTTTACGCCGGCAACTAAACTACGTCCCTGTCTGGTACAGCCCATCCATGCCATCCGTCAAGTGACATGATTGCGGGGCAAGAAAGGCCGCTCCACTGAGAGCTTGCCGCCGCTGAATTCGGCCTGTGGCAAAGCCACAATATTTGTCTACATATGAAAAAAACAAACAACAGCTATGATGGCAACCAGCACCGCCGACACCTACCGATTCTGGCCATGCTGATGAACACGCAATCCCTTTGCGCATACCTTTGGTACAGCAACCAACCAACCATGTGCAAGTCCCTCCACAGTTGGGATTCCCCATCTTGCATTGTGTTTCACTAGCAGTCGATGCTGGGTGGCCCATGAGTGTTCCGTTCATTGGGAGAGTATGTATTGTAGTTTGTTAGTAACTAATCGTATATCGTAGCATTCCCATGAGAGCGGATCCATGCGCACTCGTGGGGAGCGATAACTTTTAGGAGCGAGAGCTCTGGATCCCGTCAGAGATACCTCCAACAGTCTATGCTGGCCTACAGCTCCAGCACTCCAGATGGCTTATCTCCGCAAAAGCAGCAAGAAAAGGATTCTCCTTTCTACTCTATAGTGGTTCTGAAGGAATGAATAGTTAGCGAGATATAATACCTTTTGACCGATCCTGATTTGGCTATGGTAGCCCGTTTTGTCATGTGATAAATCGTCGCCAGCAGTTTGATACCAATCCTTGTTTCGAAGGTTGTCGGGCAGTGAAGCAGGTAGGCGCAGGCTAGCTGGAGATTAAGATGACCTTGTTTCTAGACTGCCATGCACGACCTTTGACCAAATAGCGAAGATGCACCACCAAAGCTCTGGAGGAGAGCTGGCCCAAATGGGCCCAGCAGAGAGCTCAGCTGGCCCTCCTGTCTGAATGACAGTGCCAAGTCCTTGCTTTGGTGCCTACTGGAGGAGTTGAACACTCCTGAGGCATCGATCCAAGCGTCTCCCTGACATATCTTGCCACTCTCGCGAACACCGCTGTCCCTAGAGCAAGTTACGTGTTCTCATGCGTAGTATCCTCAGTCCACTACTGTGGTGGGTGACCTTAAAGACCACTCAGAATCCTTTTCAAGTTGGAACTTATTGGAATGTGTGCTGTCAACCAATTGGGTGGGTCACTAAATCGGTGGTCTTGGGGAAGGGAAAGCCTTTGGGCCAGGGGTACATGCAAGGGAGGCAACAGAAACCTGGTTCAGAACCCGCCACAATCAATGGCTCGAGAGTAATACGGGCCGTAGATGGGGGTTCAGCATCTTCGTGGGTACCACCGGCCGGGGCAGGACCAGAGATATCATCGGGATGTTGTTCAGACGTTGTCAACTTGAACTTCTCAATGACGGAACCAGGAGCCAGGGCCGTGAAGTGGGAACGAGCCCAACGAAAGGGAATCTTGGCAGGGACGACCTCACCAATCTTGTCAGAGAGATTACCAATGAGCCATGTGTGACCAGCCGGGTCGACAAAGGGCTGCGGGTTGGCAAACAAGACCGGCTTGTTGTCAACAATGATCATAAACTGATTATAGTGGCGGGTATCCGCCAAGAGAGCATCACGAACGGGCTGGGTTGTTCCTCGGTTAAAGATCATCGGCGTCAAGTGGTCAGAAGTGGGAGGTCCCGAATGAGACGAAGAAAGACGTTGGTCAGTGGCATTCTTTCCCCTGGCAACAAGGGCACGAACAGCTTTGGCGTGGGCAAACATGGTCAAAGTAGGGTAGGAAAACAACGGTGGGGCTGGTGGGCAACGAACGGGGCAATAAGTGAAGCTGGAAAGCAACAGGGAAAAAGCAGGTCCAATTAGTATATCTGAGTAGACTGGGTACTAATTGTGAGCTAAGTGAAGTTCGAACAAATTCAACCAGCACACAACTAGATTGGCCGCCCAGCCTAGGATTGGCTACGAAGGTACAAACTGCAGTCCAATCAAGTCAGTGCAAAACATACGTGGTCCCTGGCGGGTGGACGATGTCACACTCTCCAAAGGGGCTGCAGAGCGATAAAACAGGGGTAGATCAACTGTATCCTGAGTTGAGGAGGGGGTGGGGGTTGCAGATGGAAGAGTTTTGGTAGGAAAGGGAGACGTAAGGGGCCCAAAAGGGGCGGGGATGCATACGGCTGTAGGATAGGTACTAAGTGTTCGTCAAGTCAAATGCAGAGAGGAAGAAATGGGAAATGGGGGGATCACAGCACCAAAATTGGGAAGGCTAAGGGGTAGAGGATACCGTTCAAGGGAACAATCTACAAACGTCAAGGTGACGAGAAAGAGAGAGGGGGAAGCTGGGGCTCGGGAAAGATATGGAGAATCACAAGCTGGCATTAGGATTGGCTAGAGCCAGATTGGGTGTCAGATCAAGTAGAAAACAAGGGTACAGGTAGGAAACAAGAGGGGAGGCCAGCGGGCCACAGCACCAATGTAGGTTGTATACTAGACTAATGGTAGGGAGATTTCGGGAAACGAGAAAAAAACCGGGGAACAACTAAAGCTGATCTTGGAAGATAGAGCGAACAAGTCCTAGCTAATAAGCAGTCAAAACCGGCGCAGAAAGCGATGTAAAATGAGGTCAGACTGTACTGAAGAAATTGGGACCAAAGGTCCTAATGCGGTTCCGAAAGACTTAAGGACAGCAGGTGTCACAATTTGCGGCAAAAATTATACTGAGTCCCAAACGGGATAGGCCAAAAGCTGTGCCAATCTGTGAATTTTTAATGGACACGATCCAAGTGACAATGGTGGTCAAGACGACCGGGAAAGGAGACGACGGAACGGGTCCTAAGGTAATATTTTGCTAGGGCAAAGGGTACCTAGGGCTAAATATAGCACCAGGTGTAAGGAGTAATGGTCAATGAGGGGGCGGACCAGGCCCCAATAAGGATGGTCAATAGGAGGGCAGTCATGGTCAAAGACCAATGACGCGATACAAAAAAAAGGTATCCATTAAATGGAGGGACCATAAAGGGGAATAATAGGGCCAACAAGGCCGGTGGTCGCATTAGGCGAAACCACTATAGGTAGTAATCAAATGATTAAAGAAAGGGGAAAAAGGGAAACCGAGTAAAAGTCGGATCCAAAGAACGAGTCTACCAATAACAAAGTATGGATAATAGACAAAGGGAAAAACCCAGGGACTCGGGCAAAGGGGGTGCCCGAGACAAAGAAAAAGCGAAGCACACCATTGCGGTGTGGTAGTTGGTTAGGAACCAACAGTAGATGGTGTTGGCCATAAGGCAACACCATGGCCATTTGCAGATCCATCAACAACCAAAGTGTGGTCTTTGGTTGCCTGGGTCTACCATCTGCCAGCTATGAGTTGAGCGGGTGATGTCAGATTCCAGACTGACCAGGCAACTGGGACTCATCCCCTTTGCTGGTTTGCCTGGAGTCTCACCTTCAATACTCTAAACCCCCTTATACATATAACTGTGTGTCTGACTGCGGCGATTGCGGGTGATTGCGTGACGTGGTTGTGTTTGTGTTGTTGTTGTTGAACTCTCCTCCACTGGTTAATAAATAAATGTACCGCACCCTTCAAACTATCCCCATTCCTAATGAGCAAGCTACGCTTCTTTCATTGTTCTTTGGTCGCGTCAAGGGTTCTGGCACTGCTCTGTCCTGGCAAACTGCAAGATCCGAGCCCATGGCCATGCTATGCATGCATACAGGCCCGTTTACTCTGGAGTATTAGTACCTGGTATCGTTGAGACGCTTCCATCGCAGCCCTGGTCAGCTCTTGGTTGTTGTTGTTTATGTAGTAGACTACCTCCACCCAACAGACTGAGGTATATCCAAGGGCATCGTTTTCTGTGTCACACACGGTGACATTCACTTTCTGCCAGGTTTCGGATCCTTCAGTTGGTGCTCTTTCGCAGTGGAATTTATTTTATTTGGTTGGGCTCGATCGAGAGAAAGGATTATAAATAAATACAAGTACAAGTACAAGGCAAGATGCACGTGCCATTTGAAGCTGGATTAGGATGGATCCACCTGGCGCACAAGAATGCCGATATGCTTCTGCTGATCTCCATCGCTTCGCTGGGTTTGCTGCCTTTGGTATCCATCTACATTATCGAGACTGAAAAGTACGAGGAGACGGCAACACTGGCGTCGCCACGGACGACGTCGGAGTTTCTACGGTCGTCCATGCGATGCCTTGTTTATATGGCCATTCTATTTCCATATCTGCTGGCACTCCTTTCGACGTATGTTTCCATCCAACTAATTCGAGGCCAGAGTCTTGATGAGGAAGGCGATGGAACGCAGTTTCCGTACGGAGATGAAACTTCCCCAAAGGCAACATGTAATGGAGCTACCATGTTTTGGTTGTACTACAGAAACACAAAGGTACGGTTAGTTAGTTATTGGGCCTTCCGGTGTTATTATTGATTTGCTCATCCTTCTTTCTCTCCACGGCATCCCAGGTTCTGGAGGAAGATGATAGGGTCGTCTGCGACACTACGAAAGAAACAACAACAGCGACCAGTGCTACCGACACTCTTCCAGTCTGGTGGAAGCTACCCCTTCCAGAATCTCAAAACACAATCATCTGTGATCAGGATGCTGCTGACCATGGACCAGTGGCACTAGTAGAGGCAGACAAGAACTTTCGTCTGGTGACTGAAGATTGTGCCATTTGTATGCATCCATATCATGCCGGTGAACGAATTGTATGGTCTTCCAATCCCAGCTGCATTCATTGCTATCACTTTGCTTGCCTCCAAGCTTGGATGGAGCCCTGGGACGCTCGGTCAAAGCGTTGTCCGTGCTGCCGACAATCCTTTGTAAATCCGCAACAATAAATAGACGGGCGATGAAGCCATCGATGCTTATTATTCATGGAATACACGCATGTATAAACGCACGCACGCACAGCAGCCTTTTGCGAGGTGGATCCTGTTCTGCACAACAACCAAGCTGGACTCATGGTGACCACCAAGGAGGGATATTGCGGCTGGACAACAACAACAACCCTTCTATCCGACCCTTTGACAAACAACAAGAACAAAGCAGGGAGCTACCTACCGTACAGTAGTCAGCTACCGAAGGAGGGCAAGTTTATTAATGGTCCCAGGGTTTCTACCACCAAAGCGCACACCTTTGGTGCGATAAGGAGAATTAGTAGATGTGCTATGCTTTCTGCTCGCCGATGAACACAATTCATGTCACAGGTTTGCCGTGAGTTGTATGCAACTCCAAGGGTTCAGAGAACCCGTATCGATAGGGTCTTGTCATGTCTCTTTCTCCAACCGATCTACAAACTTGCTAGAGAGCGATCACTCATTTCTTGGGAAGCTGAAACTACGACAAGTGAGGGGGGACCGTTGCGCTGCCGCATTCGAAGGAATATAAACAATATAAATCTCGGTCTATGTTCTTCGATTTCTTGCAGCCTCCAGGCTTTCGTCGAGTACTTGATTGTACTCATCCTCGTGATCTCTCCATAAGGCACAATGATCCGAATCATCGTAACGGTGTACAACGATAGTGTCGTCTTTTTGACGTCGTTTCTCAATGAGTTCATCAATCCGGGTAGCATCGGTGTGCATGTCGGCAGTGGTATAGAAGTAGACTTGATGTTTGCAGTAGGGGCGGTCAATGTCGGCCATTCGAGACCAGAATAGGCAAGATCGTTTGAAGGATCCGGTAAATGTACACCACATGGTGAGACTAAATGCGCTTCCTAGATAGTAAACTTTGCGCGAGAGTGGTCTCCAAGCTGGATTTGGAAATGCGTCTGAAGCGTAGGGAGAGAGGTCCCACATCATATGAAGATAACAAGGGCAAGAGTCAAAGAATTGGTATTCCATTCGTTGCTGAATCAAGTCCACATCTTCCCTGTTCAGCTTGTTCTCGTTGTTGTTGTTGTTGTTGTTGTTGTTGTTGTTGTTGTTGTTGTTGTTGTTGGTATCTTTGGAATTTTGTTCCGGAACTTCTGACAGGAGCAGCTCCAGCTCTTCGAGTAAAAAGGCACCTCCATTACTGAACAAGTGCAGTACCAATGGTGTTTCGTTGGGTGTCTCCCGAAGGGCCTTGGCTGTCTCTTGAATGATAGCCTTCGCAGTGGGTTTCAATGTACGATGCTGCGTCAAGAAGAAACGAACCACCGGACATGCTGCCGTCACTGTGGTACAATTGCGATCTTGATACATCTTCCCAAAACTATTCATGGTGCCCTCCGCTGAAGCTCCAAGTGGACCCAACACCAGAGCCACTGCCTTGGGGTCTGAAACACGGCGGACAAGTACATTCGAAGCCATGGTTATACTGTTCTTGTGCTGAAGATGCTACTACAGTGGGAAGGATGAACCGACCTGGGATCTTGAGATCTTGGGGTGACAAACCAGCCAGTTAAGCTGTCGGGGCGAGCTCAAATTGCTTCCAAACTGCTCAACTGCCAACTGCCAAACGGATGATGACACCATGCTAACATGGCATGCAGCCACGAGGCAACGTCGAGGAACACAGGAAGAGCACTGTACAACCTCACTGTTGTCAGAGTTGCTTGATAGCGTACACACTGCACAATGCATCTCGTCTTTAATGTAGGACTGGAGCCATTTCACCTACAGAATGAGTACGGAGGAGCAATTCTGTTTGTGGTGATTGCCTGTCTGACACTGTCTCCATTGGCATTTCTGTACGTGGCGATTGCGGTGACATGCTCTGTCCTCAACTTCCTGATCGCACATGCATCGATGCAAAAGTCGGACGTTCTGACTTGCGTAGTGGAGGCACTGCACATTTGTGGTCAAGCCACGCTTTATTTCTCCCTCTACTTTCCATTCGTCATGGGGGTTCTTTCCACACATGTATCTTATCAGACGCCAGTGGACCAGCAGAGGCGGCAAGAAACAAACACAAGGATACGACCTGCCCACTTGCGTGCCTTATCTCAAAGCTTGGAACCTTGGACTATGGTGAGTGACAGGATTTGATGCATCAAAGAAAACAGAAATGAATGTGTGGCTGCTGCTACTAGCTAGCTAGAGTAGCACTACCGTTTATGGAGAGTATCCTTCCTAACGCTACTGCACTGAAATACCTGCTGTACAATCTGAACAGAAACTTGAAGTTGACAAAATGATTGAGGATAAGGGGGCTGGGGGTTCACGGGTTGCAACTCGCTATTGGAAGGTGCCCGCGCCAGGGATCACAGCAACAGGTTATTCTACTGGGGGCAGAAATAATGATGTGTGGAATCCGAAAATGGGGAGAAGACTGGTTGCAAGACAGGAATGCTCCATCTGTATGAAACGGTTTGAGTTTGAAGAGACCATCGCGTGGTCATCCAACCAACTCTGTATTCATATCTTTCATTCCGATTGTATCCTCAAGTGGACGGCTCTTGGAGGAACACCCCCAAACAATTTTCAATCTTGTCCTTGCTGTCGCCGAATATTTCTGCTGACTTGACGATAGACAACATCGCCGGCACGTGAGTGGGTACTTACTACTACCCGCAAGCAAGTTTTGGCAATCAACACGTTGGTGAAAGCGTACTCTTCTCAGAGTTGACGATCAGAGAGAGAGAGAGAGGGAGCATCGGTGTGACCAGCCGCCTCCCTTGTCGTCCTGCCAGGCAAGGCATCTTATTAATACTTCCGCGTAGTCGAGTCGTCGAGGAAGAAGAATCGAGCCGGCCTCCAAAGCTGAGGTTTCAAAGCCTCCGCATCGGCAAGGAGCAATTGCCAGAGCGGTCTGTACGATACTGGTACTACATACCGGTACTACTAGCTAGTAATAATCACGAGAACTTCGCACCGTACCGGTAGGTGCAGTTTCCGTGCGGTAGGTTGCCGCCATAATAATTTTGCGAGAGGGTGTGACTTGATGAGGCGTACTAATATCGGAACAGCTATGGGAGCCTTGTGTGACAAAGGAACCAAGCCACCGGCGAAACCAGGAACGCCAACAATGCATCACACCAGGAGTAAACCATTCGTAGCAAATGCAACCAAGCCAATGAGTTAGTTGCTATTCTGCGAAGCCTATCTCCAAATACAAAAGAACAGCACTCCGAAAGTGTAATTATGCAAGCCTAGAACTAGACATATGTTATCCTTGATACATAGTTTGGTGGGACAAGCGGATTCATTGCTTTTTTAAAACCGCAGTGAAAGCAGCCGTGTTTTGCAATATTGAATCTGCGAATGCCTTACATGTTGCGCAAATTCAACCCCAGAACATAGAATGATTGTCTTTTTGCCGTTCTGCAACAATCATCCAAAACAAGAGAAAGTGCAGCTCAGCAAAAAATGGTTCGTTTCTTTTGTGTGTGTGTGCGATGGCGGACTCCATCTGTTTCAGTCTGCTTTCGTTTTAGTATCCGCGGTCATCCATGCCGTCCGCCACACGGTCACGAACGTCTCCTCCTTCGAGTCTGTTCCAGTCCCAATCGAGGCTGGAGTGGTTGTTGGTGTATCCTTGCGATCGGAACAGGTCACGGAACATGCCTCGAAGGTAAGCAATGTTGGGCTTGGCCTCGAACTTCAAACTGCGGCAGTAAGCCAAGTACTCGGCAAACTGACTGGGGCATCCTTGGCAGAGCGCTGGGATTGTGATGGATTGCTTCTTTTCCATAATCAGCTTGTACTTCTTTGTGGCGGACTTTGCCTTGAGTCCCTGCCATGGGAGTCCTCCCTTGAGAAAGTAGACGAGGACGTATCCAATGGACTCCAAATCGTCTCGTCGGGACTGCTCGACACCCAAGTGATTGTTAATAGAGGCGTAACGAGGAGTACCAGTCAGAGATCGTCCTTCTCTCTGAGGAATGTGCTGCAGAGTCCTAGGATGACGATAGCGCTTTGATAGACCAAAATCAATGCAGTAAATGAAATTGCCATTTCCACGCCCGGCATCCGTGACAAAGTTAGCAGGCTTGATATCACGGTGAATCAAGTGGCGCGAGTGCATGAGCTCTACTCGCTCCAGCATTTGATCGGCCACCATCAAGACAGTTTTCAGCGAGAACCTTCTGCCGCACTTGTTGAATTGATCCTCCAAAGAAGGACCCAACAGATCCATAACCATCAAGTTGTACGAGTCTTGTGTTCCAAAGTAGTGCACCTTGGCAAATCCAGGAGCATTCTGCAATTCACGATAGACCTTGTATTCGTGACGCAGCTGCGGGCATCGAGCTCCGTGCTTTTCAAATTTCACAGCAACCTACGGTCATCAGCAGCAGTAGAAGGAGCAAGAAGAGTAGGCAACAAAGGGAAGCGTTGGTGAGGTGGGGTTGGATTCGATTCATCAAAGACACGAACGAAGGAACGATCGCCATCTATCCAACAAACAGACACACATCCGCCAATCACTGCTGCTGCTCTCGACACAGCTGCTACTGCTGCTGCTTCAAGAGAGAGTAGTAGTGGATGTCCTCGGCTCCAACAACAACAACATTCACTCGCAAGATGATTCCTCATCCTACGTGAAATCCACGTACAAAACCTACTGCGGACCAGACACTTTTAACGACTCCATTTTGCCTTACCTTTTCTCCATTGGCTCCTACACCCAAATAGATATCACCAAAGGATCCGCCACCAACCCGCTTGGTGATGCGGTATTTCTACAACAGCAACAACATCCACAGTTAGAACAAGACAACAAACAACAACAACAAGCACAAGCTCCAACATGGTGATACGCACAGAGATCGACGATTGCATGGTGGTTGTGCCTCCTGCAATCTCACAATGAGAGAGAGACGCCGAGTTTTTTCTGCGATGACCTCCAGCCAAAGACTGGCATGCCACACTTGCCCTACAGCGAAGACACTCCGGTTACGATTCAGCGATGAACGGACAAGCCACTATGGAAAGCCTGCAGACTTGATGACGTGCGCGGTCACTTAAAGCAGTACAGAAATCAGAGAGGACTATGTATTGTTTCTGGAAAAGAAAGTCTCACGCACTTTCGATCTGCACCTAATCATTAAATCCATCACGTTCTGTCATTGCTGGGACGTCATCCTCAGAAAGTCTATACGAACTTTGGAACCAGCGATTCAATGATATCTTCAAAGCTGTAGATGAACATAACATTGATGGTCTTCGTCCTGAGGATAGAAAAGACGTTCAGGCTCGATCGTGCCTGCGCTGGCTTTGACGCAGCCACAGCGTGGATGGATTTGAGGGCCGTTGGCTGGTGTTTGTTCAGTGGGCTTCACAGAGAAACGGAACAATTGGAGGGCAAGCTAAGGGGCACTTTGCAATCGAGAATCGAATCAATCGATTGATGAGTGCACAGTGCACCGGACGACAGTTTAGTTTTTGCGGTTGCGGAACCGGGGAGTTGGGACGAAGGCGATGGGAGAGCACATTGCAGCTGGCAATACACGATGTGCTGGTATCATGGACTGGAGAGACTTGGCTGCAATGAACAAAACTTGGTGCCCATTTGCAGGTGACAAAATCCTAGCAGCTAGCTAGCTATCTAACCTCCTCTAGCTAGAGATAGCTCAGGTCCGAGTCGAGTCCACTAGAAACGCCACCAAGGGAGAATAAGGTGCGGTTCTAACTAAGTAGGGATAGCAGCAGAGGTGCTGATACCAGCAAGCTAGTAGTAGCTGGCTAAGCTACATATCTAGCCAGCTTAGCCAGCCCGCACCTCGCTCGGCCGTTGCATGGAAACCCTGCCCTGCACCCTGCACCAAAGGGCAGGGTCATCCCAGTTGGTTTCCATGTTCCATGTGACTGGCAGCTTCTGTGCAAAGTTCAGGGAGGACTAAATCCTTCTTTGACACCAAAATAGTCTTTTGGTTTTGCCATTCTCTTCTCTTTCTCTAGCTGGGGTGGTGGGACTGCCACTCACATCAGTCACACAAGAGGTCTCTCACATCCTTTGCATGGATCCCAAGCAAAGCTTCACTCCATGGGTCTCCATGCTTGAGCAATCTGGCTACCAATGCTGTAAATTGACAGGCAGGAGGAGAGCTTTCGACTAGCATCAATTTCAATCTCCTGGTACCATCTTCTGGTTTTCTGGCAGGTTCTTGGTTATCTTTGCTGGCTGGTGAGGAATGGAATGTTCTTGCTTGGGATTGCTACATCACGGCTTCTACACAGGAGAAAACATGACAAAACTATTGGCACAGTACTTGTGCCACTGCCGTTACTGTACCATAAGACTAAAAAGACAGAACAATTGCTGCAGGCGTCAGTAGCAACACAAAACTACCTGCTAGTTTACTCTGACAACAAAGCCCAATCTGGCTAGCCAGCCAGCCAGCCAGCCAGAGACGAGATAAGATGATATGAGTGTGTCACTTTTGACATACATGTACCGTCCCACAAGCCAAACTCCCATGGAGCGAGACCCTTCTCCGCAGGTGAAATGTAGGTTTGCTTGTATACTGTGAATGGTTCGACTCGATTCCAATCCAATCGAATCACATGACTTGATGAGGTGGAGTCCCATGGTAGGGAATGAAGTATCGTGTCGTGGTATTTGTATTTCCAGTTCGTTCATGGACAGAGGTGATTGTCTGTACCATCATGACACCACCGCTGCTGCTACTACTACCAGTACCATCCGCCGCATTGCTAGCTCCTTCTGGTTGCGCTTGTGGTTGAAACTCAAAGTTTTCCGTGACTTTGATAAGTCCATTCACCGTCCAACAAGAGCTCTCAATCTTCAAATACTGACGCGTATTGTCGTCGGAAGTGGCGAGTGATGTCAAGAGACGGAAGTCCGGTGGCAAATAATCCTCCACTTCCTCTCCCAAAGGCAGATTTACGACCACATCGGCGCGTCCTCGTTTGATGATTTTGACGCGCTTGTTGTTGCTGTTGGTGGTGAACTGAATAGTGTGAAAGATGTCAAACTTTTGTTCTCCCCGTTCGTGCATTTGAATGCAGAATTCGTTCACACCCATGGCTTCCAAGTAACCACGCATCGACCATTCGCCTTTGGACTTGTCCAAAATCCAACAGCCGTTCAAAGATGTAGGATCCGCTGGAGCCGTTGCTGCTGGCTCTGGCGGAACAGCCACAGGAGCAGGGGCCTCTACAGAAGGAGGATCCACGTCCAGTGCCGTCGCTTCCTTCGCTTCCTGAATCTCCGTCGACATCTTCTTTGATCTCTTCTTTGGCCGCATCCTCTCTTGCTTGTGGCGCGTTGTTTCGTGAGTTGTGTCATTTGTCATTTGTCGCGAAACTGATAGGCGCTTTGGGGACACTGTGCTTCTTTTCTAAAGACCTTAACCTTACCGTACCGTAGTAACCGTTTCTCACCGTTCGCCGCCGCATCCCCATGTTGCGTCTTTTCCCTCCCCTCTCTTCTCTCTCCATCCTCACACAAAAGACCAGAGTATCGTCCAGGCAACTAGCTATCTAGCTCTAGTAGTTTATAGTAGCCGGAAAGACTGAAGGAAAGTAACTGAAGATGAGTGAAGCCTGGGAGGAAGTGAAAGGAAAGGATCTTCTCTTGAAAGTACGTCCAGATACCCCAATCGGCTCATTTCTTGTTCTTTTGACCTGTGAGAATGATTCAATCTAACTCCGTGCTTCCCTGCCATAATAATTAATTAATAGGTCCTTTCCAGTACAAAAGGTGACGAAGCCCGTGATATCAAAAAGGGGGATGCCATTTTGTTGGATTTGGTAGCTTGGCGCTGCGAAGAACCTCCAACCGAAGTATTGAAGGACGATGACGCTGCCACAGTCTTTCAACAGGTCAAGAGTTTGTTGGTGATTGTGGGCGAACAAGATCTTGTCGAAGGCGTCGACACTGGTTTGCTCAATATGAAAGAGGGTCAAACGGCCTATCTCTTTTGCACTTCCAAGTTTGCCTTGGGAGAAGGAACCAGGAAATACCAAGACTGCGAGATTGCTCCCAACACGAACGTCGTCTATCGTGTGAGCGCAACCTCTATTGTCCAAGATACCTCTCGTTTGAATCCCTACTTTTCCATTCAAAAGGCGCTCACCCGAAAGAAAATTGCCAATGACTTGTACCAGTACGAGCTATTGAGTCTTACCGCCAAGGAGGCTGCCGACAATACACGAAATGAAGCCGCCAGAATGAGAGCTTTGAAATTGTACCGGCAGGCGGGCAGAGACATGAAAGATCTGTTGGATGGAACCTACTTTAATTCCGTCGAGCAAGATCATCCACAACGAAAGGAATGCAAACAACTCATGATTGATTGTTACAACAATGTGGTGGTGGTGTACATGCATGGGAAACAATACGCCAAAGCACTGGATGCGGTCGAAATGGCACTCAAACGAGATCCCAAAAACCTAAAGGCACTCATTCGCAATGCCAAATTGCACGTGCTGCTGGCCAGTTCCGAAAAGAAACTCAAAGAAGCCGATGAGGCTCTGAGCATGGCAGAAAATGCCATTAGTTACCGGGACCAAGCAGAAGAAGCAGAATTGAAGAAAATCCGATTGCAATACAAGCAACGACGCAAACAAGTCTTGGGACAATGATGATATTTTTTATACAGTATGATACCCAAGTTTTTTAACTTGCGCGACTCCTGAACTAACTGGAGGAAGGGCACAAAGTACGCACTGGCGGTATTATTTGATATTTAGATTACAAGATGAACATGGCTGCCTCCTCTTGCCAGCAACCTGGACATGGCGTAAGAGAGCACTCAAGTAGGAAGATTCGGTTTGATTCGTTTTGCTCGCAGTTGCTTACTAGAGTTGCCACTTTCAAGAAAGGAAGGATTCGATTCTTTCGCATGTAGTACTAGCCAGTCTGTCAAGAGACGCGGTTGGCCTTGCGTTGCCCACAATGTAGGATTGATTGTTTTTTTAAAGAAACCGACAATCAAGTCTCGACGAAAAACGAATCTTCAGTCCTCCTCTCGCAAAGGCTGATTTCTCTGGTTGGCAACCACGCCAATGCCATCCCCGATGCAACGGCGAATGTGATCGCCGAGGATCTCCAGTCACGCACCGACAATCCAATTCGATTGGCAAGAAGGCGTCGACAACGGCCATCAATGGCAAACCAAGTAGATCTAGGAATACCACCCAGGACAGCAGTTCATGTTGTCGTCCTCCTCCTTGATCGTGGCTTCTACTGTAGTTCTTTCGGCTGGACTCCATGACAGCATTGGGGCTGCATCGGCAGGAGCTTGCTCCCTAGGATCAAAGTACCGGGCACCGTACGGTACGTACGAAGTGAAGTGAAGACCTCACGATAACAACTTCGCACCACTCCCGGAACGTCGTAGTAGCAGAATGTAACTTACCGCTTCTATTTGCACCTCAGGCTGTGCTCTCTGAAAGTGCCCCCACTCCTCCAGCCCGTTGGCTTCTCTTGTACTATACTACTATTGAAGCTATTACACTTTTTATACCTGACCCATCACAGATCCATGGCTCTGCATTTTTACTACACCAGTCTATGTGGCTGACGGCTAACCGCATCGGAAGTCGCCTTGCTTCGGCCCTGTCTTGGGAGGCCGGTGAACACTCTCGCGTGCTTTCATGGTGATAACAAGTCAAGTAGTATTGTGATCGTCTAGCTAGACGTAGCTGCTTGCCTTTCTCGTGCATGCATGGGAGTTAATTACTTTCCTTTGTGACTATCAGCCAGCACGGGTCGACCTGTCCAAGGCTATTCTAAAGTACAGGATCTTGGGCCAGGACCTAGCTATCAGGCGGCCCGGCCCTTCCATGATGCACATACACAAGGAATCAAACCCATTTCCGTGTTCGGCACCAAGATGTATGTGTTACCGTAGGCCAGCAACTGGGGTCCAGTGTTGCCGCCGCGCAGTAACGTTACTAGTACCACCTTCTCGTGGTCCCTAGTAGCTACCGGTAGCGTAGTCAAGGTATCATACGGTACCAAGCCGCTGTGTCTGTGGCCCGCAGTCCTGGGAGTTACTCTCACTCCTTTCCCAATGCCAGACTTGGGATTTCGTAGCCGCTAGCTAGCTGGTGACATGTAGAGCCCTCTTTCCCACTACTAGTAGCACCTTCAGGAAACCACAAGACCAACAGGAAGGCGCCAGGTTTTACCCGTTTTGCCTGCTTCGCCAAAAAAGTCGCGATAGTCGCGCTAAAGTCGCGCTAAAAGTCGCGGTATAGTCGTGCGCGACTTTCAGTTGGATCAAAATAGTCGCGATATAGTCGCGGTAAAGTCGCGGTACAACACTAGTTATTTAAAAGCAAAGTCGTTCTAAAGTCGTTCTAAAGTCGCGAAAGTCGTTCTAGTCGCGGTAAAAAGTCGCGATAAAGTCGCGGTGCGCGACTTTAGAACGACTTTCGCGACTTTAGAACGACTATTGACTATTGGGAATTTTCTGAAAATCTGGTGCCTTCCAGGAGGGAGGCGGGAGAACCAGCGTTGTGCTGGGCAAAACGAGGAAAGGGTTAGTACTGTACCGTATGGAACTAACTAACTGGTCATGGTACCTGTACCGTAAGCTTTACTGCTCGTCCAAAAAGCTCAAAGGATCCAGACTGTATGAAGCATGACCGTACCACGAGAATATGAATACCGCAGAGAACATCAAGATATAGAACCTATGGCAACGCCGGAAAGACACGCGACCACTTTGATAAGAGTAAACCAGCCAAGAACAAACGGTCAAACTACAGTAATACCACCACCATCTTGCTAACCAAACAAGCCAACAATCGCTCGGGACCATCAGCAAAGCCAAGGTTCCGTTGGATACGAACATCCAATGCGGTTGTTGATCTCCTTTCATAATTCCAAAAACGAAGAGATCAAGAACAACAAGACAACAAAAACAACACCTTCCATCGGATCTTTTATCATATACCCACAGAAACTTTCAAGAACATCTTTTTTAAAGACGAGATAACAAAGATGAACATCACAAGCGCATCATACCCTTACAGTGGGGATATTAGTACCACTTCCTCTTTGATGGGAGGCCAAGAAACCTGGCTGAGGTCTGCTCTGAACCCCAATTTTGTATCTGGAAAGGCTTGGGGGTTGGACAAGTATGCTGATTTCGAAATGCCTTTTGACAATTTGAGTGAGACGTGGCCAACGGTGTTTCTTGTGGTTGCTCTCTACCTCTTGATGGTCTTTACTGTCAAGCCACTCAAACAGCAACCAAGTCCAGGAAAGGCTTGGATGCCAAATCTCAACTTGGTGGACCTGCAGACCTGTCGTCATGCTTGGAACACATGCTTGGCCCTTTACTCCGTTTTGGGTTCCCTGCACATGCTGACCTACATGGCCCACAGAATTTCCAGTGAAGGATTCTACGCTGCTTTCACTGCCCCTGATGACTCCTTTGACGACGGACCTGTTGGATTCTGGTTCCTTTTGTTTACCCTTGGAAAAGTGGTAGAACTCGGAGACACAGTTTTCCTATTGCTCAGTGGGCGCAAGATCATGTTCTTGCATTGGTGGCATCATGCCACCATGCTGCCATGCTGCTGGTATGCGCTTCAGGCCAAGATCCCAATGTTCCGTGCTTGTACAACAATCAACTACAGCATCCATGCCGTCATGTACTCCTACTTCGCACTCAATGATACAAGTCTCTGCGAAGACAATCCCAACTTTCGCTACACATGGGCTCAGAGAATCACAACCATGCAATGCACACAATTTGTCCTTTGCTTGATGATCATTGCTACGGGTGCTTATGACAGGTTTATGTACAACAATACCGATATCCCCTACCCCTCAGTCGTCTTGTCCTACTTTATCCTTGGAGGCTACTTGTACTTGTTCCTGCAGTTTGCTGAGGAAAAGTATGCCTACAAATCTCAGGTTCGAAGAGCTGTCATACAGCTTTATGCGAAGTATGCTGTCGCCAGCGCAAGCAATGACACCCAATCAGAAGACTCCCAAGTTCCATGGCACAGATCCGATTTGACATTGGAGCAACGTTTCCAAGAGGCCACTAAAATGGCAGCCATGTTGTATGGTTCGGCAACCAAAGAGGACTTGGAGGCCATGTACGGGTGTTACAAACAGGCACGGGAAGGACCCATGCCACAGGAAATGGCCAACAGCCCAGAGCCAACACACGATGAAAAGGCCCTTACCAAGTACCGCGCCTGGAAGTCTGTTCAAGACTTGACGCAAGAACAGGCACAAGAGAAGTACATTAGCATTATGGATGTCCTCCGTGAACGATCTCAAGCCAGTACCGAACAAAACAAACAACAGCGACGAAACAAAAAGCAATCAGCTGCCACCAGTGGCGCTGCCAACCAAAAGTCGGGAATTCTCTACCCAGTCAGGATTGCAGGACACGGAAGATACCTTCCCAGAAGGGTGGTGACCAACGACGAGATTGAAGAGATGGGAGGTTTCGAGTTGTCATCGCAAGAAAAGAAACGAACCGGTGTGCTTCAACGACACTATACGGATGTCGATGGGGGTGAGAATCTTGTTCAAAATGGGGCGAGGGCGATTCGGGCTGCATGTGCCAAAGCTGGAATTGATCCTGAGGACTTGGATCTGATTATTGGCGGCTTTGGTGGTCATCAGGTTCTGCCAGACGATGCAACTCTGGTCCAACGTGAACTCGGATTGGGTGAGAGCGGCATTCGAGCTTTCACTGTCCATGCCACGTGTCTTTCCTTTTTGGTGGGCATGGAAGTTGCTGGCTCCTTCATGCGGGATGGAAAATACCAAAAAGTGGCAGTTTTTTGCTCGTCCATTTCCAGTGTTGGCATCTACAAGACGGACCCTCATACCGCTGGCTTGTTTGGTGATGGAGCCGCTGCAGTGATCTTGGAACCAGCATCCAGCGGAAACAATGGCAACAGCAGCGTGAATGACGCTGGTATTCATGGTGTGCACATGGAAACATATGGCATTGGTGCAGATACCTGTCGCATCAGGGGAGGTGGTAACCATCGCCCATACTACCGTCCCGATTATGACGAGCGAGAGTCTTATTTTGAAATGGATGGACAAGGTACACTGTCACTTGTTTCCAAGTATGCTCCTGCTGCACTCCACAACTTCATCCCTGGTCTGGAACGAGGTCTGAACAATTTGAAGCTACCTGGGTCTGATGAACGCGTGACTGTGGATTGGGTAGTTCCCCATCAAGCTTCTGCTGTTGCTGTGGATTCCTTGGCCATGTTTGGTTGGCCGGACGAAAAGATCTTGAAAACCTTGCACAAGTATGGCAACTGTGTCTCCTCATCGCTTCCATTGACCTTGTGCGATGGCATCGACAACAACACAATCAAACGAGGAGATCGGGTTCTACTTTGTGGAACTTCTGCAGGCATAAGCTGTGCTTCCATGCTGTTGACATACTAAATTGACAATGGAACGGCAATTTGGCTGTTGGAAGAACAAAGGCAAGCGCGCTAGCTAGCTAGTAATACATGTAATTATTTGAAAGTGGTATGACAAAGATTGGTACAGTACAAACGGCTAGCTAGGCGACAACCGTACTAGTAGTACTCCTTTAGAAGTTAGCTTATTGTCGGCAAGGGCCAGCGAAGATTGACTTTGTCATTGGGAATGGCGGCAGCTCAAGGAGCCCAGGAACACAGAAGGGCACCCAGCATCTACATGTAGAAAAGCAACTAGAAAAACCGACTTCTCTTCCCGCCAGGTTGACTCCCACTTTCACTACTACCGGTAGTATTGGAACCAGCGATTGAACGATTCAATCATTGCTTCAATGCAGAGGACTCTCGAAATCTTCTCACAAACGGAATATACTGGCCATGTGTTAGTAAGGCTCCAAGCCCAAGACAAGAAAGTACTCTACGTCCAATTTTTATTCAAGGGTGCTTGTTTTCCTCCTCACGATGGGTACAGACCTTCCTCCTCGTGAGAGCTGGAACTCGTTTCACCAAAAGAACAGGTGGGGGTTATCAAGGAGACCTTCCACAAGGATGCCAACGTGCCTGATGAATGGAGTCCTGCTTCTTTGCTGCATCAATCCATTCAAAGCAACCATGGAACGTATGCGGTCAAGACGACGATCTCGTGCAGCAGCGAGACGGGCCAAAAGAGAGACCATAATTTCTCCAGGACCCATCTGGCCACAAGACAGATACCTTTGCAATCATGACACTGTTAGTATGAGAAGAGTATCAACAATGTCCTGATCAGGGATGGCTTAACTTGATGAGGCTAGCAAGCTAGGTATAGATTGAGCTCGCCTTGCTTGACCAGAAACGAGCTCCAAAGAAATAATTACTTGACTTGTCAATACCCGTCCCTATGAGTTATCCCGTCAACCAAGTACTGCTGTACAGAGCAAGGATAGAACAACTTATCCATTACTGCCATGTCGATTATTAGTCGCCCTTGGCTTCTCAGATGCAATGCATTCGGTAGCAGCTGTAGGTCGTCCGTTTTGGATCTGGTTCTGTCGGGAAGCGATTGTTTCAATTGCAAATTCTGATGGCTTGTTTATGCAACACTTCAATCAATCCTACAGTACTCACAATAGGGGAGAGCATGGTTGGAATGAACCTATGCTTGTCAAATGTGTGTCCACACCTGCATGTACTAGGAGGTTACCAGCAGAGTTCAGCGTGCAAGGCGGAGCGTGGAAACAGGGGATTATGGCGGGAAGCTCACTTGTCCAATATTTTTGGATCTTTGGCGGTTCTCAAGAAAGACCATCCTTGGAACCACAATCAACTTCAGCTCCTTCACATGCCAATCCAGAGACCGACCATGCTTCTATTCTCCACATCTTGTCTTGTCTTTGTGGCAAGTGTATGTATAATTCTTGCTGGCGAAGTAGTCCTGGCGAAGAGTGAATATGAGACGGAAATAGCTTTGGTAACATGTGGAACGACGAAAGGCGAGTTTGAGATGACCTTCTTCCGAGACTGGAGTCCCAATGGCTATGATCGGGCAGTGGAATTGTTCAAGGGTGGCTTTTACGATCACAGTCACTTTTTTCGAGTGGTTCCTCGCTTTTTGTGCCAATTTGGGATCAGCTATACCGACAATGCCGCACTCAAGTCCAAAGGCATGAAGCAAATTCGAGATGATCCCCTTCAAAAGTCGGTCCACTTTGAACAAGGTACCATCAGTTATGCTGGATCGGGGCCCAACAGTCGGACTTCCCACCTTTTTATTTCGTTCATGAAATCTGGACAATTTGGATCCAATCCCTGGGAGACACCAATAGGCAAGGTTACCAAAGGATATGACGAGGTTGTTGCAAAGTTCTACGCGGGATATGGAGACATGCCACCATGGTAAGTGCATTGCTGAATTGGCCAGACCAGCTGGTACAGTTTATCCTGCAACTACACGTCATTGTGCTGTGGTCAGGAAGCAAATTTCTTGCAACTCAAGCCGGCTTGTTGATTTCTTCCACACCATATAAATGTCAGGGGGAAAGGACCCCAACAGCAACCAATCTACGATGGCCCTCATTATATTGAAGACAACTTTCCAAAGCTGGACAAATTCTTGACATGCAAGGTAGAAACAAAGGTGACCAAGGGAAGCAATGTCCCACCCGTTTCAGAGCCGGATATTGACGAAGAGGATCCTTATGGGTTTGCTGATACCAGTGATAGTCGTGATGAGGAGAGTGATGATAGCGATGATGCAGGGCATGATGAACTTTGAAACAACGATCATCAATTCACTCTCTTTGATTTCTGGGACGCGGTTGGTTGGCTTTTTGGCCCCATGGTTTCGTCCAGTACCGTAGCTGGAATAGACAATTCACATCTATCTGAACCCGTAGAGTTTGTATCCAAGTCCAGCGTCACAGAAGCAAAGAAATAATGGCAAGGCTTGCAGAACGAAAATTTGGCAAAGACAGTTAGCTGGGAAGATTTCCCGGGCCAGGATCAACGCCTGCAGTGATGACAAGGGGAGTTGTAGTTTGGTTGTTCTTATGATATTATGATATTGTTATGATTGTGAATATGCGGAATTCTTGTCGTTCCAGCGAGTGATCCAGTTGCCAGCTTTATGAATGTGTTGGTACCGTATCAAACTAGCGTCGATGGGGTCCAATCTCCTTCACCAAAAGAAGGTACAAATCTGCCAATTGCAAGTCATCCAGTTCTGACTTTGTTGGAGGAGGAGGATGCACCGGTTGTTGTGGTCCCCGGTGCTGCTGCCATGGATGCTGCTGCTGCAGCTGCTGTGTCATCATGGCACTAGCATTGTTGATGTTAGCATTGTTGATGCCCATGCGGCCTGTCGCGCGCCCTTGTTGAAGCGCCAGCATTTGCTCCACTGGAAGCACATTATTTGCGGCCAAGGCACCTCCGTGGGCCGACGACGACATGCCCCCACGAGCCATGGACGCTGCAGCGTCTGTTCCCATGAACAAACCCACGCCTCTAGTATTGTAGTGTTGACGCTTGGCTGTATCGGCTGCTTTGTCTTCGGTGGGTGGGACAACAGGCAACTCTGGAGGAGGCGGAGGAAGGAACTGGTGCTCGATGAGACTCGGCGACGTTTTCTGCTTCTTCTTGGGCGGAGTGCTTTTGGTGGCGTCGTCACTGTTTTTGCGTGATGGAGGTTTGCTACCACCAGGAGCAGAAAGAGAAAGAAGGCTCTCAGCCACATCCCCCATTGGAGTATCTTCGGCCACAGCGTCGGGAGCCGTGCCTGGTTCGGAAAGGACCGAAACCTGTCTCTTTTTCTTGGGTGGCATAATTGACTGGGAGTCTTCAGTGCTACTGATTGCCTCGATGGAGCTATCTTCTTCTTCTCCTTCTCCCCCCTCAGACTCGGTCATGCTGTCTTGCGAATCCAATGTCTTTATCTCGTCTGAAAAGTCATAGCCAATGGACCGCAGTTTGTCAGCGCACTCTCGAGACAGACTTCCGTCCAAGATGGCATGACGCTGGGATTCCAGCCACTTTCTCAAGTTGAAATTCTTGGGCTTGAAGTTCTGGGGATGCTCCTCGCGGTACTCCCTGAGCTTCTCAAACATGACAGACCATTGCTTGCCTCGTGGATTTGCCCAGGTAAAACCGAGTTCCTCCAGTTTTTCGCGGCGCTCGTCGCTCATGAGGAACTTTTTCTTCTTTTGTTCCCCCACCCAGATCCCAAGTTGTTTGTCCTGCTTGTACTGGATAGGTACGCGGCAGTGACCGTGCTGGCCCTTGAATCCAGCCAGGGCAGCGTAGCTCTCCAGCCAACTACGACGTCTGGCCGTGCCAGAGCCTGATGTAGTGGCTATCAAATCCGCGGAAGGCACAATGGTTGGAGCTGGAGATGGTGTGGGTGGTGTTGTCGTTGCATCCTCCTCATCCTGTTCATTCTCCTCGGTCAAAAATCGACTAATCTTGGTGGCAGCAGTCTTATTGACGTCCAGGACTGCTGGAGATAAATTCATCTTTTTGATTTTTTTCTTCTTTGCCTTTTGGTTGGAGTCTGTGCTGGCATTGCTAATATTGCCTTCTGGTGGAGCAATTTGTTGTTGATCTTGCTCACGCTTGGCTTGAACACTTTTTTGCAGTGGTCTTACTGGAAATCCAACATCGCGCAGACGGTTGTAGCGTTCTTCATTTAGCAGTCCTCTTCCTGAGTACTCTCTCTGGTTGCAACACCATTTGACCAGTTCTGGGTCTTCTTTGTTGGCACTGAAAACAGTTGCAAGGTCATTCTTTTCTCGGTATTCCAACAACCGTTTAAACATACCATTCCACTTGTCATCGGAACGACGTTGGCGTGGATGCCATTCAAATCCAATCGAATCCAGAAGCTCCTTTCGTTCTGGTTTCAGCACATAGCGACTTTCTCGCTGCGTGGACACCCATTTTCCCAATATTTTATCCTGTGCGTATCGCAGGGGTACCATGCAATCACCGCGCTCCTTCTTGTATGCAACCAATTGGGCATAGTTTTCCTCCCAAGTTCGGACTTGGTTAGGCATAGGAACGATCGAGATAACCGAGATAACAAGTGGCAACAAGAACCAAATCAAAACTACTAGCTAGAGAAAATAACAAGGCGATGCAACAGACTTTGTGATGTCGGGTTTTGAAGAGGTGGGAGATAACACTGGCTCAACTCCAAGCACGAATGCACCAAACTTTGAGGGTTTAGACTTATTCGTAAAACGTAAAATGGGCGATTGCATGAAGAGTCTATGCTATTTATTCGTCTTTGATGGGTACGGTACTACGGAGCTGCTAGGTACCGGTAGCTGGCGGTCGCCACATAACACTGAATTATCTGCATTGTCGGCACGAGGCAGCAGAACTCGGGTTGACTTTGTCAAACCCAGTAAGACACTCACACTTTTTGCTGCATTTGAATTCATTCCAACGCGTAAGAAGCACCAACAACCCATGTTTGACTGGAAGAAACGAGAACGTGATATCTGTCCTAGTACGACTAGAACACGGACCCGCTTGCTTCGCCTATTCCTACTGTTTTACTGTGAGATGTTTGATCCGGAACCATGAACGAGCCGCTTGAGATTTCTCTACTCTTGCGGTTGCAAGGTAAGAAGAAGAGACGCCCAGGTTTCAGGCCCAGGTGTGAGCTAGCTAGAACCCCTCGGGCAATCCTGGCAATGGTCGGCGGATTGGTGCTGAATAACCAGCACGTACGGTACAACCCAGCAGACCCGAGTGGTGGCTGCGGGCCGCAGCAAGCTCATCAGCTCCTTTGACAGCTAGCTACCGCAGCCAGGCAGCAGTCCAACAACAGCAACCTTGACCGAACCGGTACCATCATCCAATTGGTGCCATTGTGGTTGTAGCTGACATTGCAGGTTTCTTCACAGCGGTACGGTACGGTACGGTACCTCCAACGCCGCGAGAACACGGCGGGACAGTTGAGATTCCTCAGGGAAAGCCCTCACTGCAAACGCTTTTCCTCGTTCGGTGCGTGCTCCTTCAAGTTAAAGCCTGCTACTAGCAAGGATGTCGCTCCCAGCCGACCCCAATGCTGTTGCTTCGGATTCAATGGCAAGCACTTCTTCTCAAACCGCAAACCACAACCGGATGGCTTTGGAACTCAACTTCCAGCAAAGCCGCTCGTTTCAAAGGCAAAGAAGGGCCTTTGAAAAACAGTCCCGTGAACCTTACGGGAGATCTAGCTACCAGCTTGCTTTTAATGCTCAGATGGCGGCGACAACTCTGTAGTACGTAGTGAGGTTGTCCTTGTACCCCTTGGTTGTGAGTTGGATGGGGAGGATGATGGGGAGATACCACGCCGGCTTGAATATCGCTTGGCCTTGTCGAGAATCATTGTTTCCAATGGGACATCCTTTTTCAAGACTCAATATTGTGTGAAACTGAAACTTTCCCCCCTTCAAGACAAACAGAACAATGACAGCGACGGGCAAAGTAACAACGTCTTTATGGTTGCTCTTTCGAGGCTAAATGGAGCAATGAGAATTGCGTTTATGACGACCTTGATGAGAGTGAATCCATTTGTTACCGTCATTAGCAGAGTGAACCATTCAAATATCTTTCCCTGGTTTGGACAACCTGCACTGAAAGCTAAAATGCTCTGACTGATTCCATTCTTGAACGGCCGGTTACAACCTGTTCGGGAGCGCTCGATGACGATGAATGGGCCCTTCCAAGGAAGAAACATGGTTGATCTGGTGTATTCTAGGTCAATGGAGTGCATGAGCTCTCTTTGCTTCATTGGACTAGAGCAGCCATGACCTAGAGGCAGGGTCTACTGGCGGGGGGAGGACCGGTATAGAAGGATCAAAAAGTAATAGAATTAGAACAGAACAACACGTGTGTGGTACCAGTACAAGGCAGAAGTGAGCTCTGTTCCCGACCATTATGTAGTCCCAGTAAAGCCAGACAACCAGAACTACCGCTGCCTTGTGCAGTAGTAGACTAGCTCTCTTTTTTCCACACCATGGGGACTCTGGGACTGGCGAGCTGTTTACTGGCCATACCCAAGGTGAGAGCGTAGGCTGGTGTTCGCAAAATGCAGCTTCGCCGATTTGAAAAGAGATCCAAACTAAGTCAGCGGGAGCTGCGATACCTCGGCAGAAAGACAAATAGAAGAAAGAGGATCGTGTTTGAGATTGCATCCTTCTTTCAAGGTAGCCTTCCCTCATTATACCTTCTTTTTTATGTAAGCTAGCCCTGGCGACAACACCCGACTTCGTCGTGTGTTGCCGCCCACTATCATTCCCTCATTGTAACCTTCTGTTTTGTATTAAGCTAGCATTGGCATAGCCACGGGCTAACCCATAATTACAGCTATCATTCGATTGTGTAACTCTAAATTTACAACACCTGCTGGCTTATTGTGTTTTTGTCCTGAGTGCACTAACCTTAAATTACATTGATATATTCCTACCCCTAACTTTATTGAACCTTCAATTTCCAGTTTTGCCAGCTTACATTATCTCTATCCTTATCCTGGCTTCACCGGAATAGGGGATCCCACAGACACAAAACGAGGGGATCCCACAGACAAAAACCAGGGGGATCCCACAGACAGAATATTTGCCAATAAAGGGGTAGAGGACTCAGGATCGTCCGACGGTTTTTGCTCAGGTTTAAAAACTGCTCAAATCGTGGTTCTGGTTAAGGGAATGTTAAGGGAATGTTGAAGCTTTAAGGGAATGTTAAGGGAATGTTGAGGATTTAAGGGAATGTTTTAAGGGAATGTTTATTTAAGGGAATGTTCATTTTTTTAAGGGAATGTTCTATGGGGTTTACATGAAGGCTTAAAGGAATGTTTCGAAGCGTTAAGGAATGTTGTTAAGGGAATGTTGATTTAAGGGAATGTTAAGGGAATGTTAAGGATTTAAGGGAATGTTTTAAGGGAATGTTTAAGGGAATGTTTCAGCTGCAAAATTTTGAGTTTTTTAAAACCTGAGCGAAAACCGTCGGACGGTCCAGGCAGTTAACCTGCCGAGGTAAAAAGCACGGACAAGAAACCGGCAGAACCCGATCCGTTGCATGTTGCATGTTGCATCCCTGTTGTTTCCCTGTTGCCTGCCCTCAACGATACGGTATCTCCCAACACCCCATTGCCATAAAACAAAGTTGGCTTAGCATCACATCACAACAGAAAAAGCAGAATGGGAAACAAATCCTCCACAGAATCCTTGGTCTCCAAAGATCCAGATCGATATTTCCCAGTACCACGAGAACAGTACTTGCGATTGGGTCTTGACTCCCCTCCTGAAAATGGTTACGATGATTTTCTAAAGTTGGTTTGGTGTCGTGACATGAAATACGAAAAGCAGCAAGAGAAAAAGGCGGCCAAAGAAGGCAAGACCGATGTCGTCATTGACAAAAAGTATTATCTATGTATTGTTGGCACCTACGAGCCCTATGGGAAGAATGTCCCTCCTATCAACCTGAATAAACATGGATACAAGGCGTTACCCAAGTGGACCGATCCAGATCACAAGGAAGAGATTCTGCGAAATGGGTACTTTTTTCAAAATGACGAATTCATATTGCAGCACTACCCGCAAGCCATCAAACCAGCAGAAGATTATCCCTACGTGGAGCAGTTCGTCAAAGGCTATCAACATTGGAACAATGGACAACAACCAACCAATGATCAAATACGAGAACACAAGATAACGGTGGCAGTCTCGATCATGCGAGACATCAGTCGCTTGGAAGAGGCCGGTGAGGATGACAACGAAACTCTACAAAGATTCAAGGATATATTGCTATCTATGGATCTTGATTCGGAGCTGCAAAAAGAATGCGATAGTCGGATTGGAGAAAAGAAGGATGGCGATGCTGCAGAATAGGCCATCTACTGCACTAACACCCAGGGTGTCACTGTGGTTGGCATGACAAGTCCTTGCTTTTGTAGAATTGAAATGAAATGAATTCCGAAGACAATCAACCTGAACCAAAGCTATCCCGTGCATTTTACTTGCGGCCTCTAGAAGGACAGCCAGCCGGAGGCTAGTGCCCTCAACTTGCATTTTTCTAAAGACCAAGGAAGGGTTCTGGACCGGTAGCCTTAACCTTGCAAGGGAAACCATGCCATATGTACGCAAGGGAAACCGCACCCTATGTATGCGACACTACCGGTAGCCTTAACCTTGCAAGGGAAACAGCGCCTTATGTATGCGACACTATCGGTAGCCTTAACCTTGCTAGGGAAACAGCACCATATGTACGCGACACACACACACACACACACACACACACACAAGATAAAGTTCAAAAGGCCCTCAGCTTGCTAGCTGGTAGTTGAGGGCAATAAGGTGTTAGCATGATTGGAATCCTAAGGATGTTTTTGGGAAGATGCCGTGAGCCTTTGGGTTGGGCGTGTATGTCGATGGCGAGATTTAGATTGACGACAAGCCGTGTAATCCAATGTCGAATAGAGCATACTTTGAACGATAAAAGGTGTCTTCCCTGGGACTAAACCAGGGATTGAGGTAAAGGGAAGAAGATTCGATTCCACGCTTTGAGCTTGCTAACGAGGAAGGTGTTTGTTTGTTTGTTCTACTTGTTGGATTCTATATTGTGTTTTTAAATCTTGCTTTGTGTTCTATTGTACCTGTGGCTGTGGGTCTATCTCGCTCGTGTCTACGAATCATGTGCTGGTATGGGTTGCCAACAAAGAAAGGGCCTGATTGAGTGCTGCTTCCCATTCTTCAGTTGCTCTACCTGCTTGTCAAAACAGCTCAAGCCATCCAATGATCTTTGGTAGATCAAGTCTACCATCTGACTTTGCATGGCCACAACCGAAGAATCTTCTTCATTTCTAAACTCATAGACGGACACCTTCTCTGTAGCAGAACTCATCTCTTGATTGGGGTTAACACCGACCATACCATTGTTAGGTTTGATGTGATGGTTACTGGCTAGGTAGTTGAACCCACAGATGTGATTCTCTACTTACATGTACCGTAGAATAGTACATGTCCGAGTGGCGGAGTTTGGTTGAATCGAATCATCATTTAGACCTGCATGTAATGTACTAGAAGTACTAGACTACATGTAGTACCTTCTACAAGTTTGCCATGGCAGCATCCTTCTTTCTTGGTGAGTTGTACATGTAGAAACCTATTCAACTGTTACCACTAGTAGATGACATTGTATGAACATGGTAAGGTTTGATGTTATGATTACATGTACCAGTACTAGTTGAACCCACAGCTGCTCATGGCTTCTAGCTGAATCTGATTGAATCGAATCATTCAGAGCTGCCTTCCATAAGTTAGCCCTGGCAGCGTCCATCTTTCTTTCTTGGTGAGTGATAGAAAAAGAAACCTATTCAACTTGTGCCACCACAGAACATCATAGCCAAGCCAAGAATGGACTCAGCCCTCCCCATCCATCACATTACCGAAACGCCAAAGCCTATACGGTACCAGCAAGTTATTGTCACTTGACAGAACCGACTCAGTAGAATCAGCATTTCCCAGAGAACAGGACATTTTACCGTTGCTGGCTGTTCTATCTAATGTAGGCCAACCAGTGGGCTAGTCTAGAAGTACCGTTCCAGATAGCCCCAGGTGGTCTTCAATGCCAGTTGTTGCAAGACTTCTTTAACCACTTCTCGCTCCTTTTTGGTAAAGTATTCTTTGGAATAGACTTTACCATCTTTGAATGGACTAGACACACCCCGTTCTTCCAGTTCTAGAAATTCCAATAGTTTGTTTTTGGTAGTTTCAAAAGTACTGGCACCATAGTCTTCATAATGTAGAATCATGGTTTCTATACCCAGATCTTGTGTCGTCACAAAGGCCAAATTGTGCCATTCCACATATCGAAAGAAATCGGAATGACAGGGCACCGATTCCATCTTGGCCAAAATGGAATCTTCATAGACAATAGAGTTGCGTTCGGATTCCTTCCATGTCGTATCCATTTGTTGACAAAAGGCTCGGAATCCCTCCCGCGATTTGGTGGACCCGTTGGTATAGCCCTTTTTCTTTTCTAGTCGTTTGTGTTCAAAGTTAAATCTCGAAACGACATTGTCAAACGGATTGCGGAACAGATGAATGGCCTTGTGCACTAGAGCCGCATCGTATTCTCCCTTGTAGAGAGTGCCATTCTTGACATATCTGGTCGAAAGGCAACGTCTTCGGAAGCTGTGAGTGGCTTCGACGTATCGTTCCGGAGACGTGTTGGTAGTGTACCCACCACAGTGTGTTTTGGTCAAGACATAGGCGTGGGGTGTCTCGTATCCTTTGGACTGAGTGGGATCTACATAAAAGGGGCCTTGCCAATTCCGGTCTTTTTGCTTTTTGTTTCCATCATGATAGACCGGCACGGAACTGCCTTGTAAATCCAGATTTTGTTCGCCATAGTTGCTGGCAGTTTTGGTTCTGGTCAGATGCTTGACCAATTGTCCCGTATACGACGTCCCTGAATTTGGAAAGGACATGAGCCACGCAATGCGAGGATCTGTTTTATGGGCATCGCTGGTGATGGAAATGGAATTTTGTGGTGGAGCCTTTACGAAGAGTGGTGATTCCTTGTTCTTTTTGCCTTGATTGGGAGCTGGTCTCAATCTGCTGCTGGTAGTAGTAGTCTTGGTAGCGTTCTTTTGCTGAGCCAATTTCTTTTGCTGTTTCCTTCCACGGATCGTTGCATTATCATCATCACTAATACTAATACTAGAAGCAGCTTTTGATTTGGACTTGGCCACTTGATTTTGTCGGAGGAGGACTGCTTGGAACCGCTGCACTTGATCCTCAGTCATGAACGTGGTGACCAACAGGGAAGAGGAACCCATGAAAACAAAGAGAAAACACGCCGCACGCCATCGTTTGCTGCTCCCTCGTCGAGGTGACAACCCCTCCGTCTCGACTGCCATCATGGTCAATTAATTTTTTTAAAAAGTGTGAGAGATCCGTTCTATTTTGGCTCGAAGTGAAACACTCCATTTGAAATTTATAGATTTAACGAGGGTACATGGCGCTTAAATAGATATCAACCGATAGAAAATTCCCAGCGCGAGCCAGTACACTCGTGATTTGAAGTCTTGCCTTTGGAATAGCTGACGTCAGATCATCTTCTGAGCAGTCATTGATACCCCGAAGTGACTGGGATCCGACAATTTTGGTTTTTCGAAAAATTGGTACAGTAAAAACAAAGTCCTTGACAGCGCGAACACATCGTCAGCATCGGCACTCCCTGCAGTATCTTTCTTTGGTTGATTGATTGATTGATTGCCAAGTCTGCATACATGCATGCATTTGGTGGAGGCAAAGCTTACATACCGGTAGACACAGACCCAAGGTACTAGAGTAGCTAGAGATCCACCTGTTACAGCATCTCTCATTATTATCAACTATCTAGTTTATTTTGCCCGAGCATACCGGTAGACTTGACTTGTCTGGGAGGATCCTTTGGTTGCCGTTGGTTCAGTTCAGTTCAGTTCAGTTCAGTTCAGTTTGACAAGATCGGAACCGCATCAACAATAAGAAGGCGAAGATCAGGGTATTATCTCCATTATTGCAGTGAGTGTTCGGTTGACCGTTTAGTTATCTAGAGCTGGTACCGGTAGCTGGAGACACAAAGCACAAACCCGCCCAAAGGAGACGGCAGTAGGAAGGAAGGATCAGAGGAGCTTCTGGCAAAAGAAGAGGATCCCAGAAAGTAGTAGTGGAAAGAGGCATCTATACATCTATATCAATACATCCACCATGGCACCCAAGGAAACAGTGGTCGATGATGACGGCAGCAAGAAGAAGGGGGGAAGAAACTTTTTCAAAATGTTCAAAGTCTGTTGTACAGGAAAGGAGGCTTCCAAACCAGGACTATTGGTGCGTCAAAACAGATCTAGAATCGCTTGCCTTGCTTTCTTGCTTGTTCTGAATATACGGTAGCTCACACATTTGGCTGCTTTTTGGCTTGTTTGCTTTCTCTTTTCTGTCTGCCAAATCTTGCACGTTTTGCTTTTCTGTGGTTATACCCTCTTTTGTTCTACCCTGTCCCCCTTTTCAACCCGACACTTCGACCTACCTACCTACATATACATCAAATCTTACCCTGCTACTGCATGTACTTTGCCCACCCTACCCGACCCTTTCCAATGATACCTTTTCTACCCACTCGTGTCACACAAAACCATGATGGAACATCGATTGATTGCAACACGTAACCATACAAATAACCATACAAACAAACACAACAGGATGACGGTGGCAATGAGGTCATGGAACGGTTCGACTCGGCCAAGATTTTGAAACGAGAACAACAGATCCATCTACACACGCAACGTCGGTCCAAACGTCGTGAAAAAATCGCTGCCAAAAAGATTGATATCAGCAAGGGCGATGTCGATCTCATGAAATTCCCCAAAACAGAACACGAACGGGAATTCCTAGATGAAGCTCTGGGAGAAAACTTTATCTTTTCCGATCTCTCCGATCAGGAACGTCATCGCCTCATTGATGCCATGCAAAAACAGGTCGCATCCAAGGGTACTGTCATTATCAAGGAAGGAGACGTGGGAGATTTCTTTTATGTCGTCGAGGAAGGTATTGTCAACTTCCACATTAAAAGTAACAAAGAACCAGTCGGAAACTGTACCAACGGAGAGTCCTTTGGGGAATTGGCGCTCCTCTACGATGCTCCTCGTGCGGCGACCTGCATCGCCGCACAAGATACCGTCCTTTGGAAGGTAGACCAGAATACATTTCGAGTCTTACTCGCGAGGCAAGCCGTCTCCAGAGAAGAAACCATTGTCGGATGGCTCAAAAAGGTGCCCCTCTTTGGACAGTCGCTCAGCGATGCACAGCTGCGCAAATTCGCGGAAACACTCACACCCGTCAAATTCTCCGCGGGAGAACGAATCGTCAACAAGGGGGACAACGGGGATATCTTTTACATTATCGTCGAAGGAAAGGTCAAGGTCCACGAAATTGGTCTCGGTGATAGTCAGGGTGTCGTGCAATCCTACACCCAGGGTGATTGGTTCGGTGAACGAGCCCTGCTCACAGGAGAAAAGCGGGCTGCCAATGTCACTGCCATTACCGACGTCATGACCGAAGCCACCGATCGACAGACGTTCGAACGGGCTCTGGGACCGTTCCAGGATCTCTTGGATAAGGAGATGAAAAAACGAACCCTAAAGGGTATCCCCATGTTTGACTCCAAGAAAATCAACGATTCCGATCTGGACAAGCTTGTCACGTTGCTCTCGGAACAGTCATTCGCAGAGAGTACCAAACTCGCCGAAGAAGGAAAACCGCATCCACAGTCGCTGTGGATAATCAAAAGCGGGGAAATTGTGATATACGACAACAAGGGACAAGTTTTCAATTTGCACAGTGGAGACTACTACGGTGATAATTCCATTCGTGAAGAAGCGGGAAAAAACAGTCAGCAAAATGTGGAATGCAAGTCCGCTACAACCTGCTGGGTCATTACTCGTAGCGAAATCGAGAGTGTCATTGGAGACATGAAGAAGTCGTCGATGTTGCCCGCCTTTGTTCGATCGGATCGAAGGGAAAACATCACCATCGCCGAAGTGAAAAAGCATCGAATTCTGGGAAGTGGTACGTTTAGAATTTTGTGGAATGTTGATCGATTATGCACATTAGATTTGTTTTTGTCATCAGAGAGCGAGGGTCTCAAGAATTGTCTTGCAATACACTGCGCTTCTCCAACGACAGGCGCCTTTGGAAAAGTCTGGTTGGCCACTTACAACGAAAACCCGTACGCATTGAAATGCCTCAACAAAAGACAGCTTATCGACAATGACCAGGTTGACGGTGTGTTGCGTGAAAAGGCTTTGTTGAGCACCATGAGCCACCCCTTCATTTTGCCATGTCACGGCGCTTTCCAGGACGAGGGCCATTTGTACCTCCTTTTGGAACTCATGCAAGGAGGAGAGCTTTTCAATGTCATTCATGCCCCAAAGAACAAACGCCGTGGAATCTCCAATGGCGACGCTGTCTTTTACGGTGCCTGTGTCATTTCTTCCCTGGCGCACATGCATCAACGGCTCATTGCATACCGCGATTTGAAGCCCGAGAACATCCTCATTGACTCTAGTGGTTACGCAGTCATTGTGGACTTGGGTTTTGCCAAAGTGGTTGGAAACAAGACCTACACGCTGTGGTAAGTATCTTCAATCTCCACGTCCGTTTGGCGTGCTACGGATGTAAATTGTCTTATCATGATTGTTGTGCTTCATTTTGATGTCTCCGATCAATCCGCAGCGGCACCCCGGAATACCTCGCCCCTGAGATCATCACCTCCAAAGGTCATGACAAGGCCGCCGATTACTGGGCCTTTGGTGTTCTGGTCTACGAAATGTTGGTGGGCCGTTCGGCATTTTACGTGAGGGGAGCCGACAACATTGCCCTTTTCAAGAACATTGTCTGCGTCAAGTACAGCATTCCCCGTGCTGTGAATGGATTCGCTCAAGACTTGATCAAGAAGCTCCTGGTGCGAAACCAGGCAACTCGCCTGGGAAATTTGAGTCGGGGTCACTTGGATATCATGGAACATGCGTGGTTCGAGAAAATCAACTTTTTGACTTTGCCGGAGAAGCAGGTCCAGGCGCCTTGGGTCCCCGAAGTACAGGATCCGTTTGATGTTTCAAACTTTGAGAAGATGAAGGACGGGAAAGAATCCAAGATCAAGCCATTGTCAAAGAAGGAACAGGAGATGTTTGCAGGTTTTTAGCGCTTTAGCTCTTGGATTGCTCAAGGTGTTGTCCATGTGATGTAGAGGTGAAAATGAAGTGTTCCTTTCTAGCTAGAGTATCAATGCAAGTATCGATTACCAACGTGGGAGAGAACATAACATCTTAATTAACTTAAAAAGACAGGTACACTGTACTGGACGGATAGCTCCTTGGTTGTGTCATTAGACCACCCAGTGGGATGCTGTAGTTCTTTCTGGAGGCATGGTGTGTGGCAACCTTGCTGGCTGAAACAACCTTGCCATCAGTCAAGGATCCACTCGACTCGACTGTCACTCGACTCGACTCAGTCAAGTGACAGTCGATGCACGGCTCAAAAGATATGGTATACAGTACCAGCCAAGGAGGGATCTGTCCTGTTCGCAGAAACAGAGAAAAGTTGTATCCAACAACCTTTTCAGATCTGTAGACCACACAAGTCATTTCTTTTTCTCAAGCAACAACAAGACAAGATAACTACCGGTAAAACGCAACATGAAGTACACTGCCTTTGACGAGCACCGCTTTCGCGCGAGAGTCGACAAGGCGCTGGAAAGCGTCAAGAAGATCTTGGATACCTCCCGAAATCCACGTCTGGCGCATGAGTATGATAAAGAACACACCTACGACGACAAGTTTGCTTTGGCAGAGCTGCTGACCAGCACGGCTTTGGTCGCTCAAGTCAATATCTTGGAACAGTGGGGTCTCCGAGCGGATCATTTTGAGCAACTGTTGCAGTGGGTGAATCAAGACGAAAAGACTGTCACTATGAGGTTTGAAGCCAAACAGACCTGTCTGTTCGTGGAGGAGAAAGAAGTGCCCGTGGTGAAGGTGACCGGCAACTTGGAGCAAAAGATTGTCGAAAAGAAAAAACTCGAGCACGAAAAGGTACTGGCGAATGCAGTGGATTGGCTCAGGAAAAACGACCCGAATTTCCAAGACCCCGCAATCACTCAATTGGAGCCAGCAGTCAGGGCATTCTCCAAAGTTACTGGGTTGGAACCGCCAGAGAACCGGACTCCCTCAGTCAGCCAAAAGTTCGTGGGGTGGGCGAACCGGACTCCCTCAGTCAGCCAAAAGTTTGTGGAGGAAGCGATTGAGTGGTTGAGAAACAATGATCCCATCATTGACCAGCTGGACCAGCCCACTGTGGAGGAGATTGCCAAAGTGGCATGCGTTTCCGCGGAGGGTCCACCCGAAGAGAAAACTATTGTTGTTGAGCACAAAACAACCAACATTGTCAAAGAGTACCGTTGGAAAGTAAATGTCAATCATCGGCTGATTATCTTCGCGGGGGCAGCACCCGAGGAGCAAACTATGATTACGCTTCAGGAAAGAGACGCCGCGACTTTCCTCACAATCAAAGGTTCACACAAGGCTCCCTTTCAGGAGGTCTACGAGCCCGTACTTTTGTGTAGTTTGGACTTGACCTGGCTTCTCCAGAACGTCGCCAAGGATAACCAATTCGCAATCGATCGCAGCAATCCGGAAAAATGCAAAACACCAGTTCGGAATGAGCAGATTCAAACAACGTTGGGTTACTTTCGGCAAGTTAAGTACTTTGCCCGGTCGGTGCGCTGCTTCTGGACCCTGACGGTCGAGTCTTCTATTCTTGGGCGCCATGCCCCCACGAAGGTGACACCCGACAAGGCTCCAAGAAAACCAAAACTGGCTTCCTTGTTGTCTGCGCACAGTATCTTGTGCCCCGTCCTTCCGCTGTTTGAAGAGACGCATGCTGCCAACGCGTCGGGAACAAAACAGAGGCTGGGTCTCTTGGCGCTGCCGTCCCGCTCTGTATCGGATGGTCGTGAAAACGCCGTGTCGTCTCCATTGATGTCGTCGGAAGATATGGACAAAATCATGACAGAGCATGCGCGGTCGATGAAGGAAGCCGTCGATGCTATTCAACAACAGTTCATTGAAGTCAGCGGTGAAGAGGAATCCTGCATGATTTCCTCGGTAGAAGCTACTTTGACCTTGCTAGGCTTCCATATGGAGGCACTGGCTGAGCAGTACGAAGATTTAGTAGGATACATTGAAGACATGCTCAAAAAGCAGTTGGTGTCTGCAATTGGCAAGGAAATATATCCGGAGGACTTTGAGCAGTTCATGAGTTTCCACCAGCGACACAAGCTCTACGATTCAGCCTACGCTCCAAGCCCTTTCTGCTTTGCCATTCGGCAACCAGGACAGTTCCCTGCTGGGATTCTTTCCATAGAACACGACATCAGCAACAGAGGCCAGATGTGTCCTATTGAAACCTTCAATCGGAAGGTTCCAGCCACGGCTGCAAATCCTTCCATCCAGATCCCGTTGAATGCCGCCACCGCCCTGCAGATGACAGGAGAAAGGTATCTGCACGGCTGGATCCGATACTCCTTCGACAATCATCTCGTGTGGGCATCTCATCCTCAGTTGTGTGTGCGAGCAAGACAATTCTCATGTTTTTTGGTCATGGTGGGCAACATGGCTGGCCCGGATCAGTTCAACCCCAAGGACGCTATTATTGTCCAAAACAAGGACGAGGTGTTGATTCCGCTTCTGATGGATGCATTGCCGTCTGCAAAAGAGTTCAAGGATGCCATCTCGTCCCTCTCTCCGGAGCAACAAACATTTGCCAAGGCATTTCGAGAAAGGCAACTCGCATCCTCCGTCTTTGCTGTTTGTGTGGTCCAACTCAAACCTCAGCTGGAGGACTTGCTCGCGTTGCCCCGAGGTGCTTTGACAAAGCAGATGCAGTTGACCCAAGATCTCCTCTCCCTTTTTATTGACTATCAAATCCCCCCGGACATGCTTTCGTACGATGGAGAAGATGACGCAACCAAGGCTTCAAAGATTGCTTTGGTAGAGGAATACGCAAAGTCTGTCCTGGATGTTGTACAGCAAGAAAAGAAGAAGCAATTGGAACTGGAAAAAGAGCGAGCTACGATGGTCAAGAGGCAAATGGCTCAAGGCTGTGGCCCCGGACGTCGCACAGAGGAAGAAAGGAAAGCCCATGCAATGAATGATGCGCTGAACTGGCTCAGGGGCTCCGAAGCAGGGGCTGATGGGTTGGACGATCCAGATGCCCTTGCCAGGATGTTGGCGGCCTCATCGGGTGGGCTTGGTGGCTCCCCAGCTGATCAAAAAGCGCAAGACATGGCCGGTGCTCTTGATTGGCTACGGAAAAGCAACGCAGCTGGTGCTGACTTGGATGACATTTCCGTCGCCTCATATGCCAAGATATCCGCAGGACCTAGGTGTGGTGTACCTGGACCAGAACCTGGCGGTCCGTTTGATGGCCCTGGTCAGCCAGAAGAACCAGGTTTCGATTTTAGTCGAGCCCTACCCACAGATGACGTACCAGGACCAGAACCTGTTGGTCCGTTTGATGGCCCTGGTATACCAGGGGGGGCAGGTCGGATGCTTCGTGAAGGTTTCGATAAGCCAATAGAACCCTTGGAAGCCGAAGCCATTCCGGACATCGTCGATTTTACCGCCGTGGATTTCACCAAGATCCCCAAAGCCCTGGATTCTCTATTTCAAGTCCACGACACGGACGGTTCCCTGCGGACCACTAAAATAGCGACGGGCGACGTTTGGACCCGAAAGCGTCACGAGAGTCTCTTGAGCAAGACTGCTACTACCGCGTCACTGGGACCGGATGACATCCGTACCGAAAAGGACAAAGCCTTCGATCTGTTGGATGCCTTGAGCCGTAGTGGGACCTTGTCGCTGCCCTACTCCGAACTGCACGTGTGTATCGGAGTGACTCATTGCTTTGAAAATGATTTGATGGGTACAGTTTTACAGGACAACATCAATCCCATTGAAAAGGTTGAAAAGTCCTCGTTGATGGTGGCGTCAACAATCCATGCACAGGCACCCCTGGAGCTGCTCAACAAGAACGAAAACCATATACCCCGATTGCGAGGATGGTATCCAGCTCTCTTGGATGGCCTTCAACGAAGCGGTTCTTGAGCTGGCTAGAAGCCCACCACCACAAGCCAGCTGTTCGACGTGTTGCGTATGCCGACGTACCACTCGATAGCCAGCATCATAGACCAAATCAAACCAAAGGTAGTGCGATAGACATTTGTTTCAAGGCAGATAGCCCCGTAGAAATAGCCCATAGACCGAAGAAATGATATAGAAAGGAAGATTGTCGTCTCGGGCAGTGATAGAGCACCAAACCCTGATTCTGAGGAAGCAGCACTCTTTGCGACAGTCTCTCTACAGGAACTTCCGCTCTTTTTGTGGTTCTTCCTTGTCATCTGCAACTGTCTCGTCCGCGGTTTGTGATTCCTTTTTTGAGAACTCTGGGAGCTCAGATGAGCTAAAGTAGTGGGTTGATCCTTCTCCTGGGTCTTTCTCAGTTTCCAGAAACCAATGGACACATTGGTCTACAATTCGGTCCGCAGACTTTGGGGTGACTGTCAAGGCACAATCCCACCAATGTTTCCTCTGCCTGGGATCATAGCCCCAAGGATGCATGATAAATGTTGGTATTTTCTTGGCCCACCATTGGCCTCTAAAAAAATCTTGGGAAGTCAACCGTTTCCGTTTCTCACTGTGAAAACCAAGTGGAAGACCTTTTCGATTGAACCATGCACCTTTGACTACCCTTACTGGATAACTTCTGTTTCCACTATCAAGCTGTTGTTGCAAGATGTAGTTGTATGATGGCTGCAACCAGCTGATGTTTCCCCAATGCATAACTTCATCAAACCGGTTGATGGCCTTGTAGCCAGCTTTGTTGTTGCGAATAACCAAGACTCCACTATTGACCAAACAGTCCCCATCATTTACAGTGGAAGGAGGGTAGTAGTTTGACAAAGCACAATGATTCCGTTTGAATCCAATTTTGGTATAAGCCCTGGATCCACTAAAATCCACGTGACGAGACAGCACCATTCCCACTGCATCACGCCGACTGGGAAGAGGATTGAAAAGATCAAAGTGACGAAGGAACCTGTCAAAGGGATTCACAATAGCATCATCCTCAGGGCCTGCCACAACACCCGCATCACAATCCATCCATGCCACAAAATCCAATGAACTTGAATGCTTCAGGACTTGCCCTGCTCGAAGAATTCGTTCCCAATCTCCCAAAAACTCGCAGGCACGGAAAATGATGAAGGGGATACCATGTCGAAGAAAGTACTCCTTGTTGATGGCTTGAGTACTTGTGTAGGGGTCAGGGTGCTTTTCGTCTGCAAGGCAACAGATGGTGATTACCACAAGGTTAAAGCCTGCATAGACATTGCTGGTTCTATTGTTGCTGCGTGGCATGAATATGTCTGTATTTGGTGGTGGCCAATCTTTGGTTTGGATAATGCTGGGCAGTGGAATTGGTTCCATCTTGAGTGCCGCCTTCGATTCTTCGGCTGCCACATCCACCAACCAATAGACTTGCCTATAATACTGGGATAAACCTGCCAGAGCCAAGAGGACAAGAGCGACAATGTACTTTATTGAGTTTGACATTCTTATTATTTGTCACCGTCTACATGTATGGTCTTTGCTTCATGTTGGGGTTGGGGGCATAGATGGGCAGAGCAAGCTTCATCAGATTCGATTCGATTCACTCGCTTCTGCGTTTGTACTAGCTAGCTAGCTAGCTAGCTAGCTAGACTAGCTAGCTAGCTAGTAGTAGCCGTTAATTGCTTTGTTCCTTTGAAGGCGGGTCTGTCAGTCCCACGTGGGATCACGGGTGCCTTGCCTCAGCACTTTTTGGAATTCCGAGTAAGAAAATTCCTATTTGTTGTCTGCTCTTTTGGATGGATGGGAGACTTCCCAACTGCTAGTACAACCAATGACCACACTGGTCTATTATCCGGCCGGCAGACTTTGGGGTGATTGCCACTGCACAATCCCAAAACTGAATCTTAGGACTAACACCCCAAGGATGCAAGAGAAAGGTAGGAATTTCTTTCGTCCAATAGCGGCGGCGAAAGAATTCAGCCTCAGTCAAATTTTTCTCTCCTTCAGGAAAGTCTAAACCGAGTGGTTTAATCTTTCGATTGAACCAAGCACCATTGACAACTTTGACAGGGTAATTTTTGGTACCTCTGTCAATCTGTTCTTGCAAGATGTAGTTGAACGATGGCTGCAACCAGCTGATGTTTCCCCAGTGCATCACTTCATCAAAGTGGTTGATGGATTTGAAGCCAGCATCATTGTTGCGTACAACCAAGACTCCACTATTGACCAGACAATCCCCCGCCGCTGCTTCAGACTCTGGCCAGTACTTTGAATTCTCACACAGATGCGGCCTGAATCCATACCAAGTTTTGTAGGGCCGGGCTCCACTGAAATCCACATGACGAGACAGCACCATTCCCACTGCATCACGCCGACTGGGAAGAGGATTGAAAAGATCAAAGTGACGAAGGAACCTGACAAAGGGATTCACAATAGCATCATCCTCAGGGCCTGCCACCACACCCGCATCACAATCCATCCATGCCACAAAATCCAATGAACTTGAATGCTTCAGGACTTGCCCTGCTCGAAGAATTCGTTCCCAATCTCCCAAAAACTCGCAGGCACGGAAAATGATGAAGGGGATACCATGTCGAAGAAAGTACTCCTTGTTGATGGCTTGGGTACTTGTGTAGGGGTCAGGGTGCTTTTCGTCTGCAAGGCAACAGATGGTGATTACCGCAAGGTTAAAGCCTGCATAGATATTGCTGGTTCTATTGTTGCTGAGTGGCATGAATATGTCTGTATGAGGTGGTGGCCAATCTTTGGTTTGGATAATGTTGGGCAGTGGAATTGACCTTATCTGTGCCACCTTGGATTCTTGGGTTGCCACAGCCACATCCACCGACCAATAGACTTCCCTGCAATAGTGGGCTAAACCTGCCAGAGCCAAGAGGACAAGAGCCACAATGTACTTTAATGAGTTTGACATGATTATTTGTGTCTCTCTGTCAATGGTCTTTGCTTCCTGTCGGGGCCAGCTAAGGAGGAAGCTTCTTCGGATTGATCATTCTGTGTTTGTAGCCGTTGCTTTGTTGCTTTGTTGCTTTGGGAGGTGGGTCTGTTCGGTCAGTCCCACGTGGGATCACGGGTGCCTGGAGCGGCTTCTCGCTCCCTTTTTGGAGGCAAGCCAACGCTCTTTTCCCTCCAACACGATTGAAGCAGTGTTGCAGCTCATTTTTTGGTGATGATCAAGTTCCGAGTCCTGTGGTTGTGTGGACTCAAATCATCTTCGACCATGAGCAACAATGTGCCAGCGGGGGCCACAAATGGAGGGATGAACAACTCTTCGTCTCGTCTTGAAATGATGGAGAGAGGAGATGTACCAGTACCAGTAGTGCCAGCTCGGCCACCAGGGATCTCTCACGGTCGGTCCTCCACTGCACCAACTCCTCTCCCTCCAGCCGGTGGTACTAGTACTGCTACCTTGGAGTCCAGCAGTCGCAGTCTGCCATTCCATAGGCCATGTACTAGCTTGTCGCCAAATCACCTGCGGGGAAACAATTCCTCCCTGCAAGGCCAGCAGCAGCAGCAGCAGTCGATGGGGTATCCAAATACCCACCGGCAACCAGAAGGACAGAACCCTTTTTCGTCACCCAATTACCCGCCAGGACAAACCCATGCGACGTCTCCCCCGTCCAGCTCATCACCACGAGCAGCAACAGCAGAGTCAACTACAATACCAAGATTTCAATTCCATCCACCGTATTCCACTTCTCCGACGAACCTTAATACTACTAGTAGTACCAATGCTACCCCCAATGCTGCTATTGCCTCGAATCCTTACAACAACCTACCCTCTGGAGCGGATCTCAGTTATATCCAAATCATGGACGATGCTATCCTCAAACCGCATGATACCGGCAGCAATAGGGAATCCAATTCGTTTCCACGGCGCCATGGAAAAATTGATAGCTCCACCAACACCACAATGGCGTCGTCTAGCAGCAACGTTGCCCAATGGTTCGCTCTGGAAACAACCGCCGAAGATCGACTCTCCTGGAGGATTATCACCGAGGAAGTCAAAGATCTTTTCAAGGAACTCTATCACTTTGCCCGAAATCGACATTGGAAGAAAAAAGTACTCACGGTCTCGGTCATGGTGATTTTTTCAGTGGTCTTTTACGATTTATTCGTCCGAGATGACTCGTTCATTGAACAATGGATTGACGAATTCTTGCTTTGGATGACACAATATCCAACCGCGGCCGAATTCGCCTACGTGGGCATTTACATTGTCGCCACCTTGTGTTTCATCCCACCCACGCTGTTGCTGCTGGGAGCGGGATGGGCATTTACCATGGCATGGCAGGGACGAATGGGATATGGCGTCGTGGCGGCCGTCATTGCCTGCTTTGTGGGATCCGTACTGGGAGCGTTGGCCAGTTTTGTTCGGGCTCGTTACATGATGCGAGAATTGATTGATCTGTTTGCCCAACGATACCCCATTGTCAAGGCAGCGGATCAAGCCCTTCAAAGAGATGGACTCCGCATCATGCTGCTCTTGCGATTGTGTCCTCTCATACCCTTTCATGGACTCAACTATCTGGGAGGAATTACACAGTTAGATTGGAGGACCTTTTTATGTTCATTGGTGGGAATGCTCCCGTACCAAATACTCATCATCACCATGGGGGCTTCGGCAGGATCCTTGGCGTACATTAAACAAAACGATGACGACGAGGAAAACGATAGTGAAGCGCAGTTCCAGAATATTGATGACATTACACATGGTCATGGTCATGAAATGCTATTGCTGATTGTGACGAGCATGGGCGTTGCCACGCTCATCATTGCCATGGTTCTTACCTTTCGATTCACCAAAAAGGAACTGCAAAAGGTACGTGCATGCGTCCAGAAGACAGTGGGTGGCAATCATCATACCGGTGCAGAAAAGAGTACTAAACAGGCAGGACTCTTACGAATATATCATGTATTATAGGAGCTCCAGATTGGAGAGGATGAAATGGAATGTTACATTACTACTGTTCGGCGCATGTCCGTTCTTGATTTGGAATATCTGGCTGACTTGGATGATGACGAATCTAGGAACGAAGGTCTGGAGGTACCCGACTCTGGCCACCGAAATCAGGAACCACAAACTTCTCCCAGGAGAGAGACAATGATGTCCAGCGTCTACAATTGGGCTTCTGGTTACGGTATGGCAGCAGCACCAAGAGCAACAACACCATCCGACTACCAAGCAATGGATGCCACAAAGCAATGGATGAAAGCACGCAATAGAACTCCCCCAGTGACAGACACCCACAGGCAAGATGGTTTCTGAGTGATGAAAAAGTCGGAAAAGGTGATGGCTTGGAAAATTCTTCGTCTTAATAAAAGTAGTGTACTAGTAGTAGTTGAGAAGATCAGCTGTTTGCTTCCTGAATTGTTGTTGTTGAAGTTGACATAACAATGCATTTACTTCAGGATACCGGTACCATGACTTGTGCCCCATCGGTGACCAGTGTGTGACTTTCCTTGCTCAATTATGGCACTGCATGGCCTTCCTGAGCTCCTGGCTAGCGCGCGTGGGCCCGACGAGCCTTCCACAACTTCATGCAAAACGTATCAGACAAAGGGAGATGATGGTAGTGGAATGATTCGATTCATTCGATTGAATCAATCATTCAATCGAACCATCACTCCAAGCGCGGTTGCTTTGCTGGCTGCTGCTTGTCGTCGTCGTCATCATTATTTTCTGCCGTAGATGTGGTTTGCGATGCCGTTGTGTTCGTGTCCGTGCGTGATAACTGGACACCCTTGGGCGTTTTCCAAGTGATAGCCAGACTACCACCACCCGATGCCTGCTCTCTGATCAAGTGGAGTGGCATGTCGACTTGAATGATTTCTCCCGAGTCACAATTTCCCATGGGCCACTGGCATCGTGTGTTTGAATTATTGTCGTTGTTATTGTTGTCGTCAACCACGTCCACCCTCGTTGTCGGATCATTCTTGGACGCGAATTGGAGACCGACTCGATCGTTGGGTTTAAGTCCACTGAGCTTATCAATCATGGGGAACGGCTTGACTCCAAAGGGTTTGTGATTGAGCCAGATATTGACCAAAAAGGTGACACGACCATGTCTACGACGTTGTTGCTTTTCACTCTTGGTAGTTGTAGTTTCTGGTATTTGGCACTGTGTTTCAAATGTCCCCGGTTCCATCAAATCGGATGGTGCCGCGTGGAGAAATCTGCCATCAAAACTCAAGTGTTTTCCAAACCGGGGCCAACTCAGATACCCCTTGGTATTGTCACTAGTACTTGGCACCATCCATTCTCCCGTCAAGTTATTGACTCGTAGATTGAGTGCCAATGTGGGTGCCCCCAGACTGGTGAGATAGGTGACGGTGGAAATATGAGGATGAATGTAAATGTTGCCTCCACAGAGAATTCGTAAATCTTCATCCTTGTCCCAATGAAAGGAAATGCCTTGCTTGTCGTCAGTGTCATTGTCATTGTCATCTTGCGAGGATGATGCGTGCATGGCATATCGTCCCACTTTATCGGGCGAGGGTCGAATCTGCACCCACCATTCGGCTCCGGACGTGTCTGGATCATAATCATCATCATCACCGTCCGTGTGATGGGCAAAGACGTCCAATGCCATTTGTTCCAAACTGCATCGTGCCGTGCCCGCCGCCGGAACCCAAAAGGTACGGGGCATCAGTCCGCTGTCGGAAATTTCACAATCCAGCAATAGCTCATCCAAAGTGGCAGATTCCACAGTAACAGCAGCAGTGCTGTCGAAAGCCAATTCCGTTTGAACAGATGTGGGTTCATAGCAGAGACCTCGCGTTGTTTTTTGTGCTGGATCTTCCGTACTATTATTAGTATTGTCTCCACGGCCAGTCGTTCGAGCCGTTCGACCTTCTGGATCAAGGCGAAAGTTGATCTCAATCTCTTCTTCTTGTGGCTGTGGCTGTGGATCTTCCATGGTCTGATGTTTGTACCGTACAAATATCACATCCCTCTGTTTCAAAGGTGGTAAGGTGTTCTTTCAAAAAGATTGTTGGAGGTTGGCTCATTTTTGTGGTCGTGGGAAGCCGATTCAATAATCCAGCAGAGATGGCTGTTAAGCTTGCACAAAGCCTCTACCGTAGGCATCAACGACTAGCTACCGGTAGCTATTACTAATAATACTGCATTATTATTGCTATTTCAACATTGTACCAAACTACCGGTGTTCAAACAACGTAGGTTGTCTTGACCCACTAAAGGTGATTGCCATATTGCCATCATCTTATTTGGATCATACATACGATGACTGTCAGTCGTCTACTGCACCTTGAATGTTGTTGTCGTCGTAGCATCCGAAGAGATCCAAGCGGCAGTAATGCCACGAGATTTCTGCAGCGTCGTCCACGCGTAATGGTCCGGCTGTCATTGGTCTGCTTGGTCGTTTTCTTCTTCTTGTCTCTACTTCTTCCCCATGATGTGTCTCAATTATTATTCTGGCCCTTGGATACTGTGGTTGCCACAAGGACAACAAGAAAAGAACCCAAAGGCACCTATTCGTCATCATCATCATCATCCACCAGTCAAGACACAACACAAATTCCGATCGAGACGGCACTGTTACTACAGAATGATCCCTCCGCCTTTTGGGATTGCGACCGTTCAGAAGCTCCTTGTCGCTACTTTGAACCACACTCCTTCCTCACAACCCTGAAAATGTCTGAATCCGAGTACAAACGCATCGGTGGCACCAACCAGAATTTGCCCGCCATGACCAGTTGGTCCATACCAGACTACAAAAATCTAACCTTTATTCATTGCCACAAATCTGGGGGAACCACCGTCAAAATGCTATTGGCACAAGCCAAGACACAATGGAATCACAATAACAATAACAACAATACGCCCGCTGAAATACAGAATTTCAAGTATTCCTTTGGGGGTGGCTCGTCCGCTCAAAAGCAACGCAATCAAGAAGCGAGAATACAACACATTCAAGCCATGGCAACACATCAACTACACACTACAAATACAAATGCGATTGTCACATTCACCGTCGTGCGAGATCCCTTGGAACGATTTGTGTCGGCAGTCCAACAAGTGATGCATTACAATACCGACTTTCGAACCAAATGTTTGAAATGGACCGCACGAGCTACCGTCCAGTGTGCCATTCACGAAATTCAAACCACCAACTACCTGAGAGATGTTCATCTTTTACCCATGGTGGCGCATTTTCGACTCTGGGATGACTACCCCACGGCACGTTTGGCCGTATTGCATCTCCATGATTTGCCCAGTTTGGCGGCGTATCTACATCATGTTGTCGCAAACAACAGCAACAGCAACAGCACACTACTTTCAACAACAATGCCACATGGTCGAGACCGATCCAAGGTCGACTATGCCACGTCTCGAGTATTGGCCAACATGTCGATTAAACGACACTGCACTCCCGAAATGATTCAACAACTCTGTCAACTCTATTCCATCGATGTCATCTTTATGCAATCTCTGGGATATGCAAGTGAGTATTGTCACTCTCACTCTCACTCTCCATGAATCACCAACAGGATGACTGACGGCTATACAACAGCAACAACAACAACTAGCATACAATACAAACATGTAGTATTGTCGTCAAAGTGCAATGCAAGACATTTTGATGCCCACCTGCCAACGTAATGCAGACAACAACAGTGTGATGAACACCATGCAAGAATGCCTTTGGTTGTTTCGTGGACAGTCAATGATGACATACGGTCCAACAGGCTGATGATTTTGAAACAGGTCACCAACTAGCTTCAGGATGTAGGAGTTTTGGGCAAGCTGCCGCAACATTCCTATGTTGTTTGGATAGCACTGAACTGAGGCTACACAAATCTGGTAACTAAACAGCCAGCAAGCTCCAAGGGGCACAAAAGAAGAAAACTCTATTAACGGATTCAGACCAGAGGTCTTTTACAGGCGACTGACCTCGAAGGATCAGGGTAGTCCCAACCGACAAGTCTGCTGACTGGTCACTCGCGCTCCCAAGGTTGTGCAACTGCTGTATGAAATGAGTAAACTCCCTGGCTACAGCCACACCTCGAAGGGGCACAGAGTATGCTCTATGCATTGCCCAGAGTCTATTAGTACTTTAGTACTGAGGTATAGGTGGGTAGCTAGCTAGAACTTCTCCATCAGAAGATTTAATGAGCACTGCCAATCAATGTCTGTGCTCTGGCTACCCAAGGGAGATCCTTTTTTTGTACAACCTTCATTATCAGCAGTTCCTGATGGGCAGCACTTAGCAGTGACTGGATTGAGGCGAGCAGATTGTCAAATTCATCATGGTCTGGGAGACCGGCAAGATAATCCAGAGCAGATCCAGCAGAAGCCGAACGTACGAGATACCCAGGATCCTTGTTCCGTCCAGTTTGGCATCCCGGTGAGATCCGAAGTATATCAAGCGTATTCTCGGCAGCAATGGCACGTTGCAATCGAAAGCCGAGGCCATCCAAAGATGCCGCTTTCTCTCTCAGCTTGCGGCCGGTCGTGTTGATTGTCACTTGCAGTCCTTCTGATATCTTTGAGGGGGGTAGCTCGATCACAACAGCGGCATTTGTGCTGTCAAAGGTCCAAGTACCCTCACCACCAAACCGCGCGTATGGGATTGATTGTCCATTGACATCTACTGAAGTGGGTGGCAGTGTGTTCACCAGCCGAAGAGTGGTAGCACGTGAAGTACCAACTTTTTCGCAGTGGCCACTGGTCGTAACGGTGAAAGTCATTGTTGTTGATTTGATGGGGTCAAGATTGTGTCCTGAAGTATTGGTCAACGTTGTCATCTTACGTGCAGTGGCATCTCCAACCGGCTTTGCGAGAACATCCGATGTCGTGATATTATAGGATGCGGTAGTTATGGTGAAGGAATCCCTCTCATGGTAGGCAGTGCTAATCCCATCGTCTTCATAAAACATGCCGCTTCCCGAGACTGGGGCATCCGAGGCAAGATAGACAGTCCAAATTATTTCATTGAATTGTTTCATGGCAAGACCAATGGTTGCTCCTGGGCGAACTGGGATGGTGGGAATCACAGAACCAGCTCGAGCAAACATTGGGATCTCATCCAAGTCTGCCAACACATCCACTGAAGAAGAGCCATCTTCGTCGCCTCTTAGTACTTTGCCGCCATCCACTCCCACCCATGTTCCTGGAGGGACCCAAAGACTCAATCTTGCAATTCCATCGGTATGGTTGCCAGGCTTTACCACTGGTGCCACCCACATGTCGTCCCCAAACATGTATTGGGGGTCGAACCTGGTCTGGTTGTTTGGTCTAGGCGCCGCTGTTTCGTATGCACTGTCAAGCTCTGGCCACTCGTAGTACATGGGCGTGATGAACCATTTTCCAGTCACGTGGGCCTTGTATGCAGCAGAATACAGATAGGGAATCAAGCTACCTCTCAATCTCAACGCTTTTAGGTTTGCGCTTGCATACTTGGGAGCGACCTCCCATGGTACAACGATAGTACATGACGGAGGGTCATTAGCAGCGCACCCACCCGCGGACATTCCACGATCATGTGATCTCATTATACCTGATACGACGCCAAATTGCAACCAACGTGTGTACAGCTCTGGATTCAGTTCTGGCCCTTCAATGTCATGAGACCAGATAGCTCCAACATTTGTCGCAGTCTGCAACAAAGAATGGAAAAGCGCAAGTGAAAGTGGTTAGGATACAACTCCAACATGAACTTGTGTATAGTACTGTTCGAGCTGACAAGTTTAGAAGTAGTTCGTACCATTGAGAAATATGCTTGGTATTCCAGATTTTCCCAATTAACAGTGTCCACATCTCCACTAAAGTGCACGGGGTAGCGATGGCCTCCGAGTCCACCCCATCTTGCCAACACCATGTTGCGGACTGTCTCATCTTGTTGTTGATTTTGCTGCTGGCGACGCCTGTTGGCATTGGTACTTTTGATATGAGCCGTCCAAATGGTTGGATTTTGCTTGCCACCTGCAGCACCCCCGGGGCCCTTTTCTCCCTGTTGCCAGTCAATCCACCAGAAATCAATACCACTGATCTTCTCCAGAGGCTGCATGACTTGATCTTCCAAGGCATATGCAATGGTTTGATTCACAACGGAAAAGGGAACCGGATAGCCCTCTTGACAGCCCGTGGCGCGGCACATTTCGGAATACTTGTCTTCAAATGGATAGACTCCAGCGGCATCATGCAAGTTCAACGTGACGGCCAAATTTCTGGCCTTCATGTAGGATACGGCATCCTCCGGGTGATTGCCATACATTCTCTTGTCCCACGAATACCCCGTCCAATTGTTTTTGGTATGCCAATTCATGTCGAGCACAAAGACATCGAGCGGGATGGCACGCCATTCGAATTGTCGCACCATTTCTGCCGCAGAGGCAGCCGTATAGTCAAACCAGCGCGAGTACCAAACACCCAAGGCATATCGTGGCAGCAGGGGAATGGCTCCTCCTAGTAGCCGATAGTCCTGCAAGGCTGCTTGGTAGTCATGTCCATGTCCAAAAATGTAAAAATCCTCGTCGTCACGGTTGCGTCCATCCCACCAATCCTCCTGGTCGCTCAGGCAAAAGTTGTGGGTGTCATTGACAATGGCATATCCACTGCGGGAAATCAACCCCCATTCGCAATGATCGACCACGGGATCTCGCAAGGAACAGTTGAGCGTCGCGGCATTTTCTCCATCCAGAGTTCGAATCGTCCCCAACAGATTGTGCGGATCGTGCTGTCCATAGAGATATGTCCACGATGATGAGGAATTATTATCCGGCGATGATGCTGAATGACAGTACATGTTGCCCTTGACCTGCAAGGTTTCCGCCGAAAACTCTGTGCCGACACGGTACGTCAGTGTGATGCATTTGGTCTGGACCGTCAATAGGTTCCCATTGTTATTATTATTATTATTATTGATGGAGTGTTCAAAGTGTGGCACGGGGAGTTTGCGATTAATCACGGCAACCGTCTTTCGATCCTCCGCTTTCTTGGCAATGCGTTCGATTCGAAGCACGCGATCGGTCAGGACTGTCACCCGAACAGACGGTACAAGAATGATGGCAGCAGGATCGGCCACCGGATCGGTAGGACCCCAAGGGCCGTTGGAAAGAGGGGAAGACCATGCCAAGTGGAACAAAATCGCAAGGATGAACCATCGGCGGCCCGAAACCATCTCCATCATCATGGTCGAGTAATAACAATACGGTACCGTACAGACAGCAACAGCTAGCTAGCTAGGAATTCAATCAGTAGCACCTCTTTCTTTTGTAGCTGTGGTGACAACGGCTGAACCCACAATCCAAAGATCGCGGCCTTTGATCGCAGACTTAATTGAAGCCATCAAAACCGTTTGAAACCAAGTGTCCCCTTGTTTTTTAAAAGAATCGAATGAATCGAATCATAGAATGCTGCAAAATCCTAAATTGTAACAAAGTAGCTACGAGTACTGGTACTAGTAGCTAGCTAGAAGTAGACAGCCATGGCCAGGTTGCATAGCCACTCTCTCAGAAACACGTGTTGGACATACTCATACCCTTCCTCACAAGGCATGGCACAGCAAGCCACAGAAGAAGATGGAGAAGAATTCTAACTAAGATCACAGCATGGTGTCGTTCCAGGGGTCCAAGGAAGGAAACAGGAGACTGGTACAGTCTACCGGTAGTAGCCAGGCAAGGCTGATTCGTGACGGCACACAGGACACTGGCATCGCAGCCTAAGATGGCAATTGACACTGGCACCACAGACTCCAGGTCTCAAAAGTCATCTCATACATACGGCATCAAACGCCCATGCATGCGCATACATCAATGCACCCGTGTGTTTCCTTTGCAGATGTCCTAAAAATACACTGTTTTTAGTAGCTAGCTGGCAGTACTTACTGATTGGCCATTCTGCTGTTACTGTCAGCCAAGCAACAATGGAGAGCGGCCAACTATGGTACACGAGACGCGGACCAGCTATTGATGTACGGTATTGTCGAATAAGCAGGTTTGCTTCAAGTTCAGAATCCACCACCAAAGTCCATATTTCGCACCTTGGAACGAATGGACTCTTTGTTTCTCGCTAGAAAGCGGCACCAGCCTTTCCAGCTGCTTTTAGGTGCATATTGTAGCGGAGTGAAGCCTCTTTCCAATATCAATCAATGGGCCAATAGTGCAAAATGTAAGAGACATGGACAAACAACCAATGTTCCAACAACATCAAAAGTATTCCTTCCTTCTCACCTCTTATCTTTGGCAAAGAACAATTCCGGTGCCAGCACCATCAAGAACTCTACCGAATGGAACTGAGATGGATTCCTTGGTTCCGTGTACCAGCAGACTTCGTGCAGGGGTGTCTTGTGATAGTCGTCTCGCACCTTGATGGACACGTGGGCGGTTATGACGAGGAACTTGACGAGCTCGTGGTTTCGTCTGCGACAGGCCAAGTGCAAGAGAGTTTCTCCTTGAGCATTGCATGCCTCCATCGAAGCATCCCCTTCTGTAGTAAGGATTTTCTTGAGCGTTTCTAGGTCCTGATCTCGAATTGCCTTGACAACGTTTCCTTTATACGCGTTGCGCCGGGCTTGTGTGATGGGAGTAAAGTAGTTTTCCCAATATTTGTCCGTGAACAAGGTTCTGTTTTGTTTGGGTAGGTCTCCTTCTACCATAGCCTTGAAGTAGTGGGAGGGGTTGTCACGATCTACAGTGTTCTTTCGAAGGTCCTCCAGTGCACCCGTGCTGCTCACCTTTCGGCGACCAGAGACGTTGTCGTCCCCGTCCGTGTTGGGGTCTTGAAAGTAGGACTCAGTATTGTTCATTCGATCCAAAAACCGCAACAGCGCATCACGATGTTCGTTGTTTTCAATCGTCGAAGGCGCCACTTCCAGCTGCATCTGCATCATGTTGGGTGTCGAAAGACGCCGTTTCAACTTGCCGGCCTGTACCGTCTTTGCCATTGTCTTGGTATCCTTGGTATCTTTTCCCATGCCGGCTATTCCACCCATACTAGCAATCAAATTTCCTAACGAAGAATCAGTTCCAGTGCTGCAAGTGCTATAGCTCGCGCTGCTGTCATCGACATCTGTATCCGTGGCATCACTGATAACGCTGCCACTGCCGGCGGTATCTTTGGACGAGTCATCGGAAGTCTCGTCCTCGCTTTCTTCTTCTGGCTCCGTTGCTGGAGCCATCTTTGGTTGTATCCGTGGCTTATTCGATGCAGAATAGCTTGCTCGATCCTTGCCTGCGTATCTTATTGCTTGCTTGCTGTAGGTACAAGAATGGTTTGAGAATGTTTCTTTGTTGTCAGTCACCACAGGTTGCTTTGTTGATGATGTGATGCGCGATTGAGGCCTGTGACGTTCCTCTGGGCGATCCACGGCCACGAACGAATGCTCAATTATCGTGGAATACCTCCGTGGAAAATCTTTCACCACACCAGAAACCACCAAATTACGCGTTGCCTTTCCTCTACTAAGTATGTTACTGTACCAAGTGTTTAGAGTGCGTCCAGACAGGGTATCGAACTTCCTTCCAATCCAAGTTGTAGAATACGCCTCAAAACCTGGTTTTATGGGTTACGTAGGCTACCCTATCCACACAGGGCGAACCCTCCAATCCAAGTCTTGTGGCCAATATTCCAAGTGGGATATGATTTTAGATTTGTAGACTTGTATAATAGCTCTCAACACAAATCAGCGCCATGTACCTTCTCTTGTTGCTTCTTGTTATCTCGTTGCTAGTTGAGCCAACAGTAGGAAAGACATACTGGGAGGATGGTGATTCCCAAGTCAAAAAGCGTCTTAGAACCTTGATTGGTTGGTCGGCAACGCTGTTGTCAGTTGATCCTGGACTGTTTGGATTCGCCTGTGACATCAACAGCAGACATGACACTCCACCTATAGAGCGAAAGAGATGTATGGTTCACAGTATCTTCCGTGAGATGGGACCTGGGTATGTCAAAAGAGCTTTTCGAATGACTGAAGAAGACTTCTGGGCACTCCATTACATACTCAAACCTTACCTGAAACCAGCAGGAAGAAGGAACACAAACACCGGTCCTGGCACAAAGGCAACTCAAGAAATAGGTGCCGTCAATGGGAAGATCTGTAGCTCCATCAGACTTAGTGTTGCCCTTCGGTACTTTGCTGGAGGATCTTCTTACGACATTGCTGTTGTCCACGGAATATCTCACAGTTCGGTGTTTGTGAGTGTTTGGATGGTGGTTGATGCCGTCAATAAATGTAGGAACCACCAGCAGCTTGCCATTGCGTTCCCCAAAGGACACCTTGCACAGAAAGCTATCGCACGAGGCTTCAAGCAGAAGAGTACTCCCGGCTTTGACTGTTGTGTTGGCACCATCGACTGTATGCTGCTTTGGACAGAGAAGCCATACTTAAAAGACTGTGAGGTGGCTGACTGCGATCAACAAATGTTCTTCTGTGGAAGGAAGAAGCGATTCGGCCTCAACTTACAAGCAGTTTGTGACCACGAAGCAAGGTTTATTGACCTGTGCATTCAGAATCCAGCTTCCACAAGTGACTATCTTGCCTTTGTAACAAGTCCACTGTACTTTTTGATGGAGGACGGTGTGTTAGCTGATGGACTTTGCATGTTTGGTGACAACGCTTACGTGAATACAGCTTACATGGCCACACCGTTCAAGGCAGTCAGCTCTGGTAGCAAGGACGCCTACAACTTCTACCATTCCCAAGTTCGCATCAAGATTGAGTGTGCCTTTGGGATGCTGGTAAATAGATGGGGCATCTTGCGGAGAGCACTGCCTGCGAGCATTGGCTTGGCAAAGATAACTGCGCTCGCTGTTGTTTGTGTAGGCTGCACAACTTCTGCATTGATAGGAGACTCTGCAGGGATGTGCTGAATCAAAATAACGAAGAGGAAGAAGAAAGACTGGATTCCTTGGCTCAAGACGAGTTCGAAATAGAGATGCATGGAGGCTTGGAGGTAAATGGTACGGCTCCAAGAGAGATACTGGATGGAGGAGAACACTTTGATGACATGGATAGAAGTCATCTCCGACAAGAAGAACGTAGACATAGGAAGGAATCCGGCCAGTTGCCACAGGACGTATTACATGAAATAGTGGCGGATGGTGGGTATGAACGCCCTCCTATTACAGCACGATAGATATAATGTGTTAGTTGAAGTATTGGTTGTCTGGTCACTGATCGATGAGGACACTTACATTTTAAGATTCCTTCTGCTTTTGCATTGCTTCAAGGCGATCTTCAATAAGCTGGACGTTTTTGACTTGACCCTTTACGAGATCCTGCAACAACTCGATTTCCTCATCGTTCTCTGGGTTGTTCCTCCTGGAGCGAAGTAGATCCAATTTGTAGTTGTTGCACGAAGGACAGACCAAATAGCTAGATAAGCAGCACACTGCACTCTCACTTATCTTATTACCATGTTATTACACTGATTGATAGGTCCACTGACAGGTTATGTCGCCCTTACTACGCTTTCTTTAATCAACTACGCATATTCCTACTGCTACAGTTGCTCTCTTCGTATTCCACCCCTCAAGGGAGCAACAGAGCCACTTTGCAGGAAGATCTCCGAATCTTCCACCCAACACAACGCCCAGCCGACGCAGCCGATCCCGCATCTGTGCTGGGCTTTCCGTCTTTTCCGATCCATTACCACTACAACTGCTACGTTTCTTTCCTGTCTCTGTTTGTAATCCCTTGTCCCCTTGGATTCTACAGGACAACCCCTTTTTTTGAAGACCGACGCTCGTCCGAGTCTTCCATCATGAAGCCTTGTTTCTTCATTCATCACTTCTTCTTTGAGGCTCCCTGGCATCCTGACAAGCGTCGTTTCACTGTTGACCATGCTACTCATCTCAACCGCGAAGCCTATGGCTGCCATTGCTTCTGCCTGGATGAAGACTACGAAGAAGACGCCCGTGTCTTCACCGATTCTACCACGCAGGACTGCCTCAAGAACGATGATGACCTTCTACCAGCTCTCCGCCGCGCAATTATTCGCGACCTTTCACCCACACATTCCACCCATCCTCGCTTCCAGGCTGAGTCTAAGATTTTTGAACATCTTATCTTCAGTGCCCGACTCTCAGTTGAGTCTCCCAACACTGATCTGGTGCCTTTGACCGCTGCTTCATTTGCCGCTGCTCTCAGTGACGTTACTGACTCCTTCCGTCATGGCTTCAACCATTCTCCTGTCACCATTTACATCCACACTGAGCACCTACGCCGTCGCTGTCTTGACAAGCCTGTCTCCTGCTTGACCGACTTTTACACTGGCAAACCCACTGTTGTCCTTCCTTCCTATACCCACATGTCTGACCGCAAAATTAATTATTTCAACCAAAACCCATCCCCTCCCATTATTCCTTCCCTGTCATCACCCACTCTGATTTCCTCATTTTCTCCACGCCAACCTGAGCCACCCTTGGATCCTGCAGCCTCACCACCCCCGGCTACTCCTCGACAATCCGAACCGTCCTCTGATCCCGCTGCCTTGGCTCCTTTGGTCTCCTCTATTTTATTTTCGGCTCCACCGATTCTTTTCAAGACAGACATTTCTCCCGTTTCCAATCACGGGAGGGTTTCTCCTTCCTCCCTATTTTCTCCTGCCGACAATATTCGCTCTTTGTTCTGCTGTTCCCTTGGTCAACTCCCTTCCTGATGATGACCCCACGATTGCCACCAATAATCGCTCAGGTTCCGCTGTTCCGTTGGTCAACTCCCTTGCTGATGACGACCCAACAATTTGTGTCCCCATCACCAGTGCCACGGCTTTCCACTCTCCTTCTTCCAACTCCTCAACGGCCACTCCGATTTCATCTGTTCCATCTTTTCTGTCTCTGGATCCATCCGATACCCCGGTCGCACGTTCAATTTACAGCCTCTGCACCACGTCTGACAACGATTCCACCGGAGCATCATTTGTTCCCTACAACGATTCCACCGGAGCATCATTTGTTCCCTACAACGGTCCTACATTGTATCATCATGCTGCTGACCTGCCTACTCCATCTCCCCCTCCGGACGATTCCTCTAGCTCTTCCAGCGATCCCACCACCACTGAATCCTCTGACGCATCCTACTATGATGGCGATCCATGCTACCAGCACACCGATGATCCCTCTCCCGACGAATCCTCCCAACGTGCATACATCGACAAATCCTACTACGATGATGCCAACGATCGACGCCTCGATCCCCATACACTCCAACATGACACTGACTTCGATTATTACTACGACAACAATGACAATTGCTACCTGTACGACGAAACCACCGAATGCTTCACTGATTCGTATGGCAATTCTTATTGCTAATTCCTACCTCCAGCATGCACTCCATTCCTTTCCCACATTACTTTTCTGTTCTGCTCCTCTCACTACTGGTCTTTCTTCTTTCACGATTTTTTGATCTCCAATGCTATCCCATTCCAGATCACGGGAGGGTGTTGCACGAAGGACAGACCAAATAGCTAGATAAGCAGCACACTGCACTCTCACTTATCTTATTACCATGTTATTACACTGATTGATAGGTCCACTGACAGTAGTCATGCAGCTTTCCTTGTGCTTTCTGAAGGTTTTCAATGACCAACTGGTAGGCCTGTTCTTGGTGTGCTCCAACCAAGTCGCGGCGGAATGCTTCTTCATTCTCCTGCTCTTGCTTTGTCTTTTTATTTCCACGCGGTTTCTTTGCTTCAGAGGTATCAACATCAACCTGATCTCCTGTGGCCGCGACATTCTTGCTCAGCTTGGTGATGACATGGTTGAGGATTCCCATTTCATCCGACAGATGCTAGAGTAAAAGAAGATGAGGACGTTCTCCAAAGTGATGCCACAGATAATCCTTTCTGTCATCTGCTTGTAGCGCCTCTTCAGTCATGTGACCAAAGACTTCCCTTCCATCGATTTGTCCAAAGCCATGACCACTACCCTCATACCGATTGGCCAATCTGTTAAGTCGCATCTTGCAATCTTTCCAGCGCTTGGTAATGAATTCAATACTGACTGGGTTTGGGACGTCCATGTGGTAAATCTCATGTTCGATAGTGAAATCTTCATGCAGGTTTGGGAGTGCTGGTGTCTTGGCAACGAACTCTTCATCATTCCATTTGTCTGTCAGGGCTTTGTAAAAGCCATCCGGCATCTTGTCACTGTTGCGACCATCCACTCTTTGGCGATCCTTGCATTTTCCATCATCAGCCATGGCTTTGCGTACATTGTCATCTTGAGCAGCAATGATCATTCGGTAGTATCGATTGGGATCATCTCCCCACCGGTAGGTGCCTTGCTTTTCTTCTACAACGCTTTGTTGTGCTTTCTCCTTGTTGCTGTTCGTGCAAGCCTGAAAGAACGCATTCTGCTGCTGGCGAAGATAGAGAATATCAGATTCAGTAATAACTGGGTTGCTTTTGAGATAGCTCACCAACTGATCTGTCTTCCAATTCTTAGGGCGAGGGAACTTCTTGGTGATGTTGCGCTCATGAGCACGTCGAACGACTTCTTCGGCCATCATTGGATTCTTGATCGTTAGCTTGGATTTCGCTTTGGCTGGTACAGGTGGCAGTATGGCTCCACTGTGAGGTCTCCAAGTTGCCGACTACCATCTTCGCTGGTCAGACCAATGCCCATACACAAGAGGAAAGCCTTCTGCTGTTCGGTGGCAGTGTTGGAGATTGCATTGCTGCATGACTTGTATTTGGCAGACGGTTCTTCTGCAGGAGCACTTGTTGCATCAACTAGAGCTGGTGGACTTGGAGCATTTTCCTGCTGCCAAAGCGTTATCTCAGTGGTTGATTTGGCCCATGGTTGACCAACAGAGCTTGCAGGAGATGACTCCTCTTCACTATCTTCATTACTGCTTGTCCTGGTGATGCGTTCATCAGTGCTGGAAGGTGCCGGTCGCTTGCTCATGGTGCTACTACGACAACAAACTACAAATGAAACTGAAGAGAGGATCGATTGATCCTCTCCAAAAGCAACAAGCGAGTCACCTAGCTAACTGATGGTTCATACACAAGCTAATAGCTCTGTCTATATTAATCTTAGACTATTGTATTATTCTAATGATGCGTGCTTGCATGTACTTCATTGCCGACAATCGTGATTGTTCGATATTTCATGTGGGAGGCGATTTTGGCGAGATTTTTCATTCCCAAAAATGGGAATCGCTCGTGAATGAGGGAAAAGTTGGGTTGGATGGGTGTGGGCACTTGGATTTCGAGGTTGGCCAGCACCCAGTTGGGCAAGTCACGAGTGGGGTTTTTTTGTGAAAAAAGCTTGGAAACTTGGATCCCGAGTGATGGTTGTACATGTATGTGGTTCCGATACCCTGTGTGGACAGGCTTTAGTAGGACATCCACAGGCTTGGGATTAGTATCTTTCGCCATGACTCTAAGCAGAGCGATGTGGAAGCACATTTGCTCCCAACGTAGATAGAGTTAGGGTTATTAAGGGATCAGTCAGTTGGAGCAGGACCCAATCCAACCACATTGCTAGCAGCCACCAAATGAAGAGGACAATGGCGTCCTTTTTTTTAGGGGCTACTCAGTTCAATGTTGGTTTCCAACTGTTTTAGGCCAACAGTTTTGGATTGGTGCACTAGATAGCACCGTTTCCCACGTTGTCCCCCAACGCTCGACTATCGTTACGACACTGCACACTCAGGTGTATTTAGTCGTCCCTGAATAGTCCTAGTGAACTGCCCATGTCATCCTGCGGACGGCTGAGGCGGTGGCTGGGAGCAGAGGAAGACTCCTGACCTGCTTGAGTGTTGAGTGTGGTCCCGTGGTCCCTGCGTCGCTGCGTCACTGCTTTTCTTTGTTTTTTGACTGAAAGGAAAACATGTTCCTTATGTGTTGTTGCCTTCTTCGTTGTCCCCTCGTCCCTCTTTATTCTAAAGTAAGTATCAAACGATCAATGAAAAGGCACTGCACTCTGCACTGCCGGTTCAGTTTTTGGCCACCAACCACCAAAGCACCAAAAGCAACCCAGCTGGCAACCCAGCCTACGGACAGTCCCCACGTCCCTACCAGCCACGACATTCCGCACCCACCTTTTACAGAAAAGGTTCGAAGTGAAGAAAGGCGTGATAATTAAAGGGTAAAGTGTCTTAGCAGCAATGACCACAAAACCGGTTTAGCAAAAACATTATTTAATTAAATCTTTCTCCTTGTTTTTGCTTTGGCTTCTCTTTAATTCCTATTACTACCTGCGATCCTGCGATCATTAACGATACCGGTTGACAGAATCTGATGATGACCTTGTGGCAGCTGTAAGATTGCATATTGCATGGACAAAATCGATCGTGTAAACGTGATTGCTACTCATACATACATGGTACCTGGTAGCTTTTACTGGCAGAATCTTTGTTTACGAAGATGGGGGAATGTTTCAGTGGAGTTCACAAAATTTAGACCTAATGCGACCCTGGTTGTGCAATTGAACTTCTAAAGCTCCTTTGAGCATGCAGCGGTCCACCGGGAGGCCATCGCCATCGAGTGCCTTATTCTTTACTGCACTCGTATTCCTGAGGAGTGAGCCTCCTTTCGGCGCTCTTCCAGCAGGGGTTAGATAGATAGTCCAGCCAGCCATACTCCAGAAAGAACGAGGAATCGCTCTATTGGAGATAGAAACACCACTGCTTTGCGCAGAAGAAGGAACAAATGTATGCTTCGACTGGTTGAAGTTAACGTATTGATTTCATGGCATAGCCGCTAGTAGAGTACCGTAAGCAACTAGCTAGCCCGTATGGCAAGAGTCTTTCCTTTGCTGGAGACTGGATGGATGCATCTGGTTGATGTAGCTACGAGTACGGTACTCCGAGAAGTGAGTACCGTACCGTACATATTATATAATCCTCTACTCGGGGCTCGATCGAGAGTACAGCCAAGTTCAGTAAATAGCTTTCCCTGTCCTACTAATGTTTCAGCTTTGTCTGCCTTTCAAAGTAGCTGGCTGGCAGCCAGCGAGTACCGGTGGCAAGAGCGAGAGGAGCTTGAGTTGGAAAGGGACAAGCCAAGCCTCTGCCTCGTTTTCCCCTCACATCAAGAGCTCGTCAAGCCGGCAAAAGTAACGGTAGCTCAAAAGTGAAGAAAGTCGAGTCGAATGGTCGGCACCTCATCAGCACATGGGCCATGTATTGTTGATTCTTCAGTCCCTTTAGAAGACCTGATACCGGTATTACCCCGCCACCCTGACCGTAAGTTCTCTGCTCAGCACAGAAGCCAAAAACAAAAATCTGAATCCTTGATTTCTTTAATTCAGTCTCCTTCGTACCTCTACAAAGCTACAGTAAATGAGCTCAGTAAGTAATTCTGGAGAACATTAAAACATAAATAAATGACTTTACTTTCCATGACCACGTGTAGTTATGGTACCCTTGAAGTGTCTGAGTTTGTTGTAGTGGCACGTGTGGTTACGTTGCCAGCTGTATTGGTCGTCCTCGTACTAATCGAACTGCACTGTTACTCCATCGTGTCGTACTGTTAGCTGCGTACCAGTACATGTAGTGTTTCCAGATGCCTCCATCCTCTTTTACATTTACTGGCACCTCATTTTAGATGCATGGCACATGCATGATCGTCGCAATCGAGGAATCGAGGTTGCCATCTATCTTTTCTCGCATCACAACTAACTCAGCCCTCAAACACTCAAACTGGTAGACCCTAGATACCTCTTGTTTACCCAATTCTTTTGTAATCGAGCAGATACGGTAGGGTAGTATATACTCAGCTGCCTTATCTGACTTCTCTCCACAGGCATATTCAACGATTCAGCCTTTGCTGCTTCTTCTATTACCCTTGTTTGTTGTTCGGTCAGTTTCCAACACAATTATCTTATTACTATTTATCCACCATGGTCCTGGACGCCTCCTACAGCAGCAGCATGTCTGCGAGCATGCACAACAACAACAGTCACCACTCGACAATAATAAATAATCAGAGTCTCCATGATTGCAAACGTTTGTCTTTGGAAGATCGGTTCTTTGCCCGCGACGATCAGTTGAATCAGATACGATCTTGCATCGGTAGCAACGAGGATGTGAACTTGAATCAGGTGGTCTACATTACGGGTCAATCCGGAGTGGGCAAGACGACGCTGTCCACCAAGGCGATCCAATCGTATACGGCTACCAAGTACTGGTGGGGTGCGGCCAGTTTTGACAGCAACAGCTACAACAATAACAACACAAGACGGGGCAGCAACAGTTCCTGCTGTTGTAAGACACCTCTGGAAACCATTCAGACTTGTCTGTCGACATTGGTATCCAACGTTCTCCATCAAGATAATGCATCGGCCATGGCCGCTTTGCAGGTATTACGCGTCAGTGTCGAACCCAGTCACCAAAAGATATTGTCCAGTTTAGTGCCTTCCATGGCCGTCCTCTTTGGAGATCACGGCAATCAACGCAGTATGCGATCACTGCAACGTCACAGCAATCGGAATCTACAGTACTTCAACAACTCCAGCAATAGCAATCGAAGTCTGCTCGGGAACGTTAGCAATCGAAGTCTACACATTGAACTACGAAGAGATGCCTCCAAGCGACACATGGAGATACCCGAAGACGACGACGAGGACGCCGAAGATGATACCCAAAGCACCAACAGCTCACTTAGCAGCACTAGCACTAGCACCATCGGAGATGACGACGAAAGCATATCCAGTGGTGGTGGTAGAGACAATCGAACCAGTCTCATGGCCAAGGTACATTTACAGGTCGCCTTGAAGAGCTTCTTTTTGGCACTGGCAAAGGTACAAAAGGTCGTACTATTGCTCGATGATCTTCAATGGGGCAACAAGGAATCCTTTGGACTCCTACAAGCCATTCTGGTAGCCAACAAGAAGGAACCCAAAAATTACAACTTGGTACTCCTCGCCACGTACCGCGACAATGCCGTCACGGACGAGTTGCGCGCCTTTCAACATCGATTGGATGCCGCATCCACCACATCTCTCGCCGCGCCGTGGAAAACGGTCATTCATCTACAGTCGTTTTCGCGGGGAGAAGTCAATCAAATGTTGATGGATCTATTCGATTGTCATGATTACAGCACTACTGCCACTAGTAGTAGTAGTAGCAGTCGACCACCACTTGACTCGAGCAGCAGCAATCTCCCATTATTATTGGATGGTGACGACGATAACGAACAGCTCGATACCGGCGACGACCAAGTCACCATGGCGCTGGAACTGGGACGGCTCATTCATCAACGGACCGCGGGCAATATCTTCTTTATACGACAACTATTGGACAGCTTGGAGGCGGAACAAATGATACACTACGATTGGATGAGCAGCAAATGGAAATGCGACATTGCAAGAGTGCAAAAGAAAACGGCCGTCTCGGAAAACGTGCTGCAGGTCGTCGTACAAAAGATTCAAAAATTCGATTCCAATGTACAGCGCATACTACAACTCTGCGCTTGTTTGGGTACGCGGATCCGGGCCAAATGGATTGAAGTGTGCCTGCCAGCCATGTTTCCACCTACTACTACTACTACTACATGTAGCGACGATCAGCAGCTATTATTATTGGATCACAAGGCATTGCTCCAAAAGGCTTGCAGTGAACGTCTATTGGATGACCTGGGATACGGATGGTACAAATTCAGTCACAACAAAGTCCTGGAATCCGTTCTGCTATTACTGCCAGAGGGTAAGGCGAGAAACGAGCTCCACTGGAAGCTTGGACAGCTCTTGTATCAAAAGTATCAGAGCTACTACCATCACAACAACAACAACAACAACAACAATCTGCAACAACAAGAACCGGAAGCTGCTATCAAACAAGAAGAAGCAGTGCCACAACTGGAGCAACATCCAAACAATGCTGACGCCGTAGGAGCAACACGAAACCGACGGAGCCGGCTTTTGTTTGTGTGTGCAGATCAGACCAATCTGGGAGGGGCCGACTGTTGCCGCAATCCACAAGAACGACTTGGAATGGTGAGACTCAATCTTATGGCGGCCGAGGCGGCCGCAAAAGTGTCTGCCTTTCACCCGGCATGTCGGTATTGCGAGGCAGGGATTGAGGCGCTGCAACCGCTCGGTGGGGACGATGCCAACAAGGATGCACGACAGCCGGACGCGCTGACACTCGCTCTCAAGCTCGATTTGTACCAACGATATGCCGAAATGCTGTATTGCACCGGTGAACTAGACGAGGCAAAGGCTTACTGCGACAAGGTATTGAAGCTGGATCCTTCCTCAGATCACCACAAAGTGGCATGCTTCATCACCATGATGCAAATTCTCAATGCGCAGGCCAACAACGAAGAAGTCGTAGACTTTGGCTTGGAAGCACTCAGAGCTCTGGGCGAGAAAATCCCAAAACAAAAGAGCAAAATGAAAAAGCTTCTTGGCGAAAAGAATGTACTCAAACGAAAGGCATGGATCTCTTGCACGGACGAGGACGTTCTAGCATTGCCGCTCATGAAGAATAATAGGAAAGCTGCCTGCATCCAGGTGATGCAAAGCATGCTGATTCCACTGGTGCACATGTCAATGAAAGACTTGGCAACTCGGATATTGAAACGAATGATGACCCTGACATTGCAGTTTGGTCTCACCAAATGGGCCCCTGAAGCATTTGCCATTGCCGGCGCAGACCTAGTGGCGCGCAAGGACGACATTTCTCAGGGCTATCGCCTAGGAAAGCTTGCTGTGGCATTGGTAGACCGATTGCAAGCCAAGAGCGAGCAGGTTAAGGTCAGCTTTTGGACCGCTGCTTTTACCTTTTGGTGGAAGGAACCACTTCCACGATGCTTGGATATGAACATTGACGGCTACAAGAGTGGTATGCGGGTAGGGGACACCCACTTTGCCTTCTACAACATTGTGACGTACGCTCTTTCCTACTTCAATTCGGGGCTTCCACTGAGACCGCTTCTTGTCGACCTCGACAAGTATTGCCGCCAGATGGTTGACTACAAGCAGGTCATGGTTCTTTTCAATATCATCCCCTGTTATCAGGCTACGTTGAATCTCTGCGGGGAGCAGCGAACCGGGCCACTTGATATGCAACGTGGCTTGGCAATGGGAATGCAAAGGGTTGCTAGGGGGGAGAAGCAGGTTGGGGAACACGCCTGCTGGTCATTTTTGATGCAAATATCTTTCTACTTGGGACAGATGGAGAAAGTTGCCGAACTATCCTCTAAACTCCAGGAGATAGACTGTGGGTTGTTTCGTGCTGAGGTGTTCTATCCGACTCGGGTATTCTTTTTTGCCCTGTCTGCGATTGAACGATATCGTGCCACCAAGAAGCGCAGGTTCAAGCAAGAAGCGCAGAAACACACGGCCCTCATTTCAAAATGGATCTCATCGGGTGCCATCAACTTGGTACACAAGGGCATGCTTCTTCGTGCCGAGATGTACACAATCACTAGTATGAAGCCAGTTCCTGAAGAGGCGATTGGTCTCTATGACAAAGCCTACACGACAGCCATGAGAAGGTAAGTGTGATCCCAAGCAAATGCTTAGAAGATGCGAATTGCAGCACGCTCCGTTGGGCTCATGTTCGTGTTCCTGTGCTTTCGTTGGATACATTAGTGGCTTTTTGCAAGATGCAGCGCTGACGTGCCAACTTGCAGCTGCTTACTGCGAGAAGGCTTTTCCAGAATACGTTACGCCATACGCGGTGAAAGCCTTTGAACAATGGACAGCCTGGGATGCCGTTGTTATCGCATGCCATCTCGAGGATAAGTACCCTGAAGTGTTTTCGGAAGATTCGATGGGTGCTGACTTGGATGTCAGCACAGGCAGTGCGCATTTTGGTCGTTCTCGCTTTACCATGTCGGTCGTGCGAAAGCACATGGAATTTTCATACACCGACATTGCCACTTCCTTTGCTAGCCTGGGAACGGCTTGCAGTGGATGAAGCATACGCCCAATTTGGGATTTTGGTGGTCGAAATACCTCTGCTTCCTCTTCCGACTTCCATGATTGCCGCAAAAACTTGCCTGCACCCACCAGCTTCAATACGGTAGATAACTTCCCTACATGTACTCTTGGTAGACCCCCTTCTCTATTCTTGCACCGCTTCCGAGCCAAGAGATCAGTGAAAATCGAGCCCAGCTTGCTTGCATCCAAGCCCTCCCACAAACTACCGGCGGCCAGGAAATCACTCGGTATTTTGTAATAAGGATCCTTTTGTGTAAATTGCGTGAAGACTGTCAGAGCCCCAGCTAGCTAGACTGGTACAGACTGCTTGGGTTGCCCTGAAAGAAGAAAGAACCAGCTAACTGGAATGCTCCTGCGCTCCCTCCTGCTTCCAAATTCCAGGATCCATTTATCAAAAATACACTAGCTAGCTAGGTGTGGCCTGTTTCAGTAAAATTCACTTTTATCCAGTCACTCTTTGTAAAATGACGTGTTCTTGGAGCCGAGATCATTTTCGTCTCTGTTCCAACGAGCTGCATAGATAACGGGGGCTGTATAGGGAGGTCGGCAAGGGGCTGCCAAGGCCAGTGGCCTCCATGAACATCACCATGAACTAACTTGTTCACAAGAAGTCAAGTTTAAAATTGTGAAATTGTAGCCATGGCGACCGGTATTGTTACGCTGCGACAGTTGACGGGTCAACCGTCCGAGCCGAGTGCGCTCAAAGACTCGGCACTGATTCTAATCGACATTCAGAACACGTACTTGGAAGGAGTGATGGCACTGGAAGGAGCCAAAGAGGCGGTGCAGGAAGCCAAGCGTCTTTTGGATGAAGCCAGAGCGGCCAAAAGGCCTGTGATTCACATTGTGCATGATGCCGGACCCGGAACTCCCTACGACGTCACGGCGACCATTGGTAAAATTGTGGATGCCGTGGCTCCGGTCGACGATGAGCCAACCATCACCAAGAAATTCATCAGCTCATTCACCCAAACAGATCTTCACGAAAAACTCCAAGCTTTGAACTGCAACGAACTTATCGTTGCCGGATTCATGACACACATGTGCGTGAATTCTACCACCAGATCGGCCTTCGAATTAGGGTATCGATGCACTGTTGTTGGCAATGCGACCGCCACCAGAGCACTCCCAGGTGGCAAGGATGGACGTGTGGTGGACGCCAAGGCGCTCCAGGAATCGAGCCTAAGTGAACTTGGAGACATGTTTGCAGTGGTGGTGAACACCGTAGATGATCTCAAGCAGGACTAGCCATAGCGGCCTCTACACGTTTATTCATTTGATACCCCAATTAACTTGATTTAGGCGCTCTGATTGAACTTCTTGTTGCAGTCATCAATCAAATCAATAGTTTACCAAAGCAACGCCCTGCCGCCAAGATCTCACTAGTTCGAAGTACCTCGTTCCTTGTTCTGGCTTACCTTGACGAAATGCAGTCGAGAATCTCGGGCCCCAAACACTACAACGCGAGAAGCCCCGTGTTCCTCTTCCCGTCCAACGGCCATAGGCAGAGCTGCTGGACTAGACCAGATTTCGGCCCCAATAGGTATCTGGTATCGCAACATCAGCGCCCCATCGGATCCACGTAGTTGGACCACATCACCAGAAGTAGTACAAACCACCACGCTGTCGCAGTCGTCTCCTTTGCCCGCAAAGGATAACACCAAAGGACGAGTGTACACCACCGACTGAACACTGCAAGTCCACAAGATCTCAGTCAGATCGGCATTGACCAAGCTCACCATACCATCGTAGCTACCAACAACGACACCCTGCATATTGCCGCTGCTAGGCGGCACAATTGCTGGGGCGGACAGCGCTTTGCTCGAAACCTTGCAGGTTGTGCATGTGAGGCTACACAGATTCACTCGGTGAAGAGAACCCCAAGAATCAGCCACCAAAAGAGATTCTGTGTCCCACGCAACGGGGTCTTTGTAGACCGGCCCGAGCGAATCGGTGAAGAAACGTAGGGGCAGCGAATCCTTGTCCGTATCGTCTAATTCCAAGGCTGACGGGGGCACAGGCAGCAACTGTTTTCGTTCCACATCGACAAGCAGAAGACCAGTCTCCCAATCGCAGCTAGAGTATATCAGAACCTTCGCTGCGATGCCATCATCGGCTCGGACGAAGTTGCAATCCAACATGGCAGCGCTGGAAACCACTCTGACAGGCAGCCCAACTGTACAACTACCATCAATGCTGCCGTCCTTCAAGTTCAATAGGACAATCTGGTGCTTTTTAGAGTCGTCAGCATCATCCATGTCATCTTCACTTGGTAGAGCATTGTTGGGGTTTCTCTTGGTGGAGGATGTCACGACCACCCATAACCGATCATCACACACAACGGGTGGAGAGGCGACAGTATCGAGCAAATCAAATTCCCGTGCCCAGTGTATGAAGGACATGTCAGTTGACATTGCCACAACTTTTGCACCGGTGGTTGCCTCTGGGACTTGCTTTGGATGGCGAACCAGGCAAACAATGATCATTGTCGATAAGTTGTCGCCTCCAGACGATGGGTCGTGTAGCAGCATATACGAGATTCTCCATCCTGTAAAGTGATGGCAAAACCCCGTTCTGGTGCCTTCGAAGATATCCTTCTTGTCTGGCAGGAGCGACGTCTCCAATGATCGCAACGCAATCATTTGCGCGACTCCGTTCTGGCAGCCTGCAACAATTCGGTACTCTTGAGCATTGTTGGATTTGGGTGCCGTTGTAACAATCGGTGTCACATCCACACACGCTGCGAAGGCAGCCGACGCATGAGAATTGCACCACACGGTGAGTGCCTCATGTTTAAACTCTGGCTTTACGCCATCGTTGCTGAGTTTCGGCCTTTTCCTAGACAGCTCAGCATCTTCGACCTTAGTCGATGGTTCCTTCGTCAGAGCGCTGAATGTAAGCATCAAAGATTCTGCATTGAGCAAACCCATGGGTGTTACATCGGAGAGAGGATTGGTTTCTTGTTTGATGCCGTTCTTCTCAGCCAGGCTGTTTGCGAAGACTGCGTAATGCGCACCCCAGTCCATTCGCAATTGATAATGGAGGGAAACTGCTAGAGCGGAGTCTCCGCCCAGCTCCACAAATGACTTCGACATGTCGATGTCCGAATGGTCGTGACGAGGAGCACAAGTACCAACAGGGGTGGAGTCTCCGGATACATCTTCTCCGTTTGCAATATCCCAAGAAGGAATCAGGACTGATTCTACCACCGCACGGAATCGACCCAGCAACGCTTGTTTGGACACATCCATCTCGTTGCTTCCGTTCGTCATTGTCGCGGTAGTGTCCTTGCACTTTGGTCGACTGGATCGCTCTTCTTGGATACGCGCCTTTAGAATATTCATCACCTGTGCCCGATCCACTTTCCCCGTACCTGACGTCCGAGGCAAGGAATGACAAGGGAACACTTGTTGTGGAATCAAATTCCAAGGAAGCCCCGTTTTCTGTTTTATTCGCTCTCGCGAGAAGTCGATTGTCGAATCGCCTTGTCGTTCCAACAAAACATAGACTCGATTATCCAGGATTGCAGCCGCTGCCGCCTCGAGGCTATCCGTAGACGCAGCAGAGTCTTGCATCCGTCTGTAGTAGTCCAAGAATGCCGTCTCTACCTCGGACGGAGCAGTCCAAACTCCATTTACCTTTTGGACATAATCCTTTCGACCTTGCACATACCAGATGCCATTTCGACAAAACCCTATATCCCCCGTTGCAAAGGACGTCGTCTTTCCTTCGTTGATTGTAAACCCCTTTTCCGTAGCATCATTCCCCAGGTACCCATTGGCTAAACAATCATACCCTGATACGATCAATTCGTGCCCCTGATTCGTTGTCGAGTCATGATTACCATTGTCGATAGTACAAGTTGCAGCCATAAAAGTTGCAGCATCAGCCGTATGAATGGAAGTGTTGCTGCATATGGGCCTGCCAATGGCGACTGTGTTGTGTACCACAACCTGTTCTGACGGTAACTCTGTCAATATAGCCGCACAACAGTCGCCCGTTGTTTCCGTTTGCCCGTACAGATTGATGAGTTGACAACTGTTGGATGCAAACACCTGACAGAAGCAATGCCACAAGGATGGCAGGCAAGGCTCCCCCGAAATGACGATTCGTTGGAGCGATACCAGTGACTGATGATGGTGTTGTTGTAGCCGTAATATTGGATCCAATTGACTGGGTAGCAGAGATATCTGATGGCACTGTGTCTCCTCGATGAGTCTTGCCATGTTCAAAGTCTCCACGAAGCTGTTAGTGCCTGAGTTGTTGTGTACCAGTGCCACCAAAAGACTCTCTCGGGTCAACAAGGTCCCCAAGAGTTCGGCAATGGCATCGACAAATGTGAGTGGCGTTCTCTTGGCCACTCGCCGTAAAGGTGGGAATGTCTGCTGAAACCACTGAAGTCGTTGGAGGGTGGATTGCTGCGATCCAATGACGGCTTTGGGTGTTTGGCCCGATGTTCCCGATGTGAACAAGACGTACAGATTGTCGTTCTGTTTGGCACGATCTTGTACATCCTGTGGTAGATACGAGGGCACATCCAATCGTTCTTGCAGATTCCCATCTTGACTGAGGAACAGAATGGAGTGGACATTGGCATTTTGAAAGACACCCAACACGGGATCTTGATCATTCTCGCAACATGTCAGTGCCACAATCCTGGCAGAGTCTCTTTCAATTTTTAGGTTGTTATTGGGGGAGGAGGATTGCTCGTTCTTCTTCAACTGCTCTACTATCCGTCTGAGTCGTCCTGTGCCCGCATGTTGGTTGCGACAGGATACCGGAACAAAGGGGATACCCAGACGCATGCAGGCCAATAGGCTCACAATCTCGGCTCCTGGCCAACCATGGCAGTCCACTAATACCCACGTGGGTCGAAACCTCCAATAGAGCTGGTGTGCCAACGCCTTGGAATACTCTTGCAGTTCGATATACCCAATACATGTATTTGTGCCGCCGCCAGCTTGCACCAATTCAATGGCATCTTCTTCTCCAAACGAAAAGCACAACTGGTCAAATAGTTCCACTATGGATAATGCGTCCTCCTCTTCTTTGGAGGCACTGGAAGCCATGTTACCGTGCACCCAGTGTGATCGAAGAAGGGACTTTCGAGCTACGTCCTCGGCTCTCACAGGATCACAGTCCAGGTAATTGGACCAATGTAGTAAAAATAATGAAAAACAATAAAAATAAGATACTACTGCAGGATATTTTTACATGTACAAACAACCGAAAAGTTAATCTACCGGTATTATTAGATACTTTTGTCAGCATCTAGCTAAAGATCCCCTCCTTGCTCTCTAACAAACGGTTTCAGTTTCACACAATGATTAGTACTAGTAGTTGTGCTGTCTATAACTATTGCGCCGGTGGCTTTGCTGGTGATTCACTCCCTTGACACTCACTTGCCCTATTGGCTCAAGTGAGGGAGTAGAATGAGACAAACATTGTGCACAGGGCAGAAGTCCAACTAAAGGGGGGTACAGCATGTCACAAACATGCTCTAACAAAACGGATTCCAGGAGGAGCAGGCGGTGTTTCCACCGGACGACGTCCCTCCACTGGACGAGCAGTGCTTAATTTTGGTGAGTTCGCCATCAATCACCGTTTCGCTGACCTCTGTGTCGCAGTCCTTGCCGTCGATCTGGCGGTTGGTGCACCATGAGGCAGAACCCAGGTCAGCAAGAGTCTCGCACTCCCCGTTCCGGACGAGCTTCTTCCAATCGTCAGGCTTGTCGGTCGAAAAGTCAAAGGTTAGCTGGTCGGGGGTGAACTCTGTCACGCTGGATCCGTCGGGTTGGTTGATGCAAAAGTCAAGTCCGGTTCTAAGCACCCATGTGTATCCCACAACCTTCGCCTTCTTGCAGGGCAAAGGGCACAACGTCCAGTAATATCTTTTCACTTCTTCTTTGACGTAGGGGTTCCACCTGCAGGTCTCAGCATTGGAAAAGGAAGGGAGAAAGACAACAAGTAGGATTGCGAGCCAGGAAGAGACAATAGAGGCAACAATGGACATGATGATGTGATTGTGTTGTGATGGATAGTTGAGCTTTGGTTTTGGTTTGCTTTGCTTTCGGTTTGCTTTTGGTTTCTGGTTTGCTTTTGGTTTGCTTTTGGTTTTTGGTTTGCTTTTGGTTTTTGCTTTTGGTTTGCTTCTGGTTTGAAGTTGTGAGCTGATGGGAAGATGAGCCTGGATTGAACTGATCAACACTGTCATTGAGGCACTGTGACTGTCGGAGAATGGAATGGAATCGAATCTGACTTCATCTTCTGGCAGCGCCTGCGTCGCATGCAGGCAGCGAGCATAAGATCGGTAGGTTGGGTAATTGTAGGGTTACCGGTAAAGTTAATATTTACTAAATGTTTTGGTTTAGATCATCTTATTACCGCAACTTTCCGAACACCAAACTTCCCCCCCCCCCCTTCTGGCAGCGTCTGCATATAATTCCCACAGATCGCTCAATACTAGCTAGCTACGATATGGTACATGTACGGTAGTGCCAGCAACTAGATTACTAAGTCGTAAGCTAAATCGGAGCAGTTCATTCATGTCTAAATCTTCTGGCAGCGTCTGCCTTACATTCATGTGGTTCGGAGTGGGCATTGTCACGCACTCGAGTAAACTACTACTCGCTAGCTAGAGTAGGCAGTAGAGAACTCGTAACATGAAGAGGAGCCATAGTAAAAACCGGGTCCCGCGCAGCCTTCGAAGTAAGTCATTGTGGCCATGCATAATCGAAGTTGACCCCGAATTCAAGGGACTTTCCCTGACCGGTTTCAGAAAAAAGATAATTCAATTCTCGTCCTGTGTACTCTGTACTGTGTCATTTCTTACAAGGAGCCTGATCTCAGTATCTTCATATCTTATAGCCACTAGCTAGTAGCTTTGTTCTATCTGGGCTCATATTCCCATCAGCTCACAACTTCAAACCAAAAGCAAACCAAAACCAAAGGTTAACTATCCATCACAACACAATCACATCATCATGTCCACCGTTGCCACTATTGTCTCTTCCTGGCTCGCAATCCTACTTGTCGTCTTTCTCCCTTCCTTTTCCGACGCTGAGACCTGCAGGTGGAACCCCTACGTCAAAGAAGAAGTGAAAAGAGATTACTGGACGTTGTGCCCTTTGCCCTGCAAGAAGGCGAAGGTTGTGGGATACACATGGGTGCTTAGAACCGGACTTGACTTTTGCATCAACCAACCCGACCGATCCAGCGTGACAGAGTTCACCCCCGACCAGCTAACCTTTGACTTTTCGACCGACAAGCCTGACGATTGGAAGAAGCTCGTCCGGAACGGGGAGTGCGAGACTCTTGCTGACCTGGGTTCTGCCTCGTGGTGCACCAACCGCCAGATCGATGGCAAGGACTGCGACACAGAGGTCAGCGAAACGGTGATTGATGGCGAACTCACCAAAATTAAGCACTGCTCGTCCAGTGGAGGGACGTCGTCCGGTGGAAACACCGCCTGCTCCTCCTGGAATCCGTTTTGTTAGAGCATGTTTGTGACATGCTGTACCCCCTTTAGTTGAACTTCTGCCCTGTGCACCATGTTTGTCTCCATACCCGGTATCCAGCAGGACCCATTCTACTCCCTCACTTGAGCCAATAGGGCCAAGTGTCAAAGGGAGTGAATGATTGAATCAAAAGCAAAGCCATTGGCCCAGTAGTTTTAAGTATAACAACTACTAATCATTGTGTGAAACCGAAACGGTTTTGTTAGAGAGCAATGTGAGCATCTCAGCTGGATGCTGACAAGAGTAGTACAGTACAATAGATTAAGTTTCTGTTATGGACAAACTCTTGTCGCCGGATTGAGCTGCCAAGCTTCCTCCGTGAATTCATCGAGCTGGTTGCGTTACGGCACGGTAGGGCTGCTGTTCGTGCAATAAGAGGGGCAGGCGTGTCTTGGGACTCTTTGAGTTATCAGGCAAGGGGGTGTCCGTGCCATGTCGTCGTCCTCGAGTCGGCTCTCGTCCGGCGACGAGCTAGATCAACCCTGCCAACTACTGGCTGAAGCGATGACAGCTCCATCCAATTTTCCGCACCATCTATTTAGCTAGCCATCTAGATCATGGGCTGCCTGCATTTTATAGATCGATTCTCGTCCCCTTTCACCCTACAGCAGAGGCTTTGCTCATGGTTGCCGAATAGCTCAAGCAACACAGAACACCTCAAACCATTTCGATACTGAGTGGTTGCTTATCCCAGGTGCTTTCGTTTCTATAGGATGTATCTATCGATTCCATCAATAAAACCCCCCCAGATAAAACAGTAGCTGCAGTTGCAAACTCGCCACAAACTCCACCACCACATCCACAAACTCTTGCGGATAAAAGGTAGTACCAGGTACAGTACCGTAGGGTTTGCAACTGGTACATGTATGTCGTCCTTGCAGCAAAACTCTCATCACAACAATGCCAACGTGGGACAATCACATCTGGCCTTGCGGACTAATCCTGGTCGAATGATGAATCGAATCACATCGAATCGTCATGCAATTCCGGAGAGCAGGGCAGACACACCACAAGTCTGACATGCAGGCCAATTGGCTCACAATCTTGGCCCCTGGCAAACCGTGGCAGTAGGGCAGTCCACAGGGTCCAAATTTCCCATAGAGCTGTATGGTGGCCAACGCCTTGGAATACTCTTGCAGCTGTACATACCCATTACCAGTATTCTTGGTGCTGGCAGCCTTGCACCAAACTCAATGGCATCTTCTTCTCCAAACGAAAAGCAAAACTGGTCAAATAGTTCCACTACCGTATGGATAACGACTCCTCCTCTTCTTTGGAAGCGCTGGAGGTCATGTTACCGTGCACCACAGTGTGATTGAAGATGGGATTTGGTGTAGTGTAGCAATGTAGTAAAAATACTAAAAAGAAAATAAGATGTACTCAGTAGTAATCTTGGATGGTACAGTGTACCGTACCGTTCCAGCCATCAGCCAGCAAAGAGCTCTTGAATGATGGGAAAAAAGGGGCCAGAATTACGTCGCTTTATCATAGTCTAAGTCCACCTCACTTTGGCCGCTAGCTAGTACCTGATACTAGTAATTGAAAACAGAACTAGCTAGCTTGTGTATTTCACGCCCCTTCTGCACACAACACACACTCATCAGTAGCTACTCGTACAGTACTCTATCATAGGCACAAAAACGTGGCTTGAAGACGACATGGCTACAACCGACGTGGTCAGAACCAGCACTGTCATTGGTCGCTTTTCGTGGGACGTCATTGACAAGCTGACCACTAAGAGTGGCAAGCCTACTTCGTATCTACCATCTACCACATGTTCATCGTAGTAGATCTAGTAGTAGATCTAGTACATGTATTAGAAGCAAAGGGGAAAAGGAACAGCACAGTTTACAGGCTTTCTTGCTTGCCATTTGCGATGGAATCTATCTTCTTTCTGAGGAGCAGGTTCCTCTTCGTCATCCACCACCCCTGCGCTTTGCCAACAATCTCCCATCTGCCGGGCACCCACAGGAATCCGAGACGAAGTTCCAAGACAAAGAGAGAAAGCAACGAGTAGCAGCAATAGAAACACATGCGTGCATACTGAGTAGCTTGTAGCTTGTTTAAGTTTGAAGGGCGCTGGTAGCTGCTAGTCAATATGGACAGCCAAAGCAAGGCAAAAACCCAAGCAACGGGGAAACAGCTGACGTTTGATCGACCACATCATCCCTTGTCGCCACCAAAGACATTGAGAAGTGATACTAGTCTACTATTATACATGTAGTCTAGTATCCACAGCGACCGTCATTGTCTGTGCGGCCTGTGCTACGAAAGCTACAGGCTACAAGGAACTACTCCGAGCGAGTACCTAGCTAGCTAGTAGCTAAGCTCCTAGCTAACTATCCAGCGATCCAGCGTCGTCGCCTGGTCTACAAGTCAGTCTTCTTCTGTGGCCGGTAGAAATCCTTCTCCCTTTTACAGGCCTGCTAGCTTCCGCCATTGTCGGAGAAGCAGACTTCACCGAACACAGGCACCGCCCAAACTTTGCTTTCAAACGCTTAAACTGAGCCAGCCGCTCCAGTGCAAGGACAAAATCTTAAGTAAGAATCCGCAAGTGTGAAAAGCCCGCTTCCGATTCATCTGCCGGCTCCCGTTAGGAGCTCTCAGGATAGGTGACGTCAAGAGCCTCTAGATAACATCATTAACTTCCATTGAACTTGGGCAGTTCTGGTTTCATGTGTAATATCTCTTATTTTGCTATTTTATTTAACACCATTACACTGACGAGATGATGTGGCTTGAGGCTTGCAGTTCTTGTTAATGCCCATTTAACTGAATCATGCAATCGGGAAAAAAGCTACTCGCGTATTGGGCTAACCAAGAACCCATTATATATCTTATTTAACAACTTAGTTCCTTCTGCTTTGCGAAAAGAAGTCTCATGGAAGACATCTGTGTTCCTATTTCTTAGGTGTTGAAGTACTGCCGTACGAGCTAACCGTACGTAGGCAGTTCCTTAAGGAAGTTGCTGATGTGGTGGTTGAATGACACACCGTGGGGTTGCCGAGGCGCTGTCTTGCCGTAGGTGATCGTAGAAACTGTACTGCTCACGTGGCGCAGCAACTTGCAACTTCAATTGCTTCAACTCGCAGCTCGTTCATCACAACCCCAACTCACAATTTTAGTCCTTTGGCAAGATCGAAAGCATTCGACTCGACTCAACTCTTTAGCAGCAGATTACTTTCGTGCTCCCTTGACCATGTCCAACCAAACCAACTTTGTTGCCCCCATCGGCTGCTTGTCAGAACACCTTGACTACTTCAATGACAACATTGCTTCAACCGGTGACTTTGATGATATCTTTGCCAAAGACTTTGACCTTGTGTTTGATCCCGAGTTGTTGGCTAGTTTGGCTTCCGGTGATCCAGCACCAACACCCGTTGTGGTCGAACCGTTCCATCATCCCATGCCAGTGGTCATTCCCAGCACCACCACCTACATTCCCCCCGCGGCTCACTACAATAGGCCTGTGGCGCCCGCCAGTAACCCTCATGCTGCTGTTGTAACTCCGGCCGCGCCTCCCAAGCCCGTTGCCGTCCTCAAGCCTCAGGCTACCAAGGCAGCAGCGCCCAAGCGCAAGGCCGCACCTGCGGTTGTGTCTCCTCCTTCGGTGACTCAGGTCTTTGAATCCATTCCTGCGGCAGCACCCAAGAGCAGCCCCCGCAAGAGGAGTTTCTCCACCATCTCCAAGCCCGCACCTGTTGCTGCTCCGGCCGCCGCAGCTCCCGTGTCGAGCGCGGAAGCTAACCTTTCCTTTGAGGAACAAGAAGATCTGCGACGGTAAGTTACCACAATGCTACCTTGGATAGTACAAAATGACTCTGCCATTAGCCAGTGTCCTCACCCGCCCTTCCTCCTCTTTACTACTTTCCACAGTGAACGCAATCGTCACCATGCCAAGCGCAGCCGCCAACGCAAACGCGACTACATGAACCAACTGGAAGACGCTGTCAATGACATGCGCAAGGAGAACGAGCGTCTCTTTGATCTCCTCGGAATGGACAGTACACGTGCCAAGGCCAACATGGCCCAAGAAGAAGAGCGCAAACAGGAACGCGCCACGGCCAAATTCATTGCCGGGCTCAAGCAACCACGCAACCGAGTGTTGGACAACACCACCTTGGCGTTCCTTCGAGAGCTCTGGAAATAAGGCTTCTTCCAAGCTCTATCTTCCAGTCTTCCTTTTTTCTTCTTCCCCATTATTTGCACATAATCTTTGAAAGCCGCGCTTTGACCACACTTGTGGACGGATGCTGATCATCTCATGAGGCGCTATTGGACCGGCTTTCCTCCGTCTCGCTTCTAACTTCCCAAGCCTTTGGCACGCGTGTACATACTCTCTAATATACAACTATTACTAAACTTCATTTTGATAGAAACATACCGGTAGCCAACTTCCTCAATGCATCGATTGGTTAGCGACAATAGTTTCATTCCGCGTGAAACCTCTGTGGTAACTAGCTAGCTAGCTACCGGTAGGCGGTTCGCAATCGCAAGTACTGTAACAGCTTTTTGTTTTAGCGTCGCGGGTACGTATGGCCGTGGAAGCACTGCAACACTTTCGGCTCCACGGTGCGTCATCTTCGATTCTTACCGAGGTGTGGCTGATCCGTAGCTGATCCATCTAACTAGAAAGCCTCTTCCCTTGATGCGGGGTTCTCTCAAGCTACATTGAAACCTTCGAAGCCTCAGCCGTCACAGCGACCAGGATTTGGCCAAGCCGTGGAAGCATTGGGACGCAGTTTCCTCACAGAGTCCAGGCAGGTTGTTCATCAGGGGCCGGTGGCTGGATCCATCCAGAGCACCTCTTCCTTTGATGCGGGGTTCTCTCAAGCTGCCTGCTTTTATCTTCTATGGGAACATTTTCGGTGCCACTAGTCTAGCTAGCTACCGTAGCTCGCTAGCTACCAGGTAGAGCCGCCGCGAGAACAAGTTCTGCCAACATGCAAAAGAACCGTAAAAGGTGGAGCCCGACCCAACGCCTTGACCACTAAAACATTTCGGTTCATGCAGCTGCTGAACCGATTCGATTCGATTCTGTTCCTGGGCTGCTAGCTAGCTAGATACCGCTACGAATATCGCTAGCTAGAGGTCAGTGAAGCAGACATGCTTCACGTTTTATGTATGGTGAAGCCAAGATCAACCAAAGTATCGGAGAAACAGTAATGGATCTACGGTCTACGGTTCTTTTCTGGATGATTATGCCAGTAGCTGTGCCAGTCAACTAAAGGACTGGGTACCTACGCGTAACCCAGGTACTAGTACCGCTAGTTTCGTCGGCCAATTCGTTTGCTGAATAGATAGATTCTAGCTAGCTAGCCAGCCTCAGAGGTGTCATCATGGCCAGTGGTTTCTTTTGCGGTGAGGTCATGTGCAGCTCAGACAGCAGCGGCGATTGGCCTGGCAGGAGTAGGTCATCAGCAGCAAAACCAGCAGGAACAGGCAAGCAACGCTACTGGTAGACTAGCTAAAGAGTCTCGATATTCTGCTTGGCTGTTTGCGGACATGCTTGGCATGCCCAGTTGCGAACTTACCCTGGCTGAATGCAATAGTGGCATCAGAATAAGAAGCTCCGATTTGCGATTAGAAACGAGACTTTGCACAGTGGGTGCCTTCAAAGTTTGCAGTAGCTGTCTCCAGTTTGCAGTTGAGTTGATGCCTGTAGTTGATACATTGTGTTTTCTGGGTTAGCTGGGTGGCTGCTACACCAGAATTAGGTTAGCAGACCGGTCCACTTTCCAGGTACCGGTAGGTCGAGCTCACCTGCAGCCTTCGAACCATCAACCAGGAATGAGGAAGGCTGCTACCACTCCAGACGAAGAACTAGATGTACAGGATAGCCTCCAACAGCAAGTCTACCAGTGCCTACAGAATTTTTGAGGGCAAACTCACAGCCAGCATCTGCTCCCGCCGTGAGCTTCTCGTGTTGGTGACGGTACAGCCACAACTTCAACTCGATCGTATGACAACTTCAACTGGGCAACTGAGAGGATTTCAATGGTTGTGGAAGGCTCTTGCTTAATTGTCTTTGTCTCCTTTGACAGCTGGTGCTGCGTCGTTGAACGCTACCATTGGTGGAAGGAGGGCAGTTCCAGCTACATCCTTCGTGTCCAAGCAATTTTACTGTTGTCAAAATTTCCCCCCAGACTAGACTAGCGAGCAACCAAAATCAGGCAATCTTTGTCCACAGCATCTTGGACTATATTATTTGCCAAGAGCTTCGCGAAGACAGACCCATCGTGGTTTGCTTGAAAGTCAAAGCATTACAAGCACTACTTCTGTCTGACTTCTTTGTCTTCTTTGACAAGAGCTTCGGGAAGACAGCCCCATAGTGGTTAACTTCTGTCTGACATCTTTGTCTTCTCTTGATCAACCATGGGATGTCCGCACCTAAACTATAGTACAACCAGGTACTTAGTATAAGGAAGAGTCAGATCCCAATCATTCTGCATGTTTGCTGCCTGCTGGTGGCCCAGCACAGGATAATTAGCGAGTGTCAGGGGGGCTGGAAAAAATCAATGCCTCCCATGCCCACATGTGCTTTCATCAATGCAGCCAATACAAGCTACTGTTTCGTTCGCAAAACAGTGGTCACTGTCTCCACTGCCGTAGTGCACCATTGTTTACCTCTGTCATGGCGCTGTCTACCACTGTCTAACGCTGTCTTGGTCATGGTTTACCTTGGTTGGCATGGGATGGCACTGGATCTCTCTAAAAGCTAGCTTTGCAGCGAAACCGTGCGCGGACATACGGTAGCTACAGTATTCGAGATCCAAGGTCTTCAAGGATCTTGGAGAGGAGAAATTTGGCAACAGCAGTCTGAACGCTGTGACTGTCCCCAAAGGCATTCTTGCACGGAAAGAATCCTGCGTTGCAGTCTCCTTCTGAGAAAAGGTCATTATTCTGTGCTTACGTGGACCAATAGCCCGAAATTTTCTACGATCATGTTGGTACAAAACGTCTGTAAGGTCATTGACACGGAATTTCTTGAGAAGTAAGAATGCCAAGACTAAGCAAATAGGCATAAATTGACATTCTTCAGAGCTACAAATTTGCATATTATTTTAAATTATTATTGTAAGTTGGTTGTTGAACAAGCTAGGGAAAGCAATTTCAGGCTTTAAGAGGATGACTTTTTGACCTTTTTGGGGCAGTTCCTTGGAACACACAATGACTTTGGCCTTCAAGCCAGGATTCGTAAATTGAAGGGGCAGTACGGGCAGTACAGCTTCACTGACGGACACGAAAAATAGTACTGAAACTGGACTGCAGTCATCCACCGTACTTTAGCTCATCGACCCGTCAGATCCGTCATGCCAAAGTTGAGGCCTTCAATCTCACAATTCACAAACACTGAATCGAATACGGCCAGCGATACAGCACACAATTCCAGTTACTAACAAAAGTAAAACCAGATAAAAACGAGAAGCAATCTTTCTTCTTCTTTCATTATCTCACCCATCCATCACTTTCAAGAACCTTCAGCACCATGATGAACGTCGCTACTTCCTCTATCAGCTACGACCCAATGTTCTGCCTTGAAGAGCACCTCGAATATTTCAACGCCAGTGTGGCTCAGAAACTGAAGCATTCCACCACTGATTTCGATGAAATCTTTGGTAGCGGGCTTTTGGTTCCCTGCCCTGTTCCTCAGTCCCCAACCCAGGAGCAAGTCTTGTTGCCTCGCCCAGTCTCTCCACCCTCCTCTCCTTCCGTGCCAACAATGACGACAGCATCGACGCCTCCCCCTGCCCTCAAGCCAGTGGTATCGAGCGAAGTTGTCCGATGCCCCAATCCCATTCTTCTTGCCAAGCCCACCACCACCAAGGGAGTGAAGCGAGAACACGCCGTGGTTTCCCCCACCACCGTCACCTCCACATTCTCCGGAGACAGTGTCTCCCCTCCTCCGGCCAAAAAGTCCCGCAAGCGAACTGTTTCCTCCGAGACTGAAACCACTTCCCGCAGTGTGGACACCAATGATAAGGAAGATGTTCGACGGTAAGTCCATGAGCCAGCAAGCGACTGTTCCGGATGTAACCAATCTTTTGTGAAACAGTTTCCTAACGCTTCCTCTTTTCTTTTTCTACTCCTACAGTGAACGCAACCGCCAACACGCCAAGCGCAGCCGTCAACGCAAGCGTGAATTCGTCAACTCTTTGGAAGGAGCCGTCCAAGAACTCAAGGCCGAGAACGAACGCATGTTGACCCTGTTGGGTCTTTCGGCCAACCACGATCTGGTCCAACGACAAGAACAAAACCGAGCCGATGCTGGCAATGAAAGCTTCATTGCCGCCCTGCAGCAGAACCGAGTTCTCAGCGACGATGCACTGGTATCTCTTCGCGAGTTGTTCCAGTCATAAGGTTGATTGATTGATTGTATGATAAAAGAATTGGGTCGCCGCGTTGCCCTTGGCTTGTGTCAGGCTGTACAGTTTCTTCCCTGACAGACTAGCCTGGGCCGCGGCGGATTGTATACTGACACCCAACATCAAGAAGAAGAAAGAACAAAAAGACATGAACAAATAAAATTGCCAAAAAGAAAAAGTGTGCCGAGACCAAGTTTCATGGATGTCCTCCATGGATTCCAAATCTCCGGCCAAGCCACTCCACTCCACTCCCACCATCACATGCATGCATTCCGCCTGTAGCAATGATCCCACCAAGCACGCTCCTGCCTCCTACCTTTCCAATCACTGAGTTCGTTAGTTCCATGACCATGCATGAAGCAACCAGCCACAGACAGCAGACCCCAAGCCAAGCCAAGCAACTACTAGGATTGAATCCTAGCTAGTAGCTAGAGAAACGCTCTGCCAGCCACATGCATTATTTCACGTACTACGTGTATGCTTCCCAATAATACTCTACTGTAAAAACAAACTGTTAGGAAAATGAATGATTAACTTTTAAAATCAAATTGTCTGCGTTTTTAGTTTTCAGCCAAAGGAGCCTTGGCCGGGCTACCGGTACACCTCCAACTACAGTACATCGAAATCAGATATCATCGTACCAAGCATACGGTAGATATACCCATGGTACATCGTACCGATCCTTCCAAAAATATGATGGCTGTTCCATTGAAAGAAAGGACCCAAAGCTCTGTCGAAAGATTGATTATCATGTGTCTCGGCATAAATCTCTTGCTCGAGGTGGGTACATTGGCAGCTCTCAAATCAGCAGCTTTGAGAGCTTGTAAACCGCGACTCGCCTCAAGAGCGCAAGAACCTTTTTTGATCGTCTTTTTCGACAGGATTTGTTTGGCGATGACCACATACGGTACATGCAATCGAATGAGCCGTCAGTGTCGTGCGACAGAAAGACGTGAAGCGAAGCGAACTAGCTAGCTACACTGACCTATCTATTCATCAACTCAACTGAGGAAAGGTCCTTCCATGGCGAAGAAGGAGAGACCCAACAAACAAGTAAAGAAATAAATGAACACGATGGTGTTCGAGGAGGTGGATGTCGATGCTTTGGCGGACTTTCTGGAAGGAGGAAATGTCATGCAATGTTCTACATCTACTAGTAGTCCTGTTCCGAATTCCACATGTTCTACTAGGGCCACAGACCATGAACGACAATCCACCGCCGCCACTGTAACGACAACCACAACGACATCAGAACAACTGGTGGTAGCTACGTTGGTTCCGCAGGAATCCTCCTCTACAGAAGAAGATGATGAAGATGACACCATACAAGTTGTACATGTATCAACTCCAGCAACCATCAATACGGGCACGACGGTGTATCTGGAAGCCAAGCCGTTGACAGTTCGTCACTCGTTGGAAGTGTTTCTGTGCAGCCGCAAGGGTCGTTGGTTTGTCGCTGGATTTCTATTGCTCATTGTCGTGGTAGTGGGAGGAATCACTCTGGTATTTCTACGCCATCACGACAATCAGCATCAAAGCCATCATTCCAACGACGACGACGACAACAACAACAATAGTAGCACAGAAATAGAAATACAAGAAACTCCAGAACTACGAGGAGACGCCGAAACCAGTCCTTCTGTCATTCTTCCCATCGATATAGCCACCATCAACATCACCACCACCAACATCACCAACATCACAAGTAACAGTACAACACCCACCACACCCCTACTAGCAACTGTCACTCCTAGTCCCACCAATCCACCCACCACGGAACTCGAAGGATACGTCCGATCTCTCTTGTACATTCCAGCCACACAAATGGCTCTCCGCAATGCATCTTCTCCACAATCCAAAGCACTCCAGTGGTTGCTACAAGACATTGAATACAGGCATGACGACTCCAACAACAACAGCACACTACAGTTACTCCCCTACTCGGAACAACGAGCCCGACAACGATTCGCATTGGCCACACTCTTTTACGCCACACGCGGTGTGGGATGGCAGTTTCAACAACATTGGCTGCGACAACATGACAGTATTCACGAATGTCAATGGTACACATCATTGTCCCACGAGACAACAACAGTCAGTCCTTGTGACGACCAGGACCAGTTTGTACGATTGGTATTGATTGGAAACATTCTCCAAGGAACCATTCCTCCCGATCTGGGGTATCTCACGTCGCTGGTAGAATTGCGATTGCAAGGAGACAACTTTTTCAATCGAGACTACCAATTCCTTCAAGGCACCATCCCACATGAGTTAGGAGAACGACTGACGCAATTGCAATTCCTCGATCTCTCCAAAAATGGATTGACGGGATCCATTCCACACACACTGGCGCACTTGACACAACTCGAGGTACTCCTCTTGTTGGAGAATCAACTCTCGGGGACCATTCCATTGGCGCTCTTGTCATGTCATTATAATGACAACAACAATACACTAGTAGAGTTGGAGAAGTGTCCCATGCAAAAATTGCAAGAAATTCGACTCTACTCCAATCTACTCACAGGAACATTGCCCGCCACCGAATGGACACGATCACTCACGGTACTCGATTGGTCCAACAATCTGTTCACAGGGACCCTCCCTACGGAATTGGCCGCGCTCCCTGCGCTCAGAGTATTGGATTTGCAAAATTGTCTCTTCACTGGAGTCCTACCCACAACATTGGGAACCTTTGCACAATCACAATTGGAATTCCTCAAACTCAATGACAATCGATTCACGGGAGTCATTCCCAGTGAATTGGGACAAGTGTCTTCGTTAAAGTGGCTGCTGTTGAAACAGAATCATCTCGTGGGGACGATTCCAACCGAACTCGGAGGATTGATGGGTGTGGCGTGGCTCCTCTTGAATCATAATCGTCTTTCGGGTAAGTAACGGTACTGTATGTTCAGCAAGGAAGGGCACAATACAAGGGAGGACAATGGGCCTGACGAGTCGCCTCTTGATTCCTTCATTCATTTCATTTCATTTATTCATGATTCTATAATAAAAGGCACCATCCCCACCGAGTTTGGACAATTGAACAGTGTACGCTTCTTGCGACTGCATGAAAACGATTTGACAGGACAAGTACCACAAGATGTATGCACGCTACAAGCCAACAATTGGTGGTTCTTCTTGATACAGGTCGATTGCGACGAGGTGGCATGTGATTGTCGATTGTGTCTTTGCGAGTTCAACCCGATTGGAGGATTATGACACACGCACACAGACAACACGTTTCTTGGGGTTTGTTTGTTTTGTTTGATACCTAGCTATGCTTGCATGCTTGACGTTTGCAGTTTCGGGGACGGGCCAGAAGGATACTTGAAGAGAAACAGACCAGCAAACCGAATCCAGGAGATACACCACAGCAAACAGCCACGACGGGCCAGCCATTGCGGATCGGTCAGTGGTTGCAATAATGATGACATGCCATTGGGGCAGGTGGTGGAGGCTGTGGCTGGGTATAGAAGGGGCGTGTTGGTATAGAAGGGGCGTGTTGGTGTGCTCCCGGTATAGGAGTAGTGCTTGTACCACTAGTAGCTAAGGTAGTGCGTGTACATGTACTACTGTAGTATGTATCCGTTCCTCTCTTTATTTTTGGCAGGATAGCTTTGTAGGGTTAGGGCTAAAAAGTGTGACGAACAAACAGCAAAAAAATTCACAAGGCCCCACATCCTATTGATCGAAACGACTTTGGAAGGGGCAATGTCTGCTGCACCACATGCATTGGACATTTGAAAGAACAGATATCGAGACAACAAATTCATCCCCTTTTGTCTTCCATCAACGAAAACAGAGTACCGCTGAACCATGCCCCGTACAAGCAAGAGTGGTGCCCCCGCCGATGGCGCCATCGACAACCTCGATACCCTGGATATCGATGACATGTTTGCTGACGATGGCGATGCTCTTTTCGATGGCCTCGACCTTGACCTAGAGCCTATGGGCGACATTGCTGACATGGGAAATGCTGCAGAGGCAGCCGCTCCAACTGAGCCTGTGAAGGAAGAAAAAGCAGAGCCCGCTCCAGCGCCAGTTCCTGCCGCTGATGAACCTCCCAAACGTCGAAAGACGAAACGGAAGTTAAAGGCAACGGTTCTCGCGGGTGAAGAGGAAGATGAAGCACCAACAAAGAAGAAGAGGCGAGCTGCAAAGCCTGGTACAACGAAAAAGAAAACGTCAAAGAAGGAAGAAGTAAAGGCTGAGGTCGTCGTCAAGGCCAAGAGCAAAACAAAGATAACGACACCCCTGCCAATAGCTCGAGCTGCCTCTTCATCAGGGCCAACTTCTGCGATAATGACTCAGGGCAATGTAGCAGCCGCCGGACAGTTTGGTGGACGTCAAAAGCGTGGGCAGTTTGCTCTTCCCTTGTCAAGGTCTAAATCAGATAGCCAGCAAAAGGCAAAGAGCAAGCTCGCAATAAGTAAGCCACCTCCGTCGGTATTGGTCTCATCAGCCTCATCAACAAGTCTTGGTGAGAAGAAGAAGAACAAAAAAACCAGCACCACAACCGCAACAACAACAGCAACAACAACGCAAAGTACGCCTGTGGCTCCAGTGCCTCTTGTTCCAGAAAAGCCAGCACCTTTTGCTCCTCCTCATCCGCAGGCAACATTTTGTGGGTTGTCAGCATCCAGTGGACTATTCTACCCCTTCATGCCAGCGCTGCCTCCAGAGCCTTCACTCAAGAATCGAAAACAGTATCCCGTCATTGATAAAATTCACGCTTCCTTCTCAAGTTACATCAACGCCACCAATGTTCCAAAGGGAAACAACAACGACACGACAGTGGCAGAAACAGAAAACATCTTTCAGCTGATGATGGACACCCTAAAGGATCAAATCCCTGCAGGAGGACAAACTCAATCCGCTGATTTCAAAAAGACAGCCATGTCCAATGCCATATACTCGTTGAGAAAAATGGTAGCAGGGATGGAAAAGGGCAAACTAGCATTGGACTTGTTCTCTGTGGCGGCTCTTCTAAAGCGTCAACACGACTTTCTCAATCAGAATCTGCAAAATATGGACAAGTGGTGCAAGAGCAATTTCACAGAACAGGAATATGCAGCAACATATGGCTTATCCGATCCCCAGAAGAAGCAGAAAGAAACGGTAGCCGTCGAGTCTGTGTTTGCCGGCTTGAAAGCTCCTCTTGTGAAGGTCAAGATCAAGTTCAGTGGCTTTAAGGAGTCCAAACTGAACCCACCTCTCTTTGCCATCTTGCCTAAATCAGTCATTAGTGGTTCATCTTCGGCACCTGAGCATAGCAAAGAAAAGAAAACAACGAAGAAGCGAAAGAGTTCTATCTTGGATCCTTCGACCGTGACCAACGCAGTTGCTGTACCTACCGCAGACAAGGAAGACTTGTGGAAGACTTACATGACACAAAGACCTGGAAAGCGGAGGCAGTTGGTGGCGGATGATGTCGCCCTTACGGCCAAGGAGCTAGAAGCAGCGTGCATTAGCAGCACTATAGCGCGTTGTCAGGCAATTGAACGAAGGCATGCAGATCTGAAGAGTACGGTGGAAAAAGATGACGCCCCGCTCATCCACACGGCGACTATGTGGCAATACATCGACAAGGCAGGGTACTTTTCCGCTTTTACAGATGAGTCATTGAAGGATACATTGAGGTCGGTGTGGTCCCCAGAGGTGAAGTACAGTTTCCAACGAGAGATAACGCGAAGCAGCACTCCCAAGGTGGTACGAGCGAAACGTGAAGGGCAAAAGAGTGTGTTTGAAGGGTTGCAGTCTCTTTTGGTTGAAGTAATGTCAGATGACGAAGGAGACAGCGACGACGATGACGACAGTATCTTGGATAACGACGACAACGTTGATGCAGTTTTGGACCCTTCCATCCAGTACAATACGAAACTCGTGGATCTCTCGGGACTGACACTCGACGAGCGAGCGTTTACCCATCTTTGCAAAGCTGGTCTTTTGGATGAAGATGCGTGCTTTAGTGACTTTTCAGAGGGAGGGAAACCCACCACGAACGCTGATGTGAACGGTGACTCGTCGCTTGAAGATGTAATCCAACGAATGTCGGACGATCTGCTTCGCTTGAGCAGTGCCAACAATGCGAGATCAAGTTTCCTTGAAGCTGTAGCAGGCGCATTCAACACGAGAACGAAAGCCAAGAGTCAACGAGCTGTTGAGGAAGCGGCAACATTGGCAAAATATCAGCAGCTACTGAAACGACGAAACGACATCAAGCTAAAAGCGGCCTTAATGCCCAAGTCCAAGGATGAATATGCCCTCCCTTGGTAGCTCTGATGTGTGCGGTTAGCAATGATAGAAGGCACCAGTACATCTGTACCATGGTGCTGATTGCTTTGGTTTTGAGGGAGTGATAGTGACGACATGCCATTGGGGCAGGTGGTGGCTGCGGTGGCTGGGTATAGAAAGGCGTGTGTTGGTGTTCTCCCGGTAGGCTATACGTATGGCTGAACAATTCATTTAGAGTAGAGAACGAACGATATGTACTAGTTCACTGAAATGTTGGTAATGGAAATCTCATAAAAGATGGGACTGCTAGTAGAGTGACAATTACGGGCCCGAGGAATCGAATCATGTCTAGCTACCGGTAGTTGGCAAGGGTTGCCACTTTCAATCCAACTCAGAAAACATCATCGTGGGATTCATCGTTTTCGAGATCAACCCAGTTTGGTCCATCAAGCCACGGACTTCGCAGCTGGCTAGCTAGCTAGCTAGCTAGCTAGCTTCGTATTCTTTGGAGTTGATCTTGTCCAGATCGAGGCTGCCCAGACCAATGCCGTCCAATGCGGCTTCCGATCCAGCTATTAATAAAAAATAGGGTACAGCGTAAGAATCGAATCGAATCTTCAATCGAATTGAATCGAAGGAAGGTAAGTCGAGTGAGTCGAATAGCAGAGTCAACTCTCGGCGCGAAAGATCCTGGCTTTTGTCATTGCTGCCCCCATCAGCCTCACAAAAACGATCTTTTCCGCCTGCATTCTGCCAACCGAAGGACAATGAGCATCAACGCTAACAGTACTCTCTCGACGCTTCCTGACGGCGTGCTGTCAAATGTCTTCACCTATCTAAATCCTCAGAGTGTGTTGTCAGTAGAAAGCACGGCGAAAGGCCTTGCAGGTTTAACCGATGCCGCTTGGGTTGTGTTGGAGGGGCGGATTCCGCCGTTGCAGAAATCAAAGGCAGTGAATCTAAGCCCGAAACAGCGTGTCGCTCGCTACGAAAAACTTAACAACTATTGCTTGCAGATAGCCGGAATGGAAAATCATCAGCTGCCTAATCTCTGCACAGATGTCTATGGGAATCATCCTGCCTCAGTGGATGGCTATGAGTTTTTTGTCCGTATAACACAAAAACGTCATCGCCACGTCTGGGAGGGCTTTGTTCCAGCTCGTCCAAATCGCGTCTTGCGAGGCGCCGTTGATCTTGACATGTCCGAGGTTTTCCAAGCAGGTTGTTTGAACACATCATCGGGCAGGACGATTGAAAAAATATATCCAAGCCTGAAAAAGTTCCTGAAAGACCCGTTCGCCGTCGGAGCAAACACGTTTGCCGGCAACCGCGGTCACGTGCGGCACCTTTTTCAAAACATTCTAGTCATTGTGGCTGTCGTGCCATACAATGATCCAAAAGCCGCGCCGCGGCTTGTCCTTTCTACTTGGGGACTAACACGGCGGAGGGCCTGGAATGGCATCCTGCGCGGAAACAACAACAACAACTCGCAACAAATGCAGCTGACACAGAAGTTTCAGCCCGTTCAACCTCGTAAAGTGCTTCGTGAGCCTGATGACATGTTTGCTACAAATACGTTTGTGTGCCGGCGCCCAGATGACTCACCACAATTCGCCCTGGAGCTTTTAGTCCTTTTCCAACGACCAGCACGTACAGGATTGTGAAGCAAGATATTACATTTGACTTGCCTGATCACACGAAAACACCATCTTGTTCACCTCATCGGCCCGCTAATAAAGCGGACGTCTCCTTCTGCTCCCTTTTGAGTACGAGCTGCAATTTGATCCTCGGAGCTTGGAAGCGATTTTTCCACGTGGCTCGTACGTGTACCTCGTGGTTCCCTTCGAATGCCGCAAGAACGGCTCGTCCAAGAGTTTCAGCATAAATGATACATACGTAAATACATACATACACAAAAAGCTTCCTTCTGATTAGCTAGTAGTTTAGCATCTGCAACTACCCCAAGGAGCCCAAGCATGCGTGAATGTATCCAAGGGGCGAAACGGTACCGAAGCATGCACCGGCACCGCTACTCCCGTCCCTCTAGCACGACATCCATTCTACCACAACATTCAATTGCGCTGCGCTGGCGATTAGGTTGAAAACGTCTGTAACTTGCTGCTAAATAAACTGATTGTTCTATTTGTTTCGTTGCAACGATTAGCATTGCTGAGGAGCACCGTATCCAAAGGTGGCAATTGCTCCTCGGACTCAAGCAGCGTTGGGGATGGCTTTTGTGCCCTCCTTCATGTGCCGAAAAGTGGGTCTCTGGAAACCCACCCTCGCAAACAGATAGTGGCGATCCTGCGGATGCGTGGCCATTGAATGGGAACAACCCAGACTAAGACGAGCGGGGAGATTGCTGAGCCCAAGCAAGCCCACCCGGTGGCTTTGCCATTTGGATCCTGCCGCGAACAATTTATTGTTGCTCGATAGATGATTTGGATCAACCTCTAGTTCAACTCAAACTGAGAATCGTGATCCACGAGCCCAAGCTTGAGCACAGAGCGCAATCCCTGCGATTGCGCGTCGACGCCATCCCCAACAACATATGATGATCCCAACACTTTGATGATGACGACGACATCACAACACCTTGCCAGTCGATGCCCTTCGGCCAACTAGGAGATTCACGGTCCGCCGCCATCGTCCTCGTCGCTGTACGAGCCCTCATCAGAGTAATAGGAGCCTTCTTCTTCTCCTTCCTCCCCGGAGTAGTATGAGCCTAGCAGGTTTTTGAGTTTAATTAGTTGAGAAAATGCATGTAAAGGTCAGGAACAGCAAGTAAAGATCACTAATCAGCAGGCATACACCAAGGATAGCTAGCTGACAAGAAGAAGCCACCAGCCTGGCACCACTCACCTTCCTCGTCATCATAACCTTCCTCGTCATCATAATAGCTGCCTTCTTCCTCTTCCTCTCCAGAGTAGTAGGACCCTTCTTCTCCTTCCTCTCCTTCCTCCCCAGAGTAGTATGTGCCTAAGTAGCAGGTGTGAGTTTGTGTTGAAAGCAAGCCAAGGTAAGGACAGTGAGCAACGATCACAAACAGTTGGCATGATATAGCACAGATATCTGAGAAGAAGCAGCCACCGCCCCGGCACAACTCACCTTCCTCGTCGTCAAAATGGCTGCCTTCTTCCTCCCCAGAGTAGTAGGACCCTTCTTCTCCTTCTTCACCCTCCTCTCCTGAGTAGTAGGTTCCTGGTGTGTGCGAGTTGGTAGAGCAAAGTGCACGCAATTGTCAGGACAGCGAACAAGATCACAAGCAACAGGGAGATTCAATCCACTCCTGACACCACTCACCTTCCTCGTCGTCATCATAGCTGCCTTCGCCTTCCTCCCCAGAGTAGTATGTGCCTATCGGGCGTGAGTCGGTGGCGGAAATACAAATGTCAGGAACAGCAAGCAAACCATCACACACTGACAGCACATATTGCTCTCGAGAACCAGGCCACCCCCTTGTCAAAAGAAATGGACGGACTGGCAACTCACCTTCCTCGTCTCCATACTCGTCATCGTAGTATGTGCCTTCCTCGTCTCCATACTCGTCATCGTAGTATGTACCTTCCTCGTCTCCATACTCATCATCGAAATACTCTTCTTCGTCTCCATACTCATCTCCATATTCGTCCGAGTACTCGCCGGAGTAATCGTCCGAGTACTCGTCGCTGGGAGATCCATGAAACATAGGTGTGTGAGCAAAACAGATGCCATAATTCGTGACACGCAATTTCCTTTTACTAACCTGTAGTAGGACCCTTCGTCTCCGTAGTCATCGTAATCATCGTATTGTTGAACACGGGGCTGTCGGCGCTGTGGCTCAGGCCCAAGTGTGCTGGCAGCCGCAATAACTGCTGAGCCCTCTGAAGCAATGGAATATCCACCAACCTGGTTTGGATTCGCTTTCACCTTGGTCTTGTGTACAGCGGCACGGGCACGTTGGGTGCTGTTTCGTTCTTCCATGTTTTGTAGGGTGTTGATCAACTCGGCCTCGCGCCCTTCGAACTGATCCATCATCGTAGACAGGTTGTCGAGCTCCTCTGGCACTACCTTAGTCACTAATTCCTTGACTTCTTTTCGGAGCTCTTCTAACGAAGACGTTGTCGAGTCTGAGCCATAGCTCGAACCATCCGAACCCGAGCCATCGTCGTCGTCGTCATCATCATCTCCGTCCTTTTCCTCTTCCCCATCGCCACCTTCGCCCTGATTTGCTCGGGCCGCGGCTAACATGCCTTCCACGTTGCCACCACCCATCAAAGCTTCTCCATTCGCATGCTCATCTGACGAAGACAAGGAGTCATCGTCGTTCTTTTCCTCGTTTCCAAAGTCCTCTCCTTTAGAGGAAATCGTGTCCTCGTCGTCTGCTCCTTCGGAGTCCGAGAAATCAAGCCCGAACGAGTCCTCCTCGTCCTCCTCGTCTTCTGAATCCTCGTCTGAGTCGTATTCATCATCAAAGTCATCATCGAACTCGTCAAAGCCCTCCATCGATGAGGTACTTGATGCCACAGAACCCTCTCCATTAGAGCCAGTGACAAAACTGGTCCCCAGTGCAGGGCGAGCTTTGGTGCTTCCCCGAATAGCGTCCTTCCCGGCACCTTCTTCTCCGAACTTGTTTCCGGGACCATTTTGCTCGGTCATGAGTTCCGCAGGGGTATCAAAGATATAATCGTCAAAGTCCAGCACGTTCTCATCTTGCATGATTTCGATATCATCGTCCTCGACTTCATTGTCTGTGAGCCCAATGTGTTTACCAATGTTTTTGACTCCTTTCAGAGTACCGAGCAGCTTCTTGGTGCCCTTCTTTCCCTTTTTCTTTCCCGTTTCTTCGAGTCCCTCATTGTCAAATTCGTCATCGAATTCCTCTTCCTCTTCGTAGCCTTCGTATCCTTCATATCCTTCCGGATAAATGATGTTGCCATCCTCGTCCACTTGAAGTTCCTCCTCTCCATCAAGCTCCCCTTGACTTCCAGCTTGATTTTCGTCTTTCTTATTCTCCTTTCGCTTCTTCTTCCATTCTCTCCATTTTGCTTTTATCTTATCTTTGTCGTTCCATGCAAAGTAAACACCCAGTGCAATTAAGGCCAAGAGACCGACCATAGAAAAAAACAGGACTGAGCCTCCGGAGCGCCCAAAGCCTAATTCCGGGTCGGGCGGGAAAGTCGGCGCCGCTGTGGGTGGTTCCGTCCATACTATCAGCTCTGGGGTAGCGCCAAATATCATGATAGTTTCGCCACCTTGAGCCGTCATTTCTGCTTGCAGTCCCCCGCTCTGGATCAAGGTTTGTGTAAGGGCAGTGTAGAATGCTTCCACTTCGAACCGATAGATGCTGTCTACGGCAGTCACGCTATATCTTCCGTAGGCCGTTTGGCAATCTTCTTTGCGGAGGTTTTCGTCGAATTGTGGGGGGCAGTCCCGAAACTCCACATCCAAAATCTCTGCCTTTGAATACTCGATCAGCTCACGACGCTCGTTGTGATACCCGTCTTCTTCTTCATCTCCTGGGCGATTGCCACGTAGTCCTCTCCTGCCAGGCACCACAGTCGGTGTCCACGGGTTTTCGATGACCACGTTTTCGCAAAAGACGGCATAAACTAAATCCAGCTGTCTGCGGAATTTGTCGTTTGGAATGTCCAAGGTTTCTGCCAAGATGCCAACCCTGTTGTAGATGATAAACGAAGAGTAAATCTCGACGATTCCATCAAAGGCAGTTGGGGCTGCCGTAGGATCAGGGGCTATACTTGGTTTCGGTGATATCGTAGGATGGAGCGTAGGCGCCAACGTTGGTGGCCGCAGGGCATCTTGGATTGCATAGGTGGTATTCAAACATATAATCTGCAGAAATTGAAGCTGCTCCTCGGTTACAACAAGATTCTGTAATGGCTTGGCTCCCAAGATGTCAATTGCATCGGCACTATGGACTCGGTCGGGGAAATTTGGGCTGGGATTATCGACAGCGGCCAACTTGACAAAGTTGACTTGCAAAACGGGGTGCAACTGATCGTAGAGCACACCGGCAAAGGCGTTGTTGCCAATCCGATTCAAGAAGGCTACGTATTCATTGTGCAACAAGAAAAAGTCACCAGAGAGATCCACCACCGCCATGTCATCCTTGCAATCGGGCAGCGCCACTGTTGGTCGTGGTGTTGGCATCGGTGTTGGCAGGAGATTCGGTGCAATAGTGTTCCCGTACAGTGCCTGGTAAATGGCATCATCAGTCGTTGCACACACTTGCAGCATGAGGGCATCCAGTGCGGGAGTGGCCGGCGTGGCCGCCCCCGCAATGCCAATGGTGGCCGTGTTGGGGGTCTGTTGTGCCAATGCCAAGTACGCATTTTGCACTTCGATCGGCAAGGCTGCAAAGGTCGTAGCCGGCAACCCATTGGGCCCAACCGGGCTGGGTGCCATGTGATCGACAAAGGTGACATATTCCGCCTCCGTCAGTTGTGAATCTTTGTCCACATCCGCCAAATCAGCGTGGCTCTTGCAAATCCCCAATGGAGTGTACACTTTGGGCGGGATGGTGGGTGGCGGCGTAGCGGCTTCGATAACAGCCGCATTGATAGCATCCACTGTGCCGGTGCAAGCTTCGGACAAGAGGGTCGATTGACTCTGTGATGCCGGATTGGCCGGGTCGGGATTGGCCCCTGAAATGTCCCAATATTCGCCTTGACCATCTACGGAGAATCTCGCAAAATTGATTTTCAAATTCTGCGGCAAACTATTGTAGGTGTCCGTGGTGGTTCCCGTGGCGCCTATCCAGTCATACCGTCCCGTCAATCCAGCAATAAAAATAATGTATTCACTCTGCGACATACGACCGTCTCTGGGCTGTACATCGGATTCTCGCAAGAAACCCCCACAGGGGATGATCGCCACAGGTTGATAGGTTGGAACATTGACGATGGGCACGGGCGGTATCGTCGCGGGTGCTGGTACTGGCGTCAATGGCGGAATGGTCAATGGCGGAGTCGTCAATGGTGGCACCGTCACGACAGGGAACACCGTGGATGGCACAACCGTGGCCGGTGCCCCTCCCGACAGAGCCACCTGTGTGTCGGTACAGACCTTTTCCAAGAATCCCAACTGTGCGGCATCGGTTTGTTGCGACGGAATGGATCCAAAGATATTGACTTGTCCTCCTGTCGTGGCCAGAGCAGTGTAGGTGGATTGTACGGCCGGTGGCAAACTGGCAAAGCTGGGATAGGACACGGTGGGTACCAATCGATTGGCAAAACTACTAAATTCTTCTTGCGAGAGCAACGTGTCCTTGTTGGTATCGGCCACGGCCATTCGTGCACGACATGCCAAGAACGGAATGAGTGTCACGGTACCAGGCGCCGTCGTGACAAGGGGGGTGGTGGTGACGGGTGCCAGCGTGACGGCCACGGCACTGGCGGTAATGACTTGGGTATCGTCACAAATTTTTTGCAGTGTTGCCTTTTGAGCATCGGTGGCCGTATTGAATTGTGCCGGTTGTGCTCCAGCAATATCGATTGTGGTCGTGGGAGCAGCCAGTGTATTGAAATTGGTTTGGAGTGCGGGGGGCAAACTGGTAAAAGGGACATTGAGAAAGGCATTGCGGGTCAATCGATTGAGAAAACTAACGTATTCAGTAGTGTCCATTTGTCCATCTCGACTGGTATCGGCAATGGCCATGCTAATCCGACATTGTGGAAACGTCAAGGCTCCAGGTGCTGGAGCGGGAGTTGTGACTCCTGGAGCCGCTGTTTCGGCGGGAGATATCGTTTCTCCTTCCTCGCCCGCCATGGCGACTTGCACTTCTTGACAAATGGTTTCCAAATGTGCCTTCTGGACACTGGTGGCGGACGCGAAACTAGCTGGACTGGCTCCATCAATGGGTATTTCGGTGGTCCCACCGGTGAGACGCGTGTATACCGTTTGTAGAGCGGCTGGCAGAGCGGCAAAGGTGGTAAAGCCGAGTCGGTTTCCCGATAGTCGATTGAGAAAGGTAATGTATTCCGTTTGCGACAATCGGTTATCTCGATTGAGATCTGACACGGCCATGCTGATGCGACAGGTGGGAAAGGGTATGGCGACGGGTACGGCAGGAGTGGTAGTACCACCTGTGGTAGTGCCTGGAGGTGTCGTAATGACAGGAGCCGGCGAGGGTGTATTGGCATTGACAGTGGCAATCATTTCGGTACAAAGAGTCGTCAAGGCAGCAGATTGTTCGGGTGTGGCCGTGACTCCTGGTCTGGCTCCGACCACAGAGATTTGGCCAGTGGGGGATGTTGCTGCATACTTGTCGTAGAGTGCCTGATACGTTGCTGGCATGGCGGCGTAGGTAGCATAACTCGAGCCCGTAAGGACTGACACAAAGCGAGTATATTCCGGTTCCTTATTCAGACTGTCATCGCGGTTTACATCCGAAGCAGCCAAGTAGATGGAACATCGTTGGGTCGTCAGAGCTGCTTGGGCCTTGGTCCTCACGGGGGTATGAATGATGAGAATGACACTGAAGAATAGTACATGTAACAGGGACAGCCGAGGAGGGAGGAAGTTGACGGGAAGCTGACGGCCTCTCTTCATTTTGACAAATAGGTAATGTAGCGAGCTAGTTCACAGGTCTTGCGCGAGATAACGCCATCTTTCTTGTCTTGTTGGTCGGGGTGTTCTATCTTCCTTGGGTAGTGTGCGTTTCTGTTCTGGTGTCTCTTCTATTGATGTATATTGGTATACCACTTCTATAGAGAACTTGTTGAATTAGTCGGTGGTTCTGATTCAGCTTTGTCAAGCCTCAGACGTTCATCAGCTAAAACGGTATACTCGAACCAACAGAGAGAGGGTTGCTATCAGATCGGAACGCTGATGCTGTCGAAAGCACGAGTGCGGCAAGGGGTTTGCTGCCGGTCACCTGATTGCTTCTTTGTTCTTTGTTGTTGTTGTCTATTGCGGTCGTGCCTGCCACCACTGACCTCTCGGGGTTGAAAAGATGAAAACCTAGAAAGTGAAAGTCTATATCTCGGGGTCGCTCTTCGAATCTATTCGGCTAACGCAGTCTAAATCCTTTTGGCCACCCCAAAAAGCCAAAAAACCCAGTTTTTGGTCGCTTGTTGCGGTACAAGAGCAAACCAGGTTCTTTTGCACAAATCTAGCTAGCTAGAGCTCTGGATAGTGTACACGTGTATGCTAGATGCCAGCCAACCCATGCCAGAGCTGTTGTAGTCCCTTATGGCAAGGGCCAGATACCGGTATCACTTACTTCGATCAGGGTTTCTATGTGTACCTGCAGTCACAAAGTCTTTCCAACCTGAGAAGACAGAGGCAGCAAGCCAATGCATGTAACACAAGCCCAGCCAAAGCACAACATGACTGCTGCTGAGCAATCTCTTATTTGCAGCCAAAGCCAATTTGAGAATTGAGAGGTTTCTCTAAATGAAAAGAACCTATTGTAGACGAGCATCAAACTCAATTTGATAATGGAGCTGGAGCCACATCCCACTAACCACCACTGTGGTATGGCTAGCTAGCTACATGTAGTTCCAAGTTGATCTCGATGTCACCTGCACTGTGATTGCTGAAAATGGTTACCATTGTGTCCGCAACAGGGGCCCTCTCTTTCGAGCAACTAAATGCCAAGACAGGACTGGTCAGGGTGCAACAACACTCCCACTAGCTAGTAGGCTCTGTTCGATTGCAACTTCTATTATTGATATTACAATTGGACAGAGATATTCCCCACTGTACAATACAACTTAAACCGGTAACAGTACAATACAACTTAATTAAACCGGTAACAGCCTCAATTCTATAACATGAAGCAGTCCTTCCAGCGAAGCCACCAACACAGTTTCCACAGTGGAAAAGGTGCTTCTTCCACACCAAAAATGCATGAAACACAAGCAGTGCTCACACACTCATGATGACGAGTCAGATTCGTCCTCTGAGCTATCAGAATCCACTGGCTTCTTTGGTTTTGGAGCTGGTGCAGGAGCCCTCTTCTTGACTGGAGTGCTTGAGTCGTCATCAGAGCTTTCCTCTTCAGAGCTATCATCTGAGTCTGCTGGCTTCTTTCCAGCAGGTTTTGGAGCTGGTGCCGGGGCCCTCTTCTTGACAGGAGTACTGGAATCATCATCAGAACTTTCCTCTTCAGAGCTATCATCTGAGTCTGCTGGCTTCTTTCCAGCAGGTTTTGGAGCTGGTGCCGGGGCCCTCTTCTTGACAGGAGTACTGGAATCATCATCAGAACTTTCCTCTTCAGAGCTATCATCTGAGTCTGCTGGCTTCTTTCCAGCAGGTTTTGGAGCTGGTGCTGGAGCCTTCTTTTTGACTGGAGTACTGGAGTCTTCATCAGAACTTTCCTCTTCAGAGCTATCATCTGAGTCAGCTGGTTTTTTCTTTGCTGCAGGTTTTGGGGCAGGAGATGGGGCCTTCTTTTTGACTGGAGTACTCGATTCATCATCAGAAGTTTCCTCTTCAGAGCTATCATCTGAGTCAGCCGGTTTTTTCTTTGCTGCGGGCTTTGGTGATGGGGCCTTCTTCTTGGCAGGCACTGGAATCATCATCCGAACTTTCTTCTTCAGAGCTGGATTCATCACCACCCTTTTTCTTTGCTGCGGGCTTTGGTGATGGGGCCTTCTTCTTGGCAGGTGCACTTGACTCGTCGTCCGAACTTTCTTCTTCAGAGCTGGATTCATCGCCGCCCTTCTTCTTTGCTGCGGGCTTTGGTGATGGGGCCTTCTTCTTGGCAGGGGCACTAGACTCTTCGTCTGAGTCTTCCTCGTCAGAACTCGACTCATCACCGCCCTTTTTCTTTGCTGCAGGCTTTGGTGATGGGGCCTTCTTGGCAGGTGCACTTGACTCGTCGTCCGAGTCTTCCTCTTCCGAACTCGACTCATCACCGCCCTTTTTCTTTGCTGCAGGCTTTGGTGATGGGGCCTTCTTCTTGGCAGGTGCACTTGACTCATCATCCGAACTTTCTTCTTCAGAGCTGGATTCATCACCACCCTTTTTCTTTGCTGCGGGCTTTGGTGATGGGGCCTTCTTCTTGGCGGGTGCACTTGACTCGTCGTCCGAGTCTTCCTCGTCAGAAGTCTCTTCATCCTTCTCCTTTTTGGCCTTCGCTTTTGCCTTCTTGTCAGATTCATCATCTGAGTCTTCGTCTTCGTCAGAACTTTCTGCATCCTTTGCTTTTTTGGCCGCTTCCTTGGATTCATCTTTCTTTTCTGATTTTTCGCCTTCATCCTGGGCAGTTTCTTCTTTCTTGGCCTCTGCTTCGTCAGTCTTTGCCTCATCAGCCTCGGCGTCGTCTTTTGACTTCGACTTTTGAGACCCTTTGGAACCCTTGGAACCTTTGGACTTTTGCGATTCCTTAGATGCCTTGGATCCTTTGGACTTCTCTGAAGCCTTGGAGTCTTTGGACTTTTGTGAGGTTTTTGAACCTTTGGATGCCTTAGACTTCTGCGAACCTTTGGACCCCTTGGACTTGACTGACCCTTTCGATCCTTTGGACTTGACAGAGCCCTTGTCAGAACCGCCGTCCCCATCTGGTGCAGGCGTAGGAGCTGCAGTCTGCAAGAAAAGGCTCTTCTTGGATGATTGAGACCCTCCTTCCGAGCCCTCCTGTAAACATACAAGACGGGGAACATCGCAATAGCAAATGAGACCTCGTTGAGCCTTTTCTCACCAGACAACGGAACCGTCAAACGTACCTTTTCTGAAGCCTTTGCTTCCTCATCCGCAGTCTCAAATGTATCGTCCTTATGCAACGAGGCTGCTTTAGATGACAAGGAGGACGGAGCTCTTGAATCACCCCCAAACGTGTCAGCATCATTATCAAATTCTTCAGATTCCTGTACAGGGGATGGGACCTTCTGCAGCGGCAAGTGTTCGGTCTCGAATCCACTCTCAGTGGTGGCCTCCTCTGACTCGAGTTCCTCTGATTGTGTTTGTTGTGATGGCGCCGAGGATTTCTGCAGTGGCACGTGTTCGGTAACGAATTCATCTTCTGACGCATCTTCTTTACTGAACTCTTCGGATTTTTCTTGCTTTGGTGGTGATGCGGCTTGCTTTGGTTGTGGCGATGCGGTTTGTGTTGATGGCTGTGGCGATGCGGTTTGCGTNNNNTGCGGTTTGCGTTGGTGGTTGTGGCGATGCGGTTTGCGTTGGTGGTTGTGGCGATGCGGTTTGCGTTGGTGGTTGGGGTGATACGGCTTTCTTGGGGGATGTTGGTGATGCGGCTTTCGTCGGCTCCTGTTGGGCCCTGCGTTCCTTCTCCTCGTCGGTTTCCTCGGTCCACGATTCGTCCTCGAACTCTTCAGGGCTGGGCCACCGCTGCTGAGAAGCAGTTCCTCCTGGCCCCCCAGGAGCAACCTGTGGCAACGTCGGTGGTGGGGGTGGTGGAGCTGGCACTGGTGCCTCCGAAGCCGACGTCGATGGAGCGGCCTGTGATGGCTGTGATGATTGTGAGGGCCTCGATGCTCGTGATGGCTGCGACGGTGCTGTTGCCTGCGATGGCTGTGTTGCTTGTGATGGCTGTGTTGCTTGTGATGGTTGTGACGGCTGTGTTGTTTGCGATGGCTGCGTTGACTGCGATGGTTGAGTTGCCTGTGATGGCGATGGGCTTGGTGAAGAAGCGAAGAAGCGCCTTCTTCTGGGCTCCCCGTCCCTCCCCCCTCTACCTCTGCCTCTACCACCTCCCCTCCTGAAGGGACGTCTACGTACCTCCTCTTGCTGCCTGGGCGGTTTCGGTGGCAACCCACCTGGTTGTCCCGATGGAACAACAAGTTGTGAAGGCAAAGAAGACTTGGACTGTTTCGATTTCAGGGACGACTCTGGAGAAGAGGGCACATTTTCGTTTTGAGCCAGCTGTGCGTGGCCCGTATACTGCGGTTGCATTGGAGCAGCCTGAGATTGGTCCCCTTGCTGCGAAGGTGGCGGCATATACTGTGGCGGATGCACATATTGAGTCGGTGGAACTTGATTGTTTACATATTGCGGTGGTGGCATATACTGCGAAGGCGGAACTTGGTTGTTCACATATTGTGGAGGAACTTGGTTGCTCATGTATTGTGGCGGAGGAACGTACTGGGAGGGTGGCGGTGGCACTTGGTTGTTGACGTATTGTGGGGGAGCATGCTGCTGCGTAACTTGACCATTGACATAATATTGTGGGGGTGGAACATATGGCGAATTTGGATCCTGAGCTACGTTTTGTTGAGGCTGTGGTGGAACTTGGCTCGCATACTGTGGGGGCGGCGCGTACTGCGAGGGTGAATGTTGATTCTGATTTTGATTCAGACTACTATGCGCCGGAGGTGGGGGACTCTGGCCTACAAAATCCGTCTGGTCAGCCGCAGGTGACGATGGACTGGCAGCAGGCAAGGGTAGTCTCTGCGGAGGCGCCTCAATAAGCTGAAACTTGCCCACATCTGACTCAGTCCACGATGAGGATTTCTCATCCTCTGTTCCAAAGTCGTCCTCCTCATCATCATCAGGTTGTCGATATGCAGGAACTCGCGCCGGTGCGGCAGGCTGCGATTCGAACCTTCCGACGTCAACCGGGGGAGCTGAAGCTGGTTTCGGTTCTGGCTTACCCGGCTGGCCCAAATGTGCCGCGGGTTTCGCTTCTCCGGTCTTTCCCGCTGAAACTTCTTCATTGAATTTCTTCAGTTCGGCCGATTCCTCTTCCTCGACTGGTTTCAGCCCTGGCGACAACGGAGTCTGGATTGGCTGTTCTGGGTCATATGGTGCTGTCTTCTTATCATTCGAACGGCTGACAAGTACAATGAGCACTACACAAGCCACAAGTATCGCGAGCAAAAGAGCCCCACCAATAATCCCAAGAACGATGTATAGAGTTTGGTTCGAGTCTGTGGGTGCGGCAGTGGGACCAGGAGTTGCTGGTACCGAAGTCGTTGGAGCGGAGGGTGCCGTTGGTGCTTGTTCGCCCGGGTCCACGGGATAGGAAGCACCAAGAACAGTCAAATCTGATGTAGGATCTTCAGCTTCTAGCGCCTCCTGGAGGTTGCCTTCATCAATCGCATTCTGTGTGTTCGTCACCAATCGATTGTACAGAATCTGGGTGTTTTCACCGCCACTGACAGCAACCTCGTACCCAGCAAATACCGTTTGGCAAGTGGCACCTTGCGGGACGCCACTGGCAGGGCATTCTGAGTCCACGAAGCTGTACATTGCCGGGGATCCTTCCACCAGGGACACTTGCAACCTTCTCCGGCTTTGGCCTGCTACAAGTTGTCTTCTGGCGTTGTCAGTGCTATCGCTTCCTGGATCACGCTGTGCTTTTCGGTTCTCCTTTGTCTGTTTTGCCCACGCCGCGCCGACTTCGGCAATTGCCTCCGGGACAACTTCGGTGATTCCTTCAATCTTTACAGACACTGTAGGAGACATGCTATTTTGTCCCGCACGCGCCACAGCCATAACAGGCATGAGGGCTGGTGCGACGGATGGAACGATGAGACCACCATCAATATCAGAAATCAACTCATCACCTATCTGATCATTTTCCTGCTGTTCACCCTCGCCTTCCAAAGCAGCACCTTCACCTTCCAAAGCAGCACCATCAGCTTCCAAAGCAGCGTCTTCGCCTCCCTGATCTGTCCCTTCTCCTGTTTGATCTGTTGCAGTTCCCATGTCTGTCCCCTCCCCTTCTTGGTCCGTTCCAGCTTCACCGCCTGCCCCATCACCTTCTTCAATGGTGTCATCTGTCCCATCGCCCCCCATCTCAACGCCTATAGCTTCCCCTTCACCAGATTCGGCATCCAGCACATCTCGTACCATACTATCATACGCACGAGTCAACCCAATTCGGTCACTATTTGTTGGGCTTCCAAGAGCTTGAGCTGTGACCCCTGCTGTATTGTAAATGTTGAAAGAGGAGCGAATCATGACGCGCTCTCCCTCGGGCCCTGGCGACATGGTCCCTGCCGTGGGGCCACTGGTTCCGGGAATGTTGCTGCCCGGGGTCGGGCTGCTGGTTTCGGGGCCGCCACCACCAGGAGTTGGTTGGGTGGTGGGGGCTCCAGTGATCGGCGTAGGTTGAATGACTGGGGCTGTCCCTGGTGGCGGTGTGATCGTTGGTATGGGCATATTGCCAAAGGATACCGTGGGCATGGGCGTGGTGATTGGCATAATGGTGGGTGGAATCGACGGCGGCTGGACAAAGGCGGTCGTGGGTCGGAGCGTCCCAAACCCATTGGCTTCAATGACCGCGTTTTCGGATTCCACACACACTTGTCGCAAAAAAGTTTCCTGACCAGGGGAAAGTTCTTGTCCCGGTCGTGCTCCTTCAATGTTGATTTGTCCGTCTGGCGCCAATCGGATGAAGGTGTCTCGAATGTTCGGCGGCATGTTGGTAAAGGTCCCATAGCTGGTCCCCCCTATCCGATTGATGAACCTGACGTATTCCTCACTGGACAAGTTGCTATCTCGTGTCTGATCAGCAACAGCCATGTAAATGCGGCATTCTGTAAAGGACATGGGTTGATACACCGGTGGCCCAGTCGGTATTGGAGTTTGTGGCGTCGAAACCGATGGAGCACCGGTCATCATGGATGCGGGCGATGGGTTTGGGGTGGTTCCGGGCTGGGGTGGGTTTGTCGCCACGGGTGTAAGAGGATCCGATGGTGGATTCGTTGGTGGATTTGTCATGGGCCCCGAGTTGGGTGGAGCCGTTCCCGTACCTGGTTCCTGTGTGCCAGCGGGATTTGGGGGTGCTGTTGTTGGGACACGTGTGGGATTATTGGTTGGAGGGTTTGTGGGTTGGTTTGTGGGGGATGGCGATGGCGGGCTTGTTGTTGGGGGGGCCGTGGGGGACGGTGTGGGCGGTAACGTCGGTAGACGAGTTGGTGCATTGGTTGGTGCCGGTGTGATTCCCAGATCCACTCCCAGAGAACTCCTAGTGTTTTCACAGAACTGCAGTTGAAAAGCAGCTTGCGTTGTACTCGGGACTACCCCTGGTTGTGCGCCCGCGACACTGATTTCGCCATTGGAATTGGCATTGTTTTCAAAGTTCAAGATGAGTGGAGGACTTAGCCAATCAAATGGTGTATTGCCATACATATCAGCCGTCCAAAAGTTGAGGTAGCGAATGTACTCAGGATCCCGATTCATCCCTCCATTTTGATCGAGATCCGCAAGAGACATGTACATGCGACACTCCTCAAAAGATACCGGCTTTAAAAAGGGCTCAGTCTGAGCTAAAGCTGGATGAGTGGCAGTGATGCAAATCACTAGCATGATGCTGATCCATCTCCAACATGGTAGCCATGGCCTTCGGGAGGGTATCAGTACGTGTGCGTGCATCTTGTCTCTCAGCAGGGGTATCCTCCCGCTCTTGGTACTATTATCAGTAGTCTTTCTCCCTCTCCAACTGTCACTTTTATGGGTTCTGATGTTCCTGGCAATGTTCGTAATATCCCCTCTCGTGGAATCTATCCCCACTCGTGCATACTCTGGTTGCTTGTTCAGTTGTCGTGGCTTTCTCATTGTTTCATCCCTTGAAACAGAAACACTTCTAATGCCATCCCCACAACAAGGCCAGTCAGCACAATCAGTTCCCTTCGACTCCATCACACCCTTTTGGTCTCTCAATGGTCGTCTCTGTCTCATCTGATGGCATGTGCAATGCTTCTATTAGAAGATGATGGCTCAACTAGCTACTCCTGGACGATCAGGGCTTTGGTTTCTCTTCCAATCACCTCGCAGTGTGGTGGCTGGTTGAAGTGGAGGTCGAGGGGGTACAGTTTTGGAGAGAGTAGCTTGGTATTTAGCCGAAAGATTTAGAGAGCTCGTGGCTGGCTCGTCACAAATTTCATGTGCCACTTTTATTTAGACATTCGCATCCATCTTTGGCTGCTTCCGAGTTCAGCGCCTCACATTTTGGCCAGCATTCATTTTTCCGAAATTGGAACCGAGGTCACCCCTGACCAAGCACATTCAGTATATGAAGCTTGCTTCATATGGAGAAGGATCATCTGGTGAAGCAGATGAAATGAACAGTATGTTAAGATAATTCAATGGGGACCTACTAGCTAGCTAGTAGCAATCATTGGGAGAGTCCCTTGGAAGGTATGCTTCTTGGTAACCTTCTTGCAAGGAGACGTGTGTCCATCGCCTGTTTGTGGACTTGCTTGCAGGGTTTTGGCACTTCTTCTATGCCATGACTTCTACAGTAGCAACCATCAGTCCAATGCAGTCTAGGATACGGTAGTAATTGCAGTGCATATTCTGTACATGTATATTAGAGTAGCCAGTCGAGTCTATTTTCTAGTTAGTTTCTCATCATCTTCAAGCGTCGTCGTCGTCGTCATCATCATCATCAGCATTGTCCTCAATGCCACCAGACAGCGCGCTACTTTCCTGCTGTTCACCCGGAGACAGTCCACGCCCCACAACATTGACAAGTTTCACTGCCTTTTTGAAGGCTGCATTGAGCACTTCAATGTCGTAAAAGTCGTACCCGTCTTCTCGCATGGATTCCATTAATCGGAGCGCCTTGAGTGGCTGCCCGTTGCGTTCGTAGGCCGTCACGGTCGCAGCATACAGTTCCACCTCCTGAACGTACCCAGCTTCGCCCATCTTTCGCAATAAAGCTTCCGCTTCCAATGGTTTCTTGGCACTCGCCAACCCCCGAATCAATAGATTAAACGTTCCACGATTGGGACGCGCCATTGTGTGGTTTTTGGATGTCATGATCTTGTAGATTGTAATGGCACGATCCATGCATTTCTCCACCGGTCGACCCTCCACCTGAGCCACAATGGCCGTGTTGAAGGTTGCCACGTTGGGCGACAATCCATCGCGAATCATTTTACGCAGTAACAAAAAGGCACGTTCCGACTGCCGTGCTTTGCGGCAGCAACTAATGGCAGCACCATAAATGATTTCATTGGGTTCAATCTGCTGCTCCTTCATGGTCCGAAAGACAATGTTAGCTCCGTCGATACTTTCGGCACGTTCCGACGCCGTCATGAGAGTTCCGAACGTCACGATGGTTGGCTCCAGACCCTGTTCGCGGAGATCTTTCATCAAGAGCAGGGCTCGTTTCAAATCGCAGGCTTCGGCACACACGCGAATGGCGGCATTGTACACGTTGATATTGGGTTTGACCACCGTGTCGTCGTTCTTTAGCACTTTGAGTAGTTGCAGGGCCTTGTGCTGCGGCAATGGCATGGGTGTGGAATCTCGAAAGGTAACACTGTTCGTTTCTCGTGCACACGCCACGGCGCATGCTCCGATAATCGCGGTCATGGTGACCTCGTTGGGTTCGACTCCGTTCTTCCGCATGACGTCCAACAAGCCAAAGGCGCGTCTCCACTCCCCAGCATATTCGCAACCCGTAATGGCGGCAGTATAGGCCATGACATCCGGAGGTTGTCCCGTTGCTTCTTCAAAGTCGTTTAATAGTCCAATCCCTTCCTTCCACGCACCACCACGGGCACACGCTGAAATGGCCAATCGATAGGCTACTGGATCGGGTCCCAGCAGTGCTTGTTTGGCTCCTTTTCGTTTCCTTCCGGATGTTTTTCGGGTAAAATAATAGGACGTCGAGGTAGCCTTTTGTTGTTGCTGTTTCATAACGTCGAGATAGTGCAGCGCTTGCTTCGCCTTTGCTAGTTGTTGACATGCTTTGAGTGCCGAAGTCAATGCCAGCACATCCAACGTCAGTCCCTTTGCTTCCATTTGATCGGCATATTCGAGTACGAGATCCCATTTTTCTCCCTTTTCGCAAGCGGACAGGACGGTCCCATAGGTGACATGATCGGGCTGTGCACCATTGTTGTTATTGTCGTCTTCTAGTTGTTCCAGCAAAGCAGTGGCACGTTTCCAATCGCCCGCCCGTGCACAGGCGGAAATGGCGGCATTGTATCCGACAATGTTCATGATGAGGTTGTGTTTTTCGGTGGCTTCCTTCAAGAGTGCGAGTGCCACTTGTGGTTGAGGTGGATCGTTTCGAGCCACAGCTGCAATGGCCGTAGAGTAAACCACAGCATTGGGTATCACGCCGTACTTTTCCTGCATGGTTAATAAAAAAATGTTAAAAGCACAGAAAACAAACAAACAAGAAAGAACCCATGAGTAAGCCTTTATACATCAGAACAGTCAGGACTGGCCATCCAAAAAAGATGGCCATCCAACAAAAATGGTATAATAGAGCCATTAGCAAGGTATATAACTTACCTGCATGGATTTAAGCAGGGCCCTAGCCTTGTCTCCTTTTCTTGCCCTGGCACAGGCACTCATTAAAGCTCCAAAAGTGAACACATTGGGCCGCAACCTAGTCTCCTGTTCTTGCAGTATCTGAAAGGCCTTGTCCAATCGAGTAGGACGTGCTCTGGCGCACGCATCAATGGCACCGTTCATGATCCGAAGGGTGGGTGCTGGTTGTTCGTAGTACACGGCCAGGGCTTCATCTGTCAAACCCTTGCGGCCCAATTGGACAATGCTTTGTTCCACTAGTCTCTTGTTATTCTTATCATCCAAGGTGGGGTTTTCCTTCTTCAACACTACCCCCACTGATGTGGCAGAATCTTGTTGCTCTTGCTGCAGTGACTGATACAGTCCACGAACTCGTTGTTGTATTGGTATTCTGCCGTTTGGCCAATGACAGTGTGCTGGAACTTGAAACGCTTGAAGCGATGGTATCAGTAGGGCAACTGTCAGGAGACAAACGTCTCTTCTCTTGGGAAAACCACAATATCTTGTCATCTTGGTACTAGTAATTGCTGTTGTGAAATAAGAGATGGATAATGGGAGTATTGGCTACCTACTAGCTTGCTAGAGTTTGGCCAATCCATAAATTCAACAACCCTCCGATGATGTCCTTTCTTTTGAACTCTGACATGGATTTGCAAACCTCGACGAATGAGATGGATGATTGGGGGCAGTGGGAAACCTCAACTTCCGGGTGATTTTCGTCCAGAGATCGCATCCCTAACCTTTTTTTGTGAACAATGCATAAAAAGCCAGCAGGACATGTGAAGCCCCCTCTTGGGAGAAGGGCTTCAAAGGAGGAGGGAACTCAATTCTGAAATCGTGGGGGCGGGGAAGCGGATAAGTAGTTGTTCCAAAACCAGCAATAGGCCAAGCTTTGGGGAACAGGAGACCGAGCTCAGGACAAGGCTCGGTTGGAACAGGTGGTGCAAACGTGGTACATGTACCTGTCTTGGGGGAATGGCGGGGTAGCCTCAAAGGCAAAGATGGGTACAGGTAGCTGAAATGAAGGAACCAGACCACCGTATCATGTAGATGTACCGGTACCAGTCAGGAGAGAGCCCAGTGTAGAGTTATGAGTGTATAGACCTAGCTAGGAGACCAGATTGACTCAGTCATAGCAGGAAATCATTGCAAAGTAAGCTGCCGAGTAGAAAGACCAGCTTCGGAGTCTTCCAGTAGCTACCTACAGAATTTTTCCAATGTGCATACCGTACTGACGAAACAACTCTAGAGCTTCCACGACTGTCACATCAGCATCTTCATTCTTGAAGGGTGATCAGGGAGTCGAGAGTGACTCAGTCCTCTGAGTGAGGTTCTTTACCACCACATATACAGTAGCTCTCCAGTACCGGTACCTCCGGCGGCTTCTCTGATTGATTCCGCCGACATACCTCTATCTAGCTAGTCGATGGCTTCACAGGATATTATCTCTTACTAGTACGGTTGGCGTTCCAATCTATGGTCAGACTTTCTTGTTCTTGACAGCATCACTTCCACTGCCAAGAGGATCAGACCAAGCATATGCTGCTGCAACTCCTAGACTACCAAAAAACGCCATCCAGATTGTCGTATCAACCCATGCAAAGTAGGCACCAAAGAAATCAGGGAAATCTTCCACATCATACAAGAAAGTGTTGCCTACGGCCCAGATGAATCTCTGGAAAGGAATAAAGAACAAGGCTCCTGCAAAAAGGATCATGCACATTCGGTGCAACTTCCAGTTTTTTTGTTGGGCATAGTAAATGCCTGGACGGTTAAGTAAAAGTGGAAAAAGTTGGATTTTTGGGTCAACTGGACTTGAAGGTTCCCCTATTCTTAAACAATTTGTCTACTTTTCACCCTTGTTGAAAAGTGTTGAAAAGAGGTTCATAATTGTTGAAAAACTGTTGAATAAGTGTTGAATCGTGTTGAAACCCTGTTGAATCACTGTTGAATCTATAGTCAGTGGAAGTGTGGAAGTTGTTGAATAAGTGTTGAATCTCTGTTGAAAAGTGTTAAATCTCTGTTGAATTAGTGTTTATAGGAGATTCAACAGTGTTGAACCAATTTCAACAGTTTCAGTGCTGTTAAATCTAAAAATTCAAAACTTCAACACTTTTCCTTTCGAAAACCCCATTTTCCCCAAAGTCAACTTTTACTTAACCGTCCTGGTGGCAGCGAGAGCGCCATTATCACCCAAGCTGCCTTGTCCGTTTTCTCGCCAGCAGCGCCAGCCCCTAGCATGCCCATGCCCCAGAGAACGTAGAAACTGGTTACCAAGTTGATCACGGAAAGATATACCGTGACCCATCCCAACGTCTTGTGGATTGGGGCACCTGGATGAGGTTTTCCTGTGGTTCTACGTGTCGTTGCGAGCTCTTTTCCAAAGAACAAATTCATTGCAACGAGGATACCCGAAACGGTGGCGCAAAACACGTGAATACGAATGGTATAGAATCGAAGGTCATCTTGGTACCAGAGGCCATAGAAACCGTAGAACCCGTCACCCCCTTCTCCCCAAATGGTACCATTGCGATGGTGGGGTAGAAAGATCCAATTGTTCACAGCACTGATGCTGTCCAAGGGTAGCAAAAAGTGGTAGCATCTTTCCAGCGACCAAATCAAGAAAAAAGCCATGGCTGGTACGGACCAAACCAAAGTTAAGGTGTCAGGGATCATCATCTTAGTTTTCCCCCTCAAAGCAGAAAGTGAATCGAATCAACGAACAGATCCAAAACAACAACAGCATGCCAAGCAGTTTTTCTTCGAAAGATCTTGGAAAACGCGATACCCCCGCACACCCACACCGTACACCGTGGCTGTACCGGTACCAGGTACGACTGTACTGTAAATCTTCTGTTACACAGCGATCAAGATGGAGCGACTTCGGGGTCGCGGAGAAACTTCTGTAGCGATATCTTTAGAAGCGGTACAATTTCAGTGCTTGGTCGTCTACTACTGTAGAGTCGTACATAGAAATACTTGCAGCGGTAGGTACATTACAAGTTAGAGCTGGCCAGCCACTAGCTAGCAAGCTACTGCATGGAGCTTGGGTTTGGGTTGACCTTGAATGATCATATGAAAACAGTGAAAATACTCGAGATACGGTAGGCTCAAGGGGCATTGCAACTTTGATTGGAGGCAACTTACTTCTACTTGGGCTTGGGTAGGGGAAGCTATAGGAACCTGCAACAGTCAATTCCAAAGAGCCATTGTCCATTACCCACCGCAAAGCTCTGTTTGATTTCAGTCATCCGCTGACTTCGAAGCCAAAAAATGAGGCTTGCTTCATTAGGGTTACGATTAATATCGGCAAAACCAACTTCAACTTGCTCGTGTTATCAGTTTGGTTCTGGCTGAGCTTCGAATGATGGATGTTGATCCAACAAACGATCGATCGATAGTCCTGGCAAAGAAAAGGATTTCATTCGGTTGGCTCATACATAGAACACACGCAGAAAAAGATATCCACGAAAGCTCGAGTGTCTACCTTTTAGGTTCGTCTAGTGCATAAAATTATAATGATGACGACTCAAAGGAGGAAATGCCATGGGCAGAGGAAGAGGCAATCTTTCGCGTTGGCCGCAGCGGTTTGTTTCTACGCTAGAGAAAGCCACGGATTTCATGCTTCTTGTGTTTCTTCGTGGAAACAGTCCACTGTTGATGAGAGAGGGCTAATCAGTACATGCAGTGGCCGTTACATGGCGATTGAGACCAACAGCATCCTATCAGAGAGCGACAGTCAACAACAACAGAACCAGTTTCTAATAACAGAGGAGGAATCCAAGCAATCTTATGCTTCCGACTCTGACCCCCAGAAAGGCAACATGGATATCCGCTTTGCTTCTCCCCTGCTGGAATTTGGATACCCTCCTGCCGTGGAAGATTTTGAACAAGGCAAGACTACAGAAAAGCCACTTCTTCTATACGTTCCTGGCTTTGATGGTACCTACCTGTCCGCTTTCTTTCAGTATCCAGAGCTGCACAGTCTCTTTGAAATCCGATGTCTCGTCTCCTCCATGGATGATCGATCCACTTTTAATGACCTGAAGCAAACCATTGTGGAGTTTCTCAAATCAGATAGTACCAACAGTGACAGCCATTCGCAGGAACAGGAGCATGCTCCACAGTCCCCGGAACATCAACAAGCGTCCACGTCATCGTCCCCGTCCACCAACATCTTTTCCAGCTTTCTCAAACGAAACAACAACAACAACGATAACAATAACAACAACAACAATGGCAATTCAAACCACGCCCCAAAACAAAAGACTAGTCGGTCAAAAAATACCGGCAGAACAGCTTCATCCACCAGCCACAATCATCAAGGTAGCCAAAGACCTGTCTACTTGGCGGGTGAAAGCTTTGGCGGCATTCTCGCATTGGAAGTGGCTCTTGCTCTTACAGAGGACTCTTCTTCTTCGTCGTCCAACAATAGCCACAATAATATCAATCTGCAGGGCTTGGTCCTCGTCAATGCTGCCACTTGTTTTGATAGATCTCGCTTAGCAGCCGAAGGACCACCCGTTGGAGAGCTTCCTCCGATGCTCTACTTTTTTGGCATTCTCAAGTTGTTGCCCATGTTCCTGGATAAGATCTCCTTACCACAGTTCTTGGCAATCATTCAAGGCAAAGCCTTGCCAAGCTTGATTGACAATCCCATGAGAGAAGCCTACATGGGACGACTAGCATTTGCCTTGCCTTTTTTGCTCAAGTTCATGCCGCAAGATACCTTTCTGTGGAGGCTGGAACAATGGTTGAGTGTGGGGTGCAAACGCATGGAAACACAGTTGGCAGCATTGCAGCAGCAGCAACAACAACAGCAACAGCCCAAAAAACGACAAAAGCCCCTGCGAACACTCATTGTGGCGGGTGAAAATGATCTGACATTGCCGTCCATTGCAGAAGCGGAACGATTGGCTCAAATCTTTTCACCCAATTGTCACGTTCATGTCGTCCAACAAGTGGGACACGCCAACACTTGTGGGACGTGTCTCGATTTGGCGGCTGAAATGAGAAGTCACTTTGCCGAGCTACAAGAACAACAACAACAACAGGGATCCGCTAAAAACAATAGCAATGGAACGGAGAAAGAAGCACTCATGGGTCGTACGCAAATGAAGCAAGTAGCAAGAGAAGGAGAAGGCATCTACTTTGGCATGGAGCCAAGGTATGATGGTAAGGCAATTGGCTTGAGCCCTCTCTCTTACTGGTCCCGAGAATACTACCGAAAGATGGAAGGACAGGACCCTCGATAATGCGCGGTGTGGACAGAACATAGCATCGAGCAACAGGCTGAGATACAGCTTCCTACTAAGAAACCTTGTGGAAAGGCAACGCTATAATTTAAACCACAGCTAGCTACTGGTAGCAGATGGTAGTCTTTACGAAGCAGTACTGATCTATGTCTTCTTCACTATGATTAGTGGCATGGTGGCTGCTGCTGCTGTGCTACATGAAAGATGATGAATTGCTGTTACCGGCAACCCACATCGGTATGACATGGGGAGTTCCGTCATTCGTTGCTGCTGCCCGTTCCATCAAACCCACAATGGCAGATGATATAAACATGGAGATTGCCACCGTCAGAGGCAATCCCACCCAGAGATCTGCACGCTCGGTGCCCTGCACCTCTTCTTGGCACCGTTTTTGAAATGGCCCAGAACTAAATGTATGTTGCAATGAAGACATGCTTTGCAACGAAGAATGCTGCTCCATCGCTCGGTTCAGTCTCCTGAAGAAGTCTATCCAACCTGTCCAACAAAAGTGTGAAGCGTGAGAAGATGATTAGCCAGCGACTGGGATGCCGCCCATAGACACAAACCGAAGCCTTGACAACTAACTTACATGGCGTGAGAAGTAGAATGCATGGTAGTAGCACAGGTACGCTCTCGCGGATATCAGAGTGAGAGATCATTGCTGTTCCTTGTTTGGTCGGGGAGAAGTTATGGGCTTCCGCGTTGCAATCTAAAACACACTTGTTCCGGATTGAGTCACGGTGTGATCTTTGACACGGCGATGATTGAGTTGTGTCTTCCGAATTTTTAAAAAGTGCCACTACAGTAAATGCTTCCAGAAAGCCTCATGACGGTGGAGATTAACAAACAAACAAACACGTGTAACTGGAAATTGTTACTACATAGGTTGACTAAATACCAACGGTACGGCGCTTGAGCCGGAGGCGGTATTCGTCGACGATACATGTAAAGTTGTGGATGCTGATATTGGCATCAGGTCCGCGCGACAGACAAAACAAGCAAGAATACTCCTGGGATCCTACCACGGCAATGGCTTGACACCTTCACCGTAGTTTGCATCCACAAAGGAGCCCGTGTTTTCGAGCGTAACAAGGTCAGCAGCTTTTAGGACTCCCTTGACTGATACATCGACGTCTCGATGAAACGAAGTTCGCGTCTTGAGCATACCGGTATCGACAGTTCCGGGGTGGATCAACCCGAGAGCAATTCCGTCGGGTTTCAAATCTTCCGCGATGTTCTTTCCAACCATGTTGACTGCAGCCTTTGAAGTCCTGTAGCTATAGAGGCCTCCGGACTCTACACTTGCAATGGACCCGCCCGATGAACTAATAATGATTACCTTGGTTAGATGACCGCGGTTGGATGCTGCTGCGTTCTTCAGGTTGGGCAACAGCGCTTGCGTGACTCTCAACGGACCCAGAGTGTTGAGTTCAAACGTAAATCGCATGTTTTCCATGGTGATGTTGGCCAATGACTGTGACGCAAAAAATTCTCCATCGTCAGCAAACTTTTTGGGTAGCCCCGAAGCACCGGCGTTATGGATGACTACATCAATGGGCTGCTGACCAAAGTAGTCCTGGAGCTGCTTGACCACGGCATCATTGGAAACGTCAATGTTATCTAGCACAACCAACTTTCCGTCGCTGTTGCTTGCAAGGGTGTCTAGAGCAGGGCTAGAACGGCGACAAAGGCCAAAAACCTTTCCAATTTCCTCCTTGCGATCCAGGAGCTGCTTGACGATTTCAAGACCCATGCCTTTGTTACATCCGGTCACGACGGTGACGGCGGCGGTTGTCATTGGGTTCGTGACGGTCATGGAATTTCTTTGGCTTGGATTCGAAAATTAGTCTATGATACTATTGAGACTTGGAGAACTGTCTGTCAGATAGTTTTTTGCTTTCCTTGAGCTTTGAAATAATGAGACAATGAGCCACAACCATCTTGACCCCTTGGCAAAAAGCGGCGGAGAAGTGGTACAAAGGAGAAGTCGGAAGTTGGAAGAGTTTTGGCATCTCCGAAAGATCCGAGCCCACGTACGTGTCAAAAGATATTTTCTTAACCCTAAAAAAGGAATTGTATCCACGCACGGCTGGCAGGCTTCCAGCCGCGACACCAGTCACAGTTCAAACCGTCTCATTGTCCTCCCCAACCAACAATGGCTTTCTCTCATCATCTCTTGCCTGGATTTTACAGATCAAATACTTTGGCGGGGCCTCCCTGTCTCATTCTCTCCTGCGCCACCAACGTCCCAGCAGACCCATTCACTCGAGCGCGAAATAAAGCGAAATGGAGAACCGCTGAGCGAGTATTCCAGGTTTCCGAGAAGCTTCTGGCATTTGAAAACGATCGCAAGGCCAAGGAAGTGTGACACCACCCAGTACCGTACGTCGACGCAATGAAAGCCTTGTTTCACGCATTCAAGAAATCGAATCATTTTATGCCAAGACATCTATAGCTAGTAGGACCGTAGCAAGGTCTTTCAAAGTTATCAGCCGATCTGGTGGAGAAGTCCAATCACTGAACGCAAACTTTCAGCGGCGGCAAATAGTTTTGGATAAGCTGATTATTGGTCAAAGCGGCAGCCCGGCAGGATGCCTTTCCCTTTACTGATGAACTCCTTTGAGGCAGGAATGACATCAATCTGATAGGACAATCACCATGATGCTGCTCTTTTGAAGCTGATTAGTACGTAGGCTTTGTCACGATGACTTGCCATGGAACAAAGAAATGCTTGCATTGCAATGAGACTTGGCATGCCGATCGTGTTGGTTTGAGTGCGCTTCAACGACCTTCTTGTGCATCGCTGCTCGCCGTATCTCTTTCTACCTGCTGTAATCTCCGGAGCCCGAGAAGTCACTGCTGTAGTAGCTGTCTTCGTCGTCATTCCCACCACGGTTTGCCTGTGGGAACATAGATCGGACACGTAAGAGACTTCATCACAGCCAAACTTTGGTAAACACCATCAGAGACAAAGAGAACTCTAAACGTACCTTTCCTCCTCGGGGTTTTTCGCCTTCCTCCTGTTTCAAGGGCAAAGCAACAAACAATGAAAAGGGTGAGCCGTGATCACAACTCAAAGTGTCTGCAACGAGGCAAAAACGTACGTCCGAGCCTTCGTCTATAGAATGTTGACCGGAAAACTCATCCGAGTACTCTGACTGCGAATGTATGTAAAGTGAGAACATTTAGGAGCTGTAACCAAATCCAATTTAAAAAGATTGGGTTGCACATGCACTTGGCAACTTACACCTTCGTCCAAGCCATCATCATAAACCGACCCGCCCTGTCAGTTTGCAACGGAATGTGCAATGAGAACCAGAAATACTACAGATAGCCCAGACGGGGCAGGATCAAACAGCAAACCTTACCACTTGCGACTCTCCCTCATCAAAATTCGAGCCTTCGTCGATGTCAGAACCTGAATTAGACTGAGACTCTCCATCCTAAAGAATCGGAACAAAACCGATTAGATCCACAAATTTCGATAAGCTCTTTCACGAAACCCAAACCATGCACAGGAGAGCACAAACCTCAGCGTTAGATTCGAAGTCGGACCCCTTCAGGAAAGACAAGAACAGACGTTAGGGACAATTGGGAAGGAAGCAAACTGTCCAAGGGGAAACGTAAGAAGCCTACCTCCTCCTCGTCGTCATCATCTTCTGGATCGCCTTTGGCATGCATCACCTTCAACATCTGTAAAAGTTCCTCTTCACGCCCACTGAACTGTTCCATCATAATGTCAATGTTATCCAACTGGTCACAGTAAACGACACGAGGAACGACGTGAGCACAACAAAGACGAAGAGAGCGGCGTGAAGCTCACGCAAATTTACCTCGTGCGGTGCTGCATCCCTGACGACTTCGATGATCTCTTCCTTGATTCGTGCAACCTCAGAGTCCTCGCTGCCTGCGTCGCTTTCACTTCCTTCGTCTTCTCCTTCGTCATCAAACTGTTCTTCCGCACCGGAATCAAATTCATCCTCTGATTCGTCCAGTTCTGACGCCGCTACCGATGCAACCTGTTCTTCTTCATCTTCGTAGTCAGATTTCTCGGACTCGTAGTCAGATTTCTCGGACTCATCCTCAGACTTCTCGGACTCGGATTCAGAGTCCTCCGATGCTTCTTCTGGTTGGAATCCAAAGCCATCGTTCTGTGGACCCGGGCTTGGCTCTTGAGGTTTGCCCCATTCTTCTGTGCCGCCACCGAAGAAGCCAGTGGACTCGGTGGTGAAGAAACCGTTCTCTTCCTTTTCATTCGTGTTGAAACCAGTGTCGTCTGATCCAAACCCACCGCCACCAAAACCGCCTTTGGCGTCTCCCCTTTTACTTTCTTCGTCCGACGAATACTCATCCTCCCCAATGCTCACGTTGAACTCACCGGGCCCACCAATCTCGTATCCAAAGGCTGCTTTGGCCGGCGAAGCTGGCTGCGTCTTGTCAGCAGGTCGTTCTTCCTCTTCTGACGAGTCATCGCTGTCATTGGTATTGAACAATGGATTTGGTTCTGTTGAACCAACCTGGAAGCCATAATTTTCAATGGGCTTGTCGTTTTCGCCATCATCCTGGTTGAGTCCGAGTGGTGGCTGATCCTCGTCATCGAAATGGTCGGGGTGATCAGATGCGCCATTACCATCAGCCGTCTTTGAATTGTCACCTTGTTTCAACATGACAAGCACGTATGCAAAGCATCCACAAGCCACACAAGTGACAACAACCAATACAATCAGAATTGCAATAAAGGACCCCAAAGCTAGACCGAGGAAAGTCTTTCCTGCTGTGGTGAGCTCTTCCACGGGCGCAGGAGGTGTCGTCGTGGGTGCCTGCGTTGCCACGTAGGGTGGGAAGGCTGCTCCAGTAATGTTCACTTGGAGGCTGGGATTCACAACTATCATAGCAGCTTGCAAGCCGCCATCGTCGATAGCTTGCTGGGTCTTCGACACCAAGGCGTCATAGACTGTGAAGTGGTCCACCCCGTCTGGTATGGTCACATCGTACTCGGCGTACACGGTGAGGCAGCTAAGTGCCGTAACCCCGGTGTCGCATGCCGTATCCTCAAAACGAACCAACTTGGCGCTATCGGGTACAATCGATAAGGATCCTACGGTACCGGAGGAATTTGCCGGCCCCGGCGATTCTGGAACGGTTGGGGTTGCGGTGCCATTTCCCACGTTGGGAGGTGCTGTTCCAGAAACTGTTGGAACAGAAGTAAGAACAGGAAAGAGATCTGCGGCACTTCCTGGTACAAGTCCATATTGAGCTTCATAGATGGCTTGATCTGTTTGCGCACACATCATATCCAAAAAGGCGAGCTGATCGGGCGAAGCTCCCTGGCTGGGAAGCTCACCTACAATTTCAATTTCGCCACCCTGTTGGAGTGTGCTGTAACTCTGTTGCAGTGGTGCGGGCAGAGAATCCAAGGTAGTGAACTGAATAAATGCATTGTTTGCCAATTTGTTTACAAATGCAATATACTCAGATTCATTCATGAGGCCATTTCTGTCCCCATCTACCAGGAGAATTTGCTGCTTGCAGGTTGCAGGGTCTGTTCTGGTGATAGGTGCAGGGGTGGCTTCAGCCCCTAACGGAGCTGCAGTTGTCCCACCAGGTGATGCTGTTGTTGCTCCCAGCGAAGGAACGGCCGTGCCAAGAGGGGACACAGTGCCTCCAGAAGGTGTTGCAGTGCCAACTCCAGGCACAGTTGCCACTGGTAATACTGGAGCTGTGGTTGCCGTAGTCAATGCAGGAGGTGTGGTTGTCAGTCCCGGAGCACCCGTTAAAACAGGAGATGTGGTTGCTGTAGTCAAAACAGGAGATGTGGTAAGGGCTCCAGGAGCACCAGTCAACACTGGAGCTGTAGTAGCTGTAGTCAATAGTGGCTGAGTAGTTGCAAGCCCAGGATCAACAGGCATTGTGGTTGCTGCAGTCACTAGAGGTGCCGTGGTTGCTGATGTCAGAACAGGTGCCGTGGTAAGTCCAGGCGCTGCTGTCAATGCAGGTGTTGTGGTTGCTGATGTCAGAACAGGAGCAGTCGTGGCGAGCCCCGGGTCAGCAGGGTTTATGGTAGCTGCCACTACAGGTGTTGTGGTCAACACTGGAGCAGTCGTGGCAAGTCCAGGTGCTGCTGTCAATGCAGGGTTTGTGGTTGCTGCAGCTACTATAGGTGGTGCTGTTGCGGTGGTCAATACAGGAGCTGTGGTTGCTGCAGTCAAGACCGGAGCGGTGGTAGCAAAGACTGGAGCAGCTGTCAAGACCTGCACACGTCGTAGCATGCTTCTGTAAAATGGTTGCTCAGATGTCAGCATTGATGTCTGGGCTTCCTTTACTGAACCTCTTAGATATGAAGTCGATTCAGTGTTTCTCCTTCGTGCTGCGGGTGCGAGTGTCTGTGGAGCAAGCGTCTGTACGGCAACGAGAGGAGGCGTTGTTGTTGCCGCGAGCACTGGTGCAGTAGTTGCAGCAGCAACTGTCAATACTGGGGAGGTTGTTGCTGCCGCCAGCACTGGTGAAGTTGTTGCAGCAGCAACTGTCAAGACGGGGGATGTTGTTGCTGCTGTCAACACTGGTGCAGTAGTTGCAGCAGCAACTGTCAACACTGGGGAGGTTGTAGCTGCTGTCAGCACCGGTGAAGTGCTTGCAGCAGCAACTGTCAACACTGGGGAGGTTGTGGCTGCTGTCAGCACCGGTGAAGCTGTTGCAGCACTAGGAAGTACTGGAGTTGTCGTTGCCCCAATTAGGACAGGCGCAGTAGTTGCAGCAGCAACTGTCAACACTGGGGAGGTCGTGGCTGCTGTCAGCACAGGAGCAGTAGTTGCAGCACTTGGCAGAACTGGAGTTGTCGTTGCCCCAATTAGGACAGGCGCAGTAGTTGCAGCACTTGGCAGGACTGGGGATGTCGTTGCCCCTATTAGGACAGGCGCAGTAGTTGCACCACTTGGCAGGACTGGGACTGTCGTTGCCCCTATTAGGACAGGTGCAGTAGTTGCAGCACTTGGCAGGACTGGGGCTGTTATTGTTGTGTTCCCGAGCGAAGATGACCAAGCAGTTGGAGGGATAGTACTATTGGGTGCGGGAGTTGAGCCGTAGGGGACTGCCGTTCCGACCGGCGACACTGTGCTAGGAAGCGCTGTGATTAACCCTGGAGGCGTGGTTACGGAAGCAACGGAAGGCGAAGCAGTTCCAGGCAAAAGCGTTCCAGGCAAAGCCGTCCCTGGTGAAGCAGTTCCGGGCAAAAGAGTTCCAGGCAACGGAGTAGCGGGCACAGACGTGGCAGCTGCAGTCGCGTTACTGGACACAGCTCCTCCAACTTCCAGCAAGAGACGGGGTACCACGGAAGAGACAAACTGCTTAAAGGCATCATCCACCCCATGGCGATTGGAAGATGGCAAATTCAAAACTTCGGCTGTCAGACCCAACGCGGAAGCCACCGTGAATGCCGAATGAATCGTGAGGATGGGCGATGATGTGTCAATGGGAGGAGTGTCGCCGGCAGGAGCAGCAGTAATGTTGCCCGCAGGTGCCACCGTCGTTGTCGCCATCGCGTCGGCGGCTTCAATCGCTGCGTTCGTGGCACTGCAGACCACATCCAAGAGCGACAGTTGAAAGGCATCCGTGGCGTCTGCTGGATTGGCACCGAGAATGGATATTTGCTCCGTATTGGCATCCAAAAGCGTGTAAAAGTTATCAAATATGGGCTGTGGCAGTGTCGGAAAGGTGTTTTGCGCATATTGATTGTCGGTCAATAGATTGACAAACAAAAAGTACTCGTCTGCGTTGAGCATATTGTCCCGAGGATTGGTATCGGCACCGACCATTCTTTGTTTGCACGACGTGGTATCGACGGTAGGCCCCATGGTGGACGGCGTGGCAGTAGTCGTAGTACTATTGGTGGGAGCTGTTGTCGTGGAAGGTGGAGCCGTGGTGGCATTTCCACCAGTTGGTACCAGGGTCGTCGGTAGTGCCGTGCTGCTTGGATTGTTGTGGTTCTGGATGGCTTGATCTACCAATGTACAGATACTCTGTAATGTCAATTGCTGTGCTTCGGTCGCTGGTTGTGCGGGACTAGCTCCCGTGATATCAATGACATTTCCTCCGGCAAAGTTGTTAAAGACTGCAACGAGTGATGGAGGCAACTCTTGCAGTGCCACGGCGGTACTGAATTGATTGGCGGTCAATCGATTGATAAAGGTAACAAATTCGGTGTCACTCAATAGATTGTTTCGATCGGCATCGGAAATGGCCATTTGCATCTTGCACGTCTGTACATTCATGGTGGGCGCGGCAGTACTAGGTCCAATAGTACCCAAAGTGGGTCCAATAGTACCCCAAGTGGGTCCAATGGTAGTCACACCCGTACTAGGTCCAATGGTAGTGATACCGGTAGTGGGACCTACGGTACCGGTAGCCGGTGGCGCCATGGCTTGATTGGTCCCATCACAAATCTGTTGCAAGACGGCCGCCTGCGCCTCTGTGGCGGGGACGACTGGACTGGCTCCGGTGATATCCCATCCAGTCGCTGTTTGCAGCGTGGCGTAATTATCTTGCAGAGGTTGTGGGAGAGCCTCGAATGCGGCAATGGCCGCATATCGATTGGTAGTGATTCGATTGAGAAAGACAAGGTATTCGGCAGGGTCGAGTACATTGTTGCGATCGGTATCGGAAACGGCCAAGCTCAGTGTGCACGTGCGAAAATCGGCCGTGGGAGCTGCCGTGGTGACGGCTGGCGGAGTGGTGATTGTGCCGGGAGGGACAGAAGTGCCTCCTACCGAAGGTGTTACCGTAGTAATGCCGGGAGCCACAGTAGTAGTGCCTGGAGTTATGGTGGCAGGAGTTAGCGTTGTGCCTCCTACCGAAGGTGTCACTGTGCCTGGACCCACAGTAGCGGGTGTGATTGTGCCTACCGAAGGTGTTATTGTGCCTGGGCCCAGAGTGGCGGGGGTGATTGTGCCTCCCACTAAGGACGTCACAGTCCCTGGAGCTATTGTTGCGGCAGGAGTAATCGTCCCCGGTGTGAGAGTTGTGCCTCCCACTGACGGTGTTACCGTCCCTGGAGTTACAGTGGCTGGAACTACGGTTGCGGGTGTTACTGTGGCTGGTGTGAGAGTTGCAGGAGTTACCGTGGCAGCTACCACAACAGGCCCCACAGTGGCGGGTGTAACAGTAGTGGCAACAACTGCAGGCGTGGCTACCCCCGTGGAAACGGCCGCAAATGCCGCTGCTGCCGCGGCACACATATTGGTGAGATTGTCTCCCGAGGCGGTGGATGTGGCGACCGATCCCGGTCTGGCTCCGAGAATATCCACCTCTCCATTGGCAGCCGTGGCATGCGTCGTGTAGAGGGCTTGAAGAGGTGCCGGGAGAGTGGCAAAATCCGTGGCGGTATAGGTTCCTCCCGTGAGTCGTCCGAGCCACGCAAGAAACTCAGTGGGACTCATGGAATTGTCTTGATTGACATCTGTGACGGCCATGAAGAGTTTGCATTGTTGGTCCGTGGCAGTCACCGTTTGGGCCATGGTGGGATGGAAGCATGCTACAAGTATTAGTAGTAGCAGAAAGAGCAGCCTTACTGCATGTGAGGAATGAGTGGATTGTCGTCTTCTTCGAGAGGTTCTTCTTCTTCTGAGTGTAGAACAGGACGTAGTGGCCCATATTGTTCTGCTTGGGCTATCATCCATGACATCCACTAGAGTGGTCTGTCTGGGTGGCAGGGGATGAGATTGGCACAGGAAATGAAGCGGTGGTTGGCATTGGGGCTCTAACTCGCTGTCATTATCATTGTCGTCTTTGGGTAGCATTATTATTAATTGTGAATTCTCCATCTTGTCTGGTATTTTGAATAGCGGTGTCTTGTTTCCGTGGATGCCGTGGATGGGTGGATAGATGAACGGTACAGTGGTAGCAACGAGGAGGTATTCGATGAAGGTGGGTACCGATAAAATGGTAGTAGTCAACTTATTAATAGCTAGTTGATCATTCAATCAAGTTATGGAGTCGACTGGCCAGTGGTGTCTAGAGAGCTAGCTACTGTACAGTAGAAACCTGGTGGTGCTATGAACCAGTCCGTCCCACCACAATCAAGAGAACATGAATCAATCGGAAGTCTAACGTTTGCTTTTGGTCTTCCCCTTTGCGTTTGCTTGGTTGTTTTCAGTGCTTGACGCTTGATCAAGTTGCTGCTGGTTTTCAGTAAAAATGTTATGCTACTGGCCAAAAAATGACATTCTTCGCATTTTTTAAAAGTACACAGGCATCCATGACCCAAAGAATTTGTTTGACAGCAATAGAATTAGGCCCAACCAATTTCAAGCGCGCTGCGACCTCATCACAGTCATGCAAAACATCGGCCAAAGGATGGCTTCAGCAGTCTAGCTAGCTACTAGTTGCCAGGAAGCTGGGCAACAGAACTAGCTACGATAGTAGACTTCGTAGTCTAGCTACCTGTAGACATGGTGACTTTCAATTTCGGATAAGGCAATGGCGCTCAAATGACGGCCAACAGCATCGCAACGGCATAGAATGTGCTTGGTAAAGCCAACGTTGTAGGCGTGCTTGCTCTTGTTGTATCGCTGATGTTTGCATTGCTTGGTTTCATAATTTTCAGATGAGTTGGTTGAGCCAATTGGATCCCCAGTTTGTCTTTACTGACCGCATGAAATCCACGATGAGCAAGGAAGGAGCGGCGGGTCTCTTCAAGTGGTTTCGCGACCAGCGCAATGGCGTGACCGTCGCCAATCATGCTCCTGCAATACACGGCTCTTAGCCAATGCTATACACGGCTCTTAGCCTTATTCGCGACTCGATCCTAGATAGGGTCTGAGTTCGACTCATGACGTAGCCCTTCGCGAATAGTCATTGGAGACAGAATTCTCAATGACCGCTCTAGTCATACTAGGTTGATGATGAAACATCGCTCTAGATATTTAGCCAGCGTGGAGTACTTCCACGCCACTAGATGAATGCTAGACGAATCTTCCACGCGTTCCGTTTTTGGATCGTGGAACGAGCAGATTGCTACCGCAACCTACTCTATCACACTCTACAGTCTCCCGCGGGAGTTCAGATCTACGATCCTTGATTGTGGATCTCTCTCGTTGATTAGTTTTCATAGCTTTCTAATCCTCTCATAACTTTCATTCTCTCAAACTCAAAACACTCGAAAGATCTTTACACTAGCTTTTAGTGTAGTGCATTTTGTTAACAAACACAATAGCTTTCAGCTACCCTCAACCTATTCCTCACCATGAAGATTGCAAAGACGCATACACCAGCTTCGAGTCTAAGCTCGTGACAAACCAATCCTTCTCTCTCATCGACCTCGATGATGAATGCGAAATCGACGATTCTCGCTCTACCACCTACAAACTTCGACTATTCCAGCAGATCTAACAGTGCCAAGTACACCTTCAAGGTCCAAATCATCAATGGATCTGAGACTCCACGTCAGACCATCAAGTGGGCTGGACGTATGGAGAGGTCTTCGTTCGGGCTCGCACTTCATAGCTACGCCTGACGACAAACATAACCTCCTCAGGGAGATGACTTCTAGCTCTGCCAAGAGCAGTTACGAATCTAGCTGTGCAGGCCATCGTGAAATACGTTGGAATGCCTTGCGCCAGATTGCAGTCAACGCGATTCCTCCACGCGACATACGGGCGGTGAAGACGAAGCCACTTTCCAAGCACGTTTCCAGGCTGCCTGGAACGGAGCAGCTCAGCCTGCTTTGGACGACGCTGACATTACGTTTGGCATAAATGCCTGTATCGAAGCGGTCTGTCCCTACAAGGCGCTTGAAAAGCAGAAACGCTTCATGCGCCGCAAGATGCGTAAGCCTGCTGATATGTCTACTCGGGCTTATGTCAACAACCTCAGTCGGATGAACACCGATGAACTTCCTCGTCTACCATTTTGGACCCAACCAAAGTTAACCATGACGAAGTCATTGACATTGTTTGTCATGGAATTCCACGCTCGTGGATGAAGAAGATGGACGAACACGACTTCGATCCTTTCTCAGCTCCTATCGGAGAAACCATTGGATTCTGCGAACGCATGGAATCCTCCGAAGACTTTGACAAGGGCGGTGATACCAAGCAAGCTCCTACGAAGAAGAACAACAGCAAGAAGTACAAGTCTACTCGCAACAACGAACACTCTTCCAAGAACGAAGAAAAATGGTGTGACTACCACGAGTCCAGCACTCACAACACTGCTGACTGCATGACTTTGAAGAAGCTCAAGGCCAAGTCTCATCCTCGCTGACAACGATAACAAGCCAGCGTACAACAAGAACAAGACTTGGAAACGCAAGTCCGACGACGCCAAGACCTACACCAAGAAGGAACTCTCTGTCCTCATGAAGAAGGATTT